ATCCAATGGAAAGCTGTACACCTAGTAATACATCAGGGTTCTTGGGTCACGGAACACACATTGCAGGAATACTTGCAGGAAAATTAGATGTATGTAAACATGTAATACAGTCAACCTCTGTTAACGTCAACCCGGATAACGTCAACCCCCGATAGCGTCAACCGATTCGCTGGTACCCTTTCAAATTTAGCAGTTAAAGATCTTGCCTATTCTCTACCCCCGGCGGTCGTCAACCCTCGATATGGTCAACACTTTTGCTGGTACCCTGATGGTTGACGTTAACGGGGTCGATTGTATCGACTTGGTTGTTAGATGATTAACTTATTTGATATTTGTTGTCCTTACTCACCAATTCAACTTTAAAATTGATATTTGCATCTTAATGTAGAACTTTACTGGTGTTGCTCCGGATGCTACTCTGGCTATGTGGCGCATCTATAGCTGCAAGGATTATTCTAGCACTGAATTAGCAATACAGGGTGCGCTTGAGGCTGCTGACGCTGGTGTCGATATTATCTCCTTGAGCTTTGGTAAATACAACCCATGGTCTGAAAGCCTTTTCTCCACTGTTATTGGACGTATCGCTGCCAATGGAACAAAAGGTGAGATTTACTTCCAACATTATCTGTTTACTGCATTTCATTATGCTACTGATACTGACCTTATTTTTCCACAATTTGATAGTGATCGTTGCAAGTGGAAACGATGGGTTAAACGGCGCCTTTACCACTATGTCACCTGCTGCTAGTCAAGATGTCATGAGTGTTGCTTCATTCAACGCTAACCATCAGATCGCCCGGATATTTAGAATGAGTGGCAGTGACAGTGATTATGGTACGTATGTTTCTCTCATGGTATATAAAATGTATTCATTGTTGCTCAAGAGATCGTAGTTACATACGTTTCTCCTCCCTCTCTATTATCATAGGCTAACTACAAATAATATGACCATGACATTTAATAGCTTATACACCAAATGGCTTTCCTGGGGAGAATCGTGTAATTCCTGATGGCCAGGTCGTACTCGGAAGCGAGCAGCTCGGTAGCGGCTCGGATGCATGCAACCAAAGCATGATTCCCGAAAGTGTCAGAGGCAAAATAGCGTTTGTCCAGACCGGCGGATGCGACTTACAGTACAAGGTCGGTAACTTGAGTGCCGCTGGTGCTATTGGCGTGCTCTCTTTCGCTACAGTCTACGAATGGCAGGAGCCATCAGGCCCGATCATACAAGGGGCAGCAATTCCTGTTGCAGTTCTTTCTACCCAAACAGGCTTGAAGCTTGGTCAAGCCATCCAGTCCTCCAAGGAAATCACCTTGACATTCTCAAATGAAGACGTTGCGTGGCCGCTTCAAGATGTTGGTAATATGGCCAGCTTCTTTTCTAGCATTGGACCCACATACGAAAACAACCTTAAACCTGATATCGGTGGTATCGGCGGTTACCTGTTTTCAACACTTCCCCGCAACATGGGATACTGGGGCACCAATAGTGGCACATCTATGGCGTGTCCGTATATTGCTGGTGCTACTGCGCTTTATCTCGAGTATCTGGGCGATGGTGCTTCTGAATACTCAAACACAGATATTCGTGAACGGTTTATGAATTATGCCTACAAAGCACCGCTTTCTCCCGACCAAGACGATTTGAACACACCATTACATCAAGGCGCTGGTTTGATTCAACGTAAGGAACATACAGATATACAGAACAAGCTCCTGATCGCTATTCTCTGAAAAGAATTCGATACTAATGATGCTATTTATTATCTTTTTGAACACAGTGTACGATGCAATCACCCAAACTGTTCATGTATCGCCTAGCAGTTTTAGCTTTAATGATACCGCGCATTTGGTAAAGTCGCACACACTCACCATCTACAATGATGGCGACGATATTGCTTCATTCGAGCTTGTCAACAGTGTCAGCGTTTCTGTGATCCCTTATAACTCCTCCACTTCCGAAAAATACGTAATGTCTTCACCACCTCAATTCGGAACCGACACAGCCCGATTGCGCTTCTCCAAAAAGACGATCAAACTCTCGCCTGGCGACAGCACAGAGGTTACCGTTTCTGTGATTCCACCAGACACCGATCCAGATGAACATATCATGTACGGTGGGTATGTTCAATTCAAGAGCACGATAGACAGTCAAAAGGATATCACAGTTCCATATTTTGGTATCGTCGGCGACCAACACAGGTTACCCATTTTCTACGAGGACGGACCCGTTCTGATGGATACCAACATGACGACTCCATATACAACCGATGATGTTTACATATTTGACTTGGATGATGTGAGCAATACCATGCCTGTTTTCTTAGCAATGCAACGCACGGGAACTCGTCGCCTCTTGGTCATCGTATACGATCAAGATGAAAACTACCTCGGTTATATCCAGCCACCAGGTGTATATGATTATCGAACACATACAACCATGACAAATCTTGTTACTCAAGCCGTTTATGTTTGGGATGGCACGTACTACGAAATTGGTCAAAATGAACCAGTAAATTTAGAATCACTCTCTGACGCCGTAACTGTGAACCGTGGAAGCAGTTATCGTGTTGGCATTCAGGCACTGAAAATATTCGGCGATGAAAACAACGCCGATGATTGGGAAACCTGGACATCGGGTTTGATTCAGGTCCAGTAGAAACTGCATACCTCACATACTTCCGATCTCTTATGTACACTTACCCGGCCATTGTAATCTTTTTCTTATTATCTGTGCTTTCAGTCTTTTGTTTAATCAAATTTTTGTTATGAATAATTCCATTTATGATATGTCAGGGCGTACATACCGTATCTTATGAGGTGTGGGTGTAGTGATGCTTGATTTCTTGTGTCTAGGTTTTATTGGATCCATCTATATACAATCATTGTTGAGAAAAGCGCTAAACCTGATTGGTTTTGTACTCAGTATTACTATTAGTTCAAACATACTCTGATAGTTCCAGCATGCGCAAACAACTCGTATAGTAGCAAAATCCAAATGATTAAACTTTGGCGGAAAAGAAACAGTCGTCATGACGATGTCCACTTGCTTATACATACCCTGTCGAAAACGTTTGCACGTTTACCGAAAAACAACAATGTGCAGTTATTACCGCGACACAACAGTGGTATTATGGAGTATGTAGCACTGTACATCCTTGTTATCAATACTTTTCGATGTGATACATCAGGATACCGGGTATAGCTCAGATCATCAAAAGTATAAAGAAAAAGGGAGACTTCCCCCCCCCATTTGTCGTTCCTCGTTGTAATTAATTAAGGCTCTGGCGGCGTTTTTGGTTTTCTGATGATTGTGGTGCGAGAGTATGCCAACAAATAAGAGGACATGCTACGCAGTAAGAGTACGATGTTGAATAATTCAGAAAAGCCAGCTGCACACGGTAAGTGTATGTTCATGTTAATGGAGCTCCACAGCCATCATTCAAATCAGTGGCAGAGCTTTAATTGGGTATACACGTTCCCTTCTCGATCAACTCAAGTGGTCGCAAACTCATTTATTTTTACTCGGCTAGGCTGGAAACGTGATTCCATTATTAGCAGCATAGCCACCATGACTCCTTCATAAAGACCACATGACACGACATAATCAAGTCAAAGACGGGTTTCTTGCAAACCCTCTGATGCATACCGACTTTATCACCCGGATAGCCTGGTAAAGCGATGAGACAAGGTAGGTGACAACAGCAAAGGATTGGAAGGGCCGAGTCTGTCGCGTGGCAGAGCCTGCGACAAATGACCGGAGAACTGAGGAGGTGGATGGCAGGTTAGAAGGAGCGGTCATCATCGTTGTTGGCGTGAAGGTGTGTGTTTTGGCTGACTCGCCTGTCTCTGTACAAGTTCATCGATGTAGGAAAGGAAATATTGGGTCTGATCTGTATATGCACGTTGGCATGTGAGCAGAAATGATGCATAGTTGTTACTATCGGTACTCGAAGCTGAGACCAGTAGCAGTTGTCGTCGTTGTAAGAAGAGCTTGATTTCGCGCTATTAAAACCGGACGCAAAGAACTCGTTCAGCACCAAAAAAAAGTCCTGCATTCGAGCCCCTTTTCTGTAAACGTTCCAAGTTCCCGGAACAAACAACTTCTCAGATCGGGCCAATGCCGATCAACAAACAATGTCATCGGCAAGGGCACATGTGAAATTTTTGCATGAAAGAGCAAGATCAAAGCTTGTGATATAGGCTACCAGGTCATTTGACACACAAAACTGATACTTACGACCATCAATGATCCTTACAAAGACTCTTAAAGTAGCATTCCGTAGTCGGCTCACATTTCTCTACCAGGGCTCAAGTGCTATAAGATTGTCTGTTCGGAATGTAAGTTTAAGGATACGGGGGTTCTCAGTTACCTTGACAAAGCTATGTAACTCACACATGAAGCTTCATGAACCTGGATGTCCACATCGACAATACACAATATGGCGTACTATCATCCTTAGTGCCAATCATCAAACACAATATTCCCTATCATCAGAGGCCTGTTTATTGACAATTTTTGACTCGGCACGGGGCACAATGGCAGTTAACGGCTTAGTCATTTTTGGAAAGCCTACTGACAGCCTTGGCTGCTCAGTTTGCTTCGTTTCCTCATCGTCGTTGGCAAATGATTTTGGGCATTGGTGGCGGCCCTATTGTCACGATGCAAGAATCACTGCTTTCTAAATGGTTCCGCAAAGTTTATCCATAGCCATTGCTATGCAGCTATCGATCAGTCGGCTGAAGACGTTTCTGGGCTGATCTTACTAGTACCTGGGTATGGGTTTTTAGCTAGCTTTTATCATTCGCGGATTTTCTTTCGCAATGAATTTGATCTATGCTTTGATTGTGAGTCACCTAGAAGGCGGAAATGTTGTTGCTGTAAAAAGAAGATTTGAGAGAGAAGAAAGGCAATCAATGCGTTTTATCGACCGAGTAATTTTTTCTTGCATCATTTTAATAAACTGTGCGGTGCTACTTAAATGAACTTACGCAAACGCGCAGGTGGGCATGTTCTTTCACAGTTTTTCATTAGCATTTAGTACAATTTTAATGATCATATTGCCTTCAGACTATATTGGCATGGGACTCGGCATTCACAAGTCGAGCAATAGCAGTAAGATTCCTTTAACGATTCGGTGCGATTCTGGAGAACTCCAACAAGTTTCTTTTCTCTAGTCGGTACCGCCATCTTGGACATTGTGGTTGGCCTAATACAGGGTCAAACAGCTGGCCAATTATATACGAGTAAGATCAAATGTGAACAAAACATTGGTACTGTCTTCACGAAATTAAACTACACGTATTTTCAAACTTTGATTTGTTTACAAACAGGCATTATGGCATTGTATCTCATTTGGCCTGTGTGGGATTTTGTCTAGTCGTGACATTTTTACTTATTCAATTGTTCTTTATGCGCAGACACCATAAAGTATCGCGCGGCAAGCGACAGAACGTATGAAGAAAAGAAACGACAGAACGTATGAAGAAAAGAAACGACAAAAAGTTGGAGCTTAACCGCCAAGGTAGTGTGACTCGTACGTTTGTTGCAGCGCTCATGGTATTAGCGTGTATACTTTTCTTCGTTCACGCCGCTGTAGGCAAAATAAAATTTGCCTCAAATAAAATACCGCTAAAAGCAAAAACCCGAGATCAAGTGTGGCTGCTACTGACACTATTAGTATTACAAGCTAGCCCTATTTGGTTTCGTGTTTTTCTAAGCAGGCACTCATTAGATAGTAAAAGAAAAGGCGTGCCCCAGCATATATGATTCACACGGAACGCACGCCGGGCCGCTTTCCTTCAATAATGAAATATCACCCAAAGCAAAAAACAAGATGAACTATGGCTGCTATTGATACAACTGCTAATTGCAACTAGATCTACGTGATGTCGTTTTTCCATGTAGACATCTTCTTGCTTAGTCATTTTAAGGCTTGTATCACACATATGATGCACACGGAACGCACGCCGGGCGGCTATTGGCATAATGCATTGCGAATGTGGAAAGCGTCCTGCACCATCCACGTGAAATGTATTATGCAGAAAAAGTTTGCGCTATTATACCTTGTATGTAGTACATAACTTAACCTCGGCCCCGCCTATCTATCTATCAGCCAACGCAAAGACCGAAGCCACCGATTACTACCATGGCTCAGGTGGCTCTTTTGAGAGGTACAGAAAGTATATCTTCAACACTCATAGAACTGGACCGTTGCTTGATACATGCTCCCATGAACAATGTTTTTCATTGATTAGGAAGTATAAAGGCTGACTTGTCAACAAAGGAAAGAAAAGAAACGATGTCAACTATTAAGTGCGGTGATTCTCATCCTTCTATCAACTTTCCGCTTTTGCAACTGCTCTCCTGTGACGATCATAAAAGGAAAAATAACAGTTTTTCTTGTCCAACATTATATTAACTTTGTCTTAGACGCTAACCGAACCATTCTCATCCTTCCAACCGTAATTACAGCGGGTTAGTTTACTAATGCTACGCTTACTCTTGACTATTGTTATTATTCTCTGACGATAGGATGCAGTCGTTTTTCTTTCTTTCTTGGAAGTCCATAGACCTATATGTAAACAGCAACAATATCATTATACTATATACTAAACCTTACATCATCACTTGAATCGATTTACTGCCCGTTGTTTCCTATTTGAATCATTTTCCGACGATTGGATGATACTTTGATAACTGGTGTTTGATACAGTAAGCTTTTATATGTGGTCTGTAATACACACATGATCTGGTTTTTGCTTTTTTCCCTTTTTTCCCTTTATTCCCTTTTGGAACGTGGACTTTAAAAAGGCATTTTCTTTTTAGACAAGTGATGCATTTGATGAAAATGGTAAACTATACAAGTAGCATGACTAGAAAAGAGCTTATTTTGTAAGAGCAAAAGTTTAACCATTCCGATAAAGTCAGCGCAAGACCAATGGTGTATAGCATCGTCTTTCCTCAATTCATCTAGTAGCTATGCACATATCGTGCTGAAGGAGCTTCGCGATTGACATTGTTCTTATGCTGGAGCTCACCCACCCATATATTTTCCTTGTTCAACTGTGCAACCGTGCTAACCATTAGAAGCGATGTTGATACTAACAGTAATGACGTTTCTGGGGAACATGTTCCTATAGTGCACCACAGAAAACATTTTGTTGGAGAGGTTAAAAATAGTTTACTGATTTAACTTTCAACCTACATAACTGAGCAAAGCTAGTTGTTATTTGTGGTTTAGTGTTTCGCAAAACGTGCACCGGTGGTGACATGTACTCATGTGGAAAGACTCAGCCTTCCGATACAGCTCAAGGGCTAATACATATATAAGGTCGGTCGACCGAAAACAACAACAAACAAACAGTCGGCTAGTGATTCCCACAGTATAAAAGCCTGTACTTCTCCTTTCTTTCCCCTCTGTATCTATTTTATTATGTTGCTACACTACCATTATTATCTATTAGTAGCTACTTTATTTTTGACAAGTCTATTATTCGATGCACAACCAGCAACAGCAACCTTGCACGAAAACGACAGACATGCCTCAAGATCATTCGATAAAAGACAAACAACCCCTCATGTTTCTGGTCGCTACGTTGTTGAATTTGGTGGCAGTATGGATGTCAGTACTCATACAGAGACGCTTCTGAGTCACCTCAAGGAAAAATTTACGGGTACCGACATGACAGCACCTAATATATTCGACTACGAATTTTTGCGCGGTGCTACCATTCAAGTGGATCGAAATCATGATCATTTGCACCAAAGCATTGCCATGACAGCTTCCGGGTTTGAAGGCGTAGTCAAGGTACATCCAGTTGCTGTTCTTCCGCCTCCAAGCGCATTCGTTCAAGGCGGCGCTCCTGATGGAGAGGTTGAGAATGCAGAATTGTTGCTTCCGCATTCGCAAACCCAGGTGGATCGTGTGCACAGCGAGCTTAATTATACAGGAAAAGGCATTGTCGTTGGTATCATCGATACTGGTAATGGGGAAAGTCCTAATCTCTCATTTTAAAATAATTTCACTTAAAGGAAATTACCATCAATGATATTATGATATTATGGTTGCTAAACGTCTTAATGAATACTATTATACAGGCGTGGATTACATGCACCCGGCCCTCGGTGGAGGATTCGGTGAAGGCTACAAAGTACGTTATGGGCGAGACTTGGTGGGTGACGAATACGATGGTATTACCAACGAACCGCAACCAGATGACGATCCAATGGAAAGCTGTACACCTAGTAATACATCAACGTTCTTGGGTCACGGAACACACATTTCAGGAATTATTGCAGGAAAATTAGATGTATGTATATCGACTTGGTTGTTAAATGCTCGATTTTTAAAATATCGACTGTCCTTACTCACCAATGCAACTTTATGATTGATATTTGCATCTTAATGTAGAACTTTACTGGTGTTGCTCCGGATGCTACTCTGGCTATGTGGCGCATCTATAGCTGCAAGGATTATTCTACCAACGAGTTAGCAATGCAGGCCGCACTTGAGGCTGCTGACGCCGGTGTCGATATTATCTCCATGAGCTTAGGTGAAGTCAGTGCATGGTCTGAAAGCCTTTTCTCAACTGTTATCGGACGTATCGCTGCCAATGGAACAAAAGGTGAGACTTAGTTCCTGTATTATACGTTTACTGCATTTTGATTATGCTACTGATACTGATCTTCTTTCCCCCACAAATTATATTTTATGTTGATAGTGGTCGTTGCAAGTGGAAACGAAGGAATGGGCGGCGCCTTTACCACCTCTTCACCAGCTGCTGCTCAAAATGTCATGAGTGTTGCTTCATTCAACGCTGACCATCAGATCGCCCGGATATTTAGAATGAGTGGCAGTGACAGCGATTATGGTACGTATAGTTTACTCATGGTATATAAAATGTATTTATTGTTGCTCAAGAAGTCGTAGCTACCATACGCTTCTCCCCGTCCCTGTTATCATAGGCTAACCACAAATAATATGGTGATAAATATTAATAGCTTATACTCCAAATGACTTTGCTGGGGAGAATCGTGTAATTCCTGATGGCCAGGTCGTACTTGGAAGCGAGAAGCTCGGTAGTGGCTCGGATGCATGCAATCAAAGCATGATTCCCGAAAGTGTCAGAGGCAAAATAGCGCTTGTCGAGACCGGTGGATGCACCTTACTGTACAAGGTTGGCAACTTGAGTGCCGCTGGTGCTATTGGCGTGCTCTCTTTCGCTGCAGCCTACGAATGGCAGGAGCCAGCAGGTCCCCTCGTACAAGGGGCAGCAATTCCTGTTGCAGGTCTTTCTACTCAGACAGGCATGAAGCTTGGTCAAGCCATCCAGTCCTCCAAGGTAATCACCTTGACATTCTCTCAAGAAGACGTTGCGTGGCCGCTTCAAGATGTCGGTAATATGGTCAGCTTCTTTTCTGGCATTGGACCTACATATGAAAACAACCTCAAACCTGATATTGGTGGTATCGGCGGTTACCTATTCTCAACACTTCCCCGCAGTATGGGTAACTGGGGCACTATGAGTGGCACTTCTATGGCGTGTCCGTACATTGCTGGTGCTACAGCGCTTTATCTCGAATCTCTGGGCGATGGTGCTTCTGAATACTCGAACACAGATATTCGTGAACGGTATATGAATTACGCCTACAAAGCACCGCTTTCTCCCGACCAAGACGATTTAAACACACCATTACATCAAGGCGCTGGTTTGATTCAACGTAAGGAACATACAAAACACAGGACAAACTCCTGATCCTTTTTTTTTGTTTTTTGAAAAGAATTCGATACTAATGATGCTAGTTATTATCTTTTATGAACACAGTGTACGATGCAATCACCCAAACTGTTCATGTATCGCCTAGCAGTTTTAGCTTTAATGATACCGCGCATTTGGTAAAGTCGCACACACTCAGCATCTACAATGATGGCGACGATATTGCTTCATTCGAGCTTGTCAACAGTGTCAGCGTTTCTGTGATCCCTTATAACTCCTCCACTTCCGAAAAATACGTAATGTCTTCACCACCTCAATTCGGAACCGACACAGCCCGATTGCGCTTCTCCAAAAAGACGATCAAACTCTCGCCTGGCGACAGCACAGAGGTTACCGTTTCTGTGATTCCACCAGACACCGATCCAGATGAGCATATCATGTACGGTGGGTATGTTCAATTCAAGAGCACGATAGACAGTCAAAAGGATATCACAGTTCCATATTTTGGTATCGTCGGCGACCAACACGAGTTACCCATTTTCTACGAGGACGGACCCGTTCTGATGGATACCAACATGACGACTCCATATACAACCGATGATGTTTACATATTTGACTTGGATGATGTGAGCAATACCATGCCTGTTCTCTTAGTAATGCAACGCATGGGAACTCGTCGCCTCTTGGGCATCGTATACGATCAAGATGAAAACTACCTCGGTTATATCCAGCCACCAGGTGTACTTGATTATCGACCACATACAACCGTGACATATCTTGCTACTCAAGCCGTTTATGTTTGGGATGGCACGTACTACGAAATTGGTCAAAATGAACCAGTAAATTTAGAATCACTCTCTGACGCTGTAACTGTGAACCGTGGAAGCAGTTATCGTGTTGGCATTCAGGCACTGAAATTATTCGGCGATGAAAACAACGCAGATGATTGGGAAACCTGGACTTCGGGTTTGATTCAAGTCCAGTAGCAACTGCATACCTCACATACTCCCGATCTCTTATGTACACTTACCCGGCCATTGTAATCTTTACTTATTGTATGTATTTGTTTATCTTATCTTATAGTAAAAATAATTCCTTTATGTAATTGTGTACATAATGTATTTTTGAGGTGTGGGTGCAGTGATGTTTGATTTCTTGTATCTAAGTTTTATTGGATCCATCAGCATAAATTCCGCGCTATATACAATCATTAGTAAGGAAAGCGCTAAACCTGATTGGTTTTGTACTCAGTATTACTATTAGTCCAATCATACTCTGAAAAACAGCCATGCGCAAACAACTCGTAGCAAAAGCCAAATGAATAAACTTTGTGGAAATAAGCTGTTGTCATGACGACACCCACTTGCTCATACGCCACACAATTCAAACTCCAAGTATCGCGCGGCAACTCAGAAACGCATGAAAGAGACGGTAATCAACGAACATTTGGGTGCACTAACCGAAACCAAAACGCGTACGGATAGAGGTCAGCGTACGCAGTCAATATTTTCTTCGTTTACTCGATAGTTGCAGCTCTCGTTAATATATCCGGCAAATGTTCTTTTACGCTGCGCCGTTATGGATGCTATTTCGTCGAAACTAAACGTTTCGTCTGGACTTAACATTCGAGTATGGCCGCTGCTTTGTCCTCCGCAGATTATATTGTTTCCTGCTTCCCATGCCAACGCATACTTGACATCGAACGAAATTGGCTGCAGATACATCGAAAACGGGCTCCTAGCTTGCTTTTCTGGTGTACGAATATGGAAACCATCCTGTGATATGTTCTTTTTTGTAACAACCAATCATATCATGTGGTATTTTATGCAGAAAAGATGTGTGTGATACTCAGCCTGAGCCCGATCTAATCGTCAACCTTCACCACCAAACAATAAACTTAAAAATAAAAGTCAACGCGACCAAGCAAAGTTCATAATGGCTTAGGTGGCTCTCGACAAACCAAATAAGTATAGTAATTTTTTGCGTTTACAGTTCAAAGATGTAATCAAATGCATTGTACTTCTTTTCTTTCCAAATTGATCATGTTATAGATTTTGACAAGGAATGGAGATGCAGTATATAATGAGAGACAGTATCAGAATAATGGAAGAACAGTAAGTTCCCGTTTTGCCATAGACCATCCTTAATTTGCAAATGCTATCCTTCGTCAGCCGCAAAAGGCAAAAGTAATCGGTCCATCAAAAATCTACATTCCATTTTAACATCAACTTACTAATGATACCGACGTACTGTTTCACTGTCATCAGGAGCAGCTTTGTTATTTCTTTCTCTGACAAAGCCCCTTTGTAATCATCGCCAATTTTCAACAATATTTATTTACTCCAAACTCCAAAGATTTTTTATTTCAGTTTATGTATTACGATTCAGACAGCAATACCATGAAAAGAAGATTTAAAAGTGGTGGCGCTCACATTAAAAGGCTTTTCCAAAGGCAATCTACTATGATTCGAATAAAATAGTTGCTTATGAGTAATAAGTCTATATAATAGCATTTAGTAGTGAATATAACATTAATGCTACTTGAGTTCGCCCAGCATATATTGCTGCGGGGCTAGCTGCAAATGGTAATGACGTCTGGTAGTAGGTAACATACTTTAGAAGTAAAAATAGGATTTCCGTTGGAACGATGGGATGTCTCTTCCGTGTAATCACACATTGCAGAGACGGTAGCACATGCTCCAACTGCTTCGGATTACTGTTACTCAAAGGTACACGTCGATGGAGACAAGTATTGAAATGGAAATACGTAAGCCTACTTGCTACACAAAGATCCCAGAAACAACACACAAACACAAAACAAGGGATGTATATAAAGAACCTTTTTAAAAGCGAATATCAGTCACAAACAAAGCAAAAATACATCATGCGAGAGCTACTCTATGTGTTACTGCTTTCAGTTGCATCATATGTATTAGCCAGTGTTGGATATTCGCGGGGCGAAAAAAAAAACGAAAAATAATTTTTGCGATCGAAAAATAAAAATCGCGAAAATGCACGAAAAAACAAATATACTTTTATTTGTTTTTGCTTTTATGCTTTGCAGTTGCTTTTATCCTTTATACTTGTGGTACAGCCCCAGAGACTAATGATGATATTTTATATTTGAACCTTTTATCGTCTGCAGGATGAATTGCTGTTGAGCTGGTGACGACAATGTCTTCTACATGTTCCAGATCGTCATCACTTTCAGCTGCAAGATCATCGAACCATTCATTGACCAGGTCAATCCACGTTTCTGCTGTCAGTTCTTCGTTTTTATCGTTGAACTTGTCACTATGCGTGTCCATGCCTAACATTGATGATGCTTGCGTTTCTGGAGTCGATGTACTATTTGCTGCTGATAATGGAGTTGATGTTGATGTAGATGACAATGCTGGGGTTGATGACGATACTGGCGATGATACTGACAATACCACAGGTAAAGCTGGTGCTGCTTGCTTATTTCGGTTTTCATTGCTGCCGCCCCTCTTTCTTTTCTTTAATTGAGATTTGACTTTTGCCATCTTGAGTACTGTTTGATGTGATAGCTTGTTACGTCTTGGACTATGAGTATAGCCCATCAGACTAAATAAACGCTCGCATGAGGCCGAGTTGATTCCGATTGCCAGTAGTCGTCGCGCAACAAAAACAAGTTCTTGGTATTCCTTAAAGTCGAGCTCCATCAATCTCCAGTACAATGATATATCAGTGAACCCTTGAATAAGTTCATCGTGGAAAGGCGGAGGCTTAAGGCCATAGCGGGTGAGTTGTTCTACCATATTTGGCGCGGTTTTGTTTGCCCAAGACGTGTAATAATAGGACGCCCATTCCGCGAGTTGAAGCGTGGTGATACTGCCAGTCCTTGTCGTGGTCGATAGTTCAGGGTGCCTGTTGATGCCCTCAAGACGTATTTTTGGGTTTAAATACCATGATAAAATGAGCAGTGGCTGCTCCCACATGTTCCAACGCCGTTCAAGACGAAGTATAAATGATTGCAGCTCTTGATTAGATAGGGTACTGACATAGTTGTTTTTTTTTTGTTGTGAAATGGGTAACGAATGTGGCAAACTTGGTAGCAACATCGTGTAATCGTGCATTGTCGCTTTGCAACAGGTTCAAACCAACTGCGAATGGTGTAAACATAGATAAAATTCCCTCGATGTCGGCCCAAAAGTTATTGTCGTCGATTGTCGCTAGACGGTCAGACAATTTTTCTTTAAGTTTGTCGTTCGTATGCGCATCTATAACCAGTTGCTAAAAACCATCACGATAGTAAGTAATTATCTTGAATGGACGCCATGATCCAATAGGTATCCCTTTACCTTAAGAGATAACTTCGCATTTAGTAAGCTTTTAATAACATCAAAATAGCTGTTCCAGCGAGTAGAACAAGGTTGTTTTAAAGAGATTGCTTTTGAGTTTGGATTGGATTTTTGGCAAGTGATCAAATGGTCGAGGAGGAATGACGATCGGTTGAACGCCTCCACAAGTTTGATCGCTTCTTGAATACGTCGCTCTACACTTGGAAACGATTTCAGGATATCGGCAACACAAAGATTGACTTGATGAGCAAAACATGGTAGAAAAACTATATCACGGCGCTCGCGTCGCAGGCGGCTACGTGCTGCTGTGTATGAGCTTGCGGAATCGGTGACCACCGCTATGACCTTTATGCCGTTATCTTGTATTCTTCCTTCATCTAGGAGTTTCTTGAGCTTGGCAATCACGTCTGCAGTATACCCAAGATCCCTTGATGCGTCTTCTGCATCCCACACGATGCTTTTTCCTACTGATGTCACCAGTACGACGCCGAAAATCGACTGCTTCTTGACGTTCCGCCAACCGTCGCACGTTAAAGTCACACCATCCGGATCTTTGGCTAGTTCAATGATCTTCTCGTCTGACTGATCAGCTACGCGTTCTAAGATATCGGTGGATAATTTTTGTCTCCGTGGTATTACTCCAAGTTCATTCTGTCAAAATACGTTAGCGAACGAGAAGTGACTGATATAATTGAACTCCACTAATACCATTCTCTAGTACCTACTCTGAGATCAGGTCGCAAAAAAACAGAAGCTCGCGCACTTCATTGTTATCCACCCACATGAACGGCAAGTTGGCGGAAAGCGTGGCCAGAAGAAACAAGTTATGACAGATAGTGAACCATTCGTTGGACAATTCAGGTGGGCTCGCGTTCGAACCGTTTGTAAGAAGGCCGCTGCTGGCAAGGCTCATCGCTTGTGAAGAGCTGTCTGTGTTAACTTGGCTGATAGAGTCCTCAGGTCCTATGTCCGACAGATGTCTTTGGAAACATGAACTTCTGGTGGATCAAATTATGGTCTTTTGCAAGTTGCGATATTTGTGTAGCTGATAAGTTTGGGCAGACCTAAAAAGAATAGTCAACGATTAGGTCGGCCATGACAAATGCTGCTCATTACAAACGAGAGGTACGTCTTACTTTCAAGTGATTCTCCCAGTTGTCTTTTCTTGAAATGAAAGGAGCAACGTTCTCTTCACAAAGTTTCTCGATGCAGGCTAAACACCATGACCAGCCGTCATTGTGAATTTTGTCCCCTTCTACTCTTATTTCTCGTTTAAAGTTGGTGCTGTACGAACTACGAGGTCGTCCCCTTTTCTTTGGTAGTACTTGGCTACTGTTGTTACTGGTGCTGCCGCTGGATCTATTCGAGTAGTGTGTCATCGAAAATTTGACACGGCACTTGGAGAGTTTGACACTGCACTTCGAAAGTTGAAGCGAAAGGGATGTGACGCGTCACTTGGGAAATCTCTTATGGGAATGGGCCAATTGCTAATGCACTAATGGTAATGTGATCAAACTACACACACTGAACAGGCGATTGCGCAATAATCATGTGAGCACTTATATTTTTCGTGAGTTTTCGTCGCGAAAAACCATTTTTCGCCGCGAAAAGTCCTTTTTCGTGAGTTTTCGCGAGATCCACGAAAATTAGGGTGCTGAGTTTGTCCAACACTGGTATTAGCTGCGCAAGCTCAACAAGTTCCCGGCCCTTATTGTCGAATTTGACGACAGTGGCACGGGTGGTAACAATGTCTATGGCCATACCGAATCACTCTTGAACCATCTCAAGAAAAGATTTGCCAATACCAGTATGACAGTACCCAATGTATTCAATCATAATTTCATGCGCGGTGCTACTATCCAAGCCGACCGTAACCATGGCCATTTGCACGAAAGAATTGCCATGATAGCTTCGAATTTTGCAGGCGTTTCCAAAGTATATCCAGTCCACACGATTACGCCTCCTAGTAACATTCTTCGTGGTAGAGCTCCGGATGACGGAGCTACTGTCGAGAATGCTGAATTGTTGACACCTCATATGCAAACCCAAGTCGATCGCGTCCATCGAGAACTCAATTACACAGGCAAAGGTGTATATATTGGCATTATCGATACTGGTATGTGAGAAGAAGAATATTAGTAAAAGGACGATGAAAATTCTAATCGTAATACATTTCATCCATTAAACTCTTTAGGTTTTGATTACATGCATCCAGCATTGGGCGGAGGTATAGGCGAAGGTTACAAAGTTCGGTTTGGGCGAGATTTGGTCGGTGACGCATACGATGGCGGTTTGACCAACGAACCAGAGCCAGATGATGATCCAATGGATTCGTGTACATCAGCACAAACTTTCTTTGGCCATGGAACTCATGTTGCAGGAATCATTGCCGGAAAAGCTGACGTATGTACGCTACAACCATGCATATCTGTATATTGTATTTTTTCCCTGCTAACCTTTGATATTAACGTCGGTACTGATTACTAATACTTCTAACTAATGTTCCATGTACAAATTTTTTATACCTTTAGAATTATACGAGTGTTGCCCCAGATGCTACTCTAGCCGTGTGGCGCATCTACAGCTGTAAAGATTTAACTACGAGTGAACTAGTTTTGCAATCCGTATTAGAAGCTGCTGAGGCTGGTGTCGACATTATCTCCATAAGCTCAGGCGAGCATACACCGTGGTCAGAAAATGTATTTTCCGCTGTCATTGACCGGATTGCTTCGAATGGAACGAAAGGTAAGAACTTTCAAGTACACACGGTGGTCGAATACTATACTGCATATAAATGCTCTTTTATGTATATCTTGACGTTACTGAATAGCACCCGTTTCTTCTCCAATACTACAGTGGTAGTCTCAGCTGGAAATGATGGGCTAAGTGGTGTGCTTACCACTTATTCTCCAAGCGTCTCCTCACAAGCGATGAGTGTGGCTTCATTCAACGGCAATTACCAGCTCTCCAGACTTTTTAGAATAAGTGGCAGCGATGAAGAGTATGGTATGTACAGTATATCTCAATAAGAGCACCTTTGTTCCTATACGCTACAGCCATATAAATTGAAATTCCCTACGATTATATAGTCTATATACCAAACAGAATACCTGGCGTTCAAGGTATCATTTCAGATGGCCAAATCGTTCTTGGAGATGCAAATTTTGGTAATGGTGCAGATGCATGCAATCAATCCACGATTCCAGATAACGTCAGAGGCAAATTGGCTCTTATTGCAAGAACGGGCGGATGTGAGCCGCAAGACAAAGTCGGCAACTTGACAACTGCTGGTGCTATGGGTGTCCTTTCCTTTGAAGATGAATACGAGTATCAAGAAGAAAAAGCACCGATTGTGCAGACCCCTCAAGTGCCTATCGTAGGGATCTCGACTCAAGCGGGCAAGAGGCTTGCCGAAGCCATCACCAACTCCTCAGGAAAAGAAGAGGAGGTGGTTTATTTGACATTCTCCCATCAAGATGTTGTGTGGCCGGTTCAAGTTACTGGAAATCTTGCCAGCCATTTTCAAGCGTTGGACCTACCTATGAGAACATTCTCAAGCCTGACATTGGTGGCTTTATGTATTCAACCGTTCCTCGCAGTATGGGCAGCTGGCAAACGCTGTCCGGCACATCCATGGCGTGTCCATATATTACTGGCGCTACAGCGCTTTATCTCGAACATTTGGGGGATCGTGCTTCCGAGTATTCAGGCATGGCTATCCTTGAGCGATTCATGAATTACGCCTACAAAGCACCTGTATCGAACTATCAAGATGATATAGATACACCATTACATCAAGGCGCCGGCTTGAATCAATGTAAGAAATACTAAGCTATATATACTACATCTGTGGAATCGTTTTCATGTCAAAGTCGATAAATGACTTTTACTGATAAATGGTAAATGGTTAATATCCTCAAACAATATCATTAGTATACGATTCAATGACCCAAAAGGTCCACGTGTCTCCACCCAAGCTCAGTTTCAATGATACCGCACATTTGATCAAGACACACACGCTCACCGTCACCAACGATGGCGATGAGATCGCCTCATTTGAGGTGTCCAACATCGTCAGTGTCTCTGTAGTCCCCTATAACCTCTCAAGTCCCAACAACTACACGTTCACTGCACCAGTCCAATACAGCAACGATCCGTCTGCTACTGCACGATTGCGTTTCTCCAGAAGAACAATCAAACTTTCGCCTGGAGACAGCACGGAGGTTATCGTCTCTGTCATTCCACCAGACACCGATCCAAATGAGCACATTATGTACGGTGGCTATGTCCAATTCAAGAGCACGGTACCCAGCCAAAAAGATATCACGGTTCCATATTTCGGTATTGTCGGCGATCAGCACGCGTTACCCATTCTTTCAGAAGAAGGACCTTTTTTTTGATGGATGCCAATATGCTTGACACATATACTGCCAATGATACTTACACGTTCGATTTTGATGATTTTAACAACACAATGCCAGTTGTCTTTGTGATCCGACTTATGGGCACGCGTCGTGCCCTGGCTATCGTTTACGATCAAGATGGACATTATCTCCTTGGGTATGTTCAACCGCCAGGCCAGCTCGATCACTTGTCGCACACGATTCCACGCTACATTCTTCGAGCTGCTATTCCATGGACCGGTACATACTATGAAATCGGCGGTGATCAACAGGACCAAGAAGAAGAAGAAGAAGAACAAGAAGAGGTGGAATCATACCTTGAGGAATCTGTAACTGTAAGTCGCGGCAGTACTTACCGTATTGGTATTCAAGTGCTAAAGATATTCGGTGATCCCAACAACGAGGACGACTGGGAGCGATGGATGTCGGGTCCGATCCAGATCCGATAGTAACTCGCATTGAATAGTTCTTATAAATACTTAATGTAACAATTTTTCCTGTATATTCCCTATCACAATTCTCCATATTAATAAATTCATCGAGATGAATGATATATATATCGGAGAGCCCAACTAGTATTACAAAGATCTTAGCTTTGCAAATGCATATGCAGTAGAATTATCCTCACAAATACCAGGCGGTGTTTTTTTATATAAAAGGTTGCTGTGTATGCACGTCTGAGTATACCAAGAAACAAAGCATGAGTACTAACAAAAACTTTTTTATATGGATCCCATAATTGGATGAAGCAACGCACCATTTTTTACAAATTTTTGTTGCAGCAATTGAACGACTTGACTTTGTTCCTACATTTTTCGTAATGCCTAACGTGCTGTCCAATTTTTCTCGTCTATCCCTGTGCTTTTTTTAATCTGTTCCCACCTCCTTCCGCCATTTAACAATGACTTTCTCGATAGTTCCGCTCTTTTGTTTTATCTGCGTTTATAAGAAACCAGACGTTACTTCTCTCTACAAAAGAAAGACGCCAAAACTTACACCCAAGCCGTTCGAGACAACACCATCATTGCCTGCTCTTACACTGCACATTTTCAAATAACTATGTACTACTGGGAACAAAATAATAAGATCTTGATATTACAAAATAAGAATATTACAGAGTACCCAACGGAAATGTTTGCGCTCTGCTATTCAAAGGAGGTCGAATATGTGATTACTATAGTAATTGTAGCTGGCTAAAGTACACATTCATAATCAGGATGACGTTTCAAGCCCTACGAATCTTCGATATGGACGGAGCAGTTCCAGGGGTATGCAAGACATACTCAAGAACACTCGGTGTGGAGAGAAAAGAGCTCACGGAGCTGTACGTTCAGCAAAGTGTTCACGATGACTAGGTAGCCAGCAAAGAAGAATTCTCTAAAGGACCAACGATGAAGAAGGGTGTTGCGTCCGCAGAAGCCATCTCAGGGTCCATGCAATAAATTCTCTCACTACTTTAGCAATTAGACATACTGATGATATGCGAGTTATGCAGATTATCTATGCAAATGATATCCATGCGCTTATTATAAGCCGGTCGTGCTAACAATGGCGATGATGAAAAAAGTCGGTGTTGACATCACAACAGAAACAAGGATCAGCTGCTGATGGCGAACGATCTTATACTGAGAATGTCGATGGATCACAACAAGACCAAAGTGATGGTTCAGGATAAAGATGATTTTGAAAAGTGACTTGATAGTACTGTAAATGTCGAACTCGATATATTTAACTTCCAATCACTCATTGTAATAGGCACAGGTACAGTAGCGTGATGACTGACCCTTTGACAGGAATGAATCACCACGTTATCATATAATCGTTGAACCAAATAAGGTAAACGTGTAGTAAACACTGTCTGGGACCTGGCTTTCTTGGATGCACAACAAGTTTGTCAGAGACGCAGCCAACATGGCAAAACATGATTTGACGTATTCGCTTAATTTCGCTTAACAACATCACATATGAGGATAGTATCCTCTACGAGCAAGTTTCTCCCCCACAATTTGGGGTTGGTATGCCAATGGTTCCGCTTTGTAGCAAAAGGAGCAAGCAATCTTACGCTAACCGCGACGGGATTCTTCAGTATTGCAAAAGATAACCGTGTGTACAACATTCCCAGTCTAGCTGGTGGGCCAGCAATGAACTAGTCATCTTTAGCTAGTGAAACTCTCAATGTAAATAGTATTAAGCAACTTACTATATTTTAAGCGTAGGTGTGCAGAGTATGTTAGATCGCATGGCAACAGCTACTCTGTGTCTGGCAACAATGGCACAAGTCGGTTATTTGCTGATGATGGAATAGAATCTCGAGACAAAACGGACGAAATAGGGATCGAATCCTCCGGCGGTTTATATTCTGTCAAGGATGAAGATATCAGGTGTGTACACTTGGCAAATGCTTGGAAGCTTATCCGTAGGACGGCAAACTCGTTAGGTATGTACAACAGCGCTTATTACATTCCAAGATTTAGCTGCTTTCAATACTTGCCAAGAAGAATAGGCAGTGTATGGTAATCAGTGCGTGGAAAGTACACTCTTACGTTGATCAAAACGACTTTGCGCAACGAGCACTCCAGGGATAGGATGATGACACCTAACGCACGCCTCGTCCGTGCAGTCCTTTTTATAACACATTTCCGTTAAACACACTTTTCCAAGTACCATCAGTAAAGTACAAACAGTGCTGTTAATGCAAAGATTCGATGATTCGCTCAGAGTTATTCTACTACACTTGGAGTCGTCCCGCACTATAAATAACTCTCTTCTAACAATCCAAGTAGACTCTTTTTACTCTGCGCAGCTCATCATCATGCTTGGGAACTCATGATCTTTTGTTCCTACTCTAACCTTTATTTTCATAACGGAATTTGAAACACGCCTTTTCTCTTTCTCTCTCTCTCAGGGTCTGCTCCCCCTGTCCATCACCAGGCCCGCAGCAGAAATTTAAAAAAAAAGCAAGAACAAAGTAAGAAAGAGATTCTTGTCTGAAAAAACGAGCGAGAAAGAGGTGAATCTCTCTCTCTCTCTCTCTCTTTTACTCTTGCCGCTTTGCAAATTCTACAGAAAAAAAAATAAAAGATATGAATTTTTTTTTGGGGGGGGGAAATAAATCAACTAAAAAAAAAGCCTCTGGCTTTTAGAGCAAAGCAGGGCAGCGCGCGCGCGCGCGTGTGTGTGTGTGTGTGTCGTTTAGAATTTTTGTGACGACGAACCCTACCTCGCTTCAAAAAATTTTGTGTGCTGCACAGAAAACTTTCCTCTTTCGTTGTAACAATGTGTAAGTAATTAAAAAAAAAATGGCCGTGATTTTCTTCCTTGTCCTTGGGACATTATGGTTAGAGTCCAAACAATTCGGCTAACACTCTAGTTCTGTTTATTAGCTGGAAAAAAGAAAGCACAAAAGATGTCGTTGTCCGACTTTTTGGCGGACGACAGTAAGTTGCTCGTATAGCGTTTTGTACATGTATTTGTTAGAAAGAGGCTGTGCTATGTGTATTGAGGAAAAAAGGGGCTGACCAGGTTCTCTGTAAATTATAGACGGTGGCGCATCCTGGGCTGACGAAATGGCCAGCTTGCCTTCTGCTCGTAAGTTTTTTGTCACGAAAAAAAGAATTTAACTCTTTCGTCGATCTTTAATGCTCATTTTCACACATATTAATAATATTTGCTTCCTTTTTTTTTTTCGCAATAGCTGCAGGTTAGCGAGAAAGGAAAAAAAAAGAATAAAGAGTGTACGTGTAGTGAGCAGTGTTTTAACTTTATATATTTTTTTGATGTTACAACCTTGCGTATATTAGCAGTCAAGGAGGAAGCGGATGGTGGTTTCGGCTCTCCCCGTGGCGATCGTTTCGGTAAAGAATAATGACGAGCCATGTCGTTGTTGCTGGGGTGGGGATACAAACAAGTAGTGGAAAAGCTAACGATCCATTTGATATTTAGCCCGCGACCGTGGTTTTGACCTTCCCCGAGGCCCTGCTGGAGGCGACGGTGGTTTCGAGCGACGCGACCGATTCTCGGCTCCTCGCCCTGACCGTTTTGCTCCTCGTGCCCCGGTTGAATTGCCCACCGAGCCTCCATTCACAGCCCACATTGCCAACTTGTCGTTTGAAGCCAACGAGGATGACTTGGCTGACTTTTTCGGTCAGATGAAGGTGTGTATCTGTTGTTATCTTGTGATAGAGAAAAGCCGTTTTATGCAAAACGCATCGGTTATTCTAATGGCATGAATTCTTGAAAGATTGCAAGCATCCGTATCCTGCGTGACCGTGAAGAGCGATCCAAGGGCTTTGGTTACGTTGAGTTTGAGGACTTGGATTCGCTCAAGGGAGCTTTGGAATTGACAGGCGAGGTAATGTATCTGCAGTCCGGATTCTCGCACACTTTTCAAGGAGATCTTTGTGTGATGAGTGATGGTGTTAAGGGTGGGTGGGGGGGGAGTGGAGTTGTTGTTGCTGTTGAATGAAACAACGATGAAAATAAGGGTTTCCCGCACTAAAAAGATATACACCACAGTCCCTGCAAGGCCGTACAATCCGCGTCAATGTTGCTGAACCCCGTAAGTGCTCTGTTTCTGTATAATAAAAAAAAAGGAGGTGTTGTGTATGTGCGCGTAATTGCTGCGGCGGGCTACCCAGAAAGAGAAGACGATGATGATCTTTAATGCGAGATGTATAATATTTCTCTAGCCAAGGACCGCCCTGAACGTGCCCCTCGTCAGCCCGATCGTACGGATGTGAACACCTGGCGCCGTGAGACTCCAGTCGAGTTGCCCGAACGACGCGGTGGATTCCGTGGTGGTCGTGGCGGTGGCAGCAGCGGCGGCGGTTTCCAAGACCGTCGCGGTGGAGACAACTCATGGAGCGGTGGAGCGTTTGCCAGACGAGACGACCGCTTTGGCAGCCGGGATGCACCTGCAGAACGCCCACGCTTGAACTTGAAGCCTCGCAGCACAGACGCCCCTGCCTCTTCGTCTGCTGCCAGCAGCAACAACAAGCCTAGTCCGTTTGGAGCAGCCAAGCCTGTGGACACGGACTCTGCACTGAAGAAGATCGAGGACAAGCTGACCAAGACGACGTTGGAAGAAGACAAAAAGTCAGAGAGCGGACAGGAGCCGTAGATGAAAATGTTTACTTTATTAATAAAAAAACGAAGAAAAGAAAGAAAAGAAGATCCTTCGCTACTAGCACTCTATCCACACGCCATCCTCGCTACTACTTATCACTACTACTATTGCTACTACTACCACTTGCTCTTCCTCCATCCTCCTATCCCTTCCCCCCCCTCCTCTCTTCTACTCTCCGAAAACCCTTGAAAAGAACTTGCATATGCTGTATTCCTTCTTTCTCTCTTGGACACACGTCTTCTTCCTAGCTATACGATTGCTCTTTTTGTATTGCCAAGTAACATGCTGTGTTATGACATGCGCCCCTCAGATGCCGTTTGTGTTTTGACTTTTTTCTTTTTTATATCAATTATAAGAAAGGAGACAGTTGGGGAATGGATGCGGAATATTATAATTTACAAAGGAAGCATACCGTTGGCAGATATGGAGTACACTAGTGAAACATGAGAGATGCAGAATATACGATACGAAGGAGACAGGGAGGGAGGGGGGGGTGTTGGGCGGTGGTGTGATGATGCTAGAAGAGAGAAGGTTGATGAGGGATGTTGTTGCGTATACAAGTATACAAGTATACAAGTAAGAGAGAGAGAGAGGAGGCTTCTTTTAGCCATTCATGGTGTGATAGATGAGGTAGCTTGGCAGGCCATAGACACCGTAGCCCATGGCCTTGGCCATCTTGGCAAAGCCTTCGGTTTCGACCTGGTGCTGGAAGACGAACGCAGGAAAGTTGGCTCCTTCTCGATGTACGTGTGCTTTCACAAGCGTGAATGTAGCGCCCTAGAATAAAGATAACATGCACGCAGGACACCCCCCCCCCTTGTGAGTGATACTATATTCTACCACATCCGTCTGTACATGATGTACGCCATGCACGGCACATCCAGTGCGAACATTAAAAAAAAAAGATGCAATGCATACCACGCCATCCAACGGCACCTTCTCCAGCTTGCTGTGATGCGTCGGCATATCCACCATCAGATACCGGTTGGTCAGGAATTCGTAGTAGCCTAAAAGGAAACCCAGATATTTTTGCTGCTCAGCATGTGACGCTCTTTTGCTCTTGCTTGGAAGCTAAGCCAATAATCCTCCTCCTCGTTATCATTCCCCTCCCCCTTCCCCCACACCTCGTCACTACTAGTAACACCCTCCCCCCAACGAGATGATACACACCTTCAAGCAAGACGTACTCCTATATAATAAAAGATGGTTTGCATAAAAGGAAGAAAAGGTCAGCAAAAGGGTTTTTTTTTTTTAAGGAGGTCGGAAAGAAAAAAGTTCACTTACAGGATCCAAGTCCTTTTGCATTTCCAAGGAACGGTCAGTCTCCTGCCAGTTATTTTTGTCATAGCCCCAGAACGAGTTGTCCTCGGTCTCGCGCAGACAGTTGGGCACCACCACATCGACGTCGACGCTCTGCAAGTCCTCCAGAACCGTCGTCGGGTATTCGACCAGGTCCACGTCCAGCCACAGCACCCAGGCATGCTCGTCGCGCAGTGCAGCTGTCAGCAAGTAGTTGCGGGCTCTCGCCATATAGGAGCGACGCAGGGGCTGGAGCTCAAACGTGTGGCGCTTGTCCTCCGGAAGCTCAAAGCTAAAGTCCTTTTGGTAGATGGTGATGTCGTGGTACCGGTCCTTCCAGCGGTTCAGGAACACATGCGCCTGCTCTTGCAGCAGCTCGACCGTGTTATCGGTGGTGTCGGAGACGAGAAAGGCGACTGAGATCAGGTGCTTTGGGTATGACATGCTGTCCAGGAGCTCAAAGTAGCGCGGCAGGTAGCTGGCGGCGTTCTTGAGTGGGGTCAGGATCAGGACGTGCTCCTGGTTGTCTTTGGCATTCGCTGTTGCTTCGAGGTCGTTGAGGTTTCTAAAGATTGGGCCTCCGCCGTCCTGACGGTATTGGTGGTATTGTTGTTGTTGCTGCTGCTGTTGCTGTTGTTGCTGTGGAGAAGATGCTCGGCTAAACGCAACTGCCTCGTTGAATGTGCGGATGGTGCGACCGCCGCAAGGACCGGTGGCCGGCCGTGCAAAGGTGAAGAGTGACAAAAAGAGCATAAAGACGACGGCAGCGAGGGCAATGCCCTGTCGCTTGTTGCAGCGGATACGCAGCAGTGAGGAGGATGAGGATGATGTTTTTTCAGAGACGCCGCTCGTCATGGCAGATGTGTAATGTCGTTTAGGAAAGAAGACGAGGATTCTTTAAAAAAGAGAGGAGAGACGGTCGGGTTCAAGTAGGGTGAAGAGTGAGTGAGTGAGTGAGTGAGTGAGTGAGTGAGTGAAGAAAGAAGGAAAGAAGTGAAAGAAAAAGAGAGAAAGTGAGGGATCGACGGAGAAGAAGAAGAAGAAGAAGAAAGATAAATAAAAACGGGACCAACTTGAAAAAGAACGTTTCCACCTGCATCAGCACGCCTTTTTCTCTCTTTTATAATGTGCGAGGTTTCACAACCTTTTTTTTTTTTTTTGCTTCCACTGTAGATCACTTTTTCCATCACCGACGTTGGGTCGATCCCATATCTTGCCAAGCGTTCAAGTGTTTGTCATCTTCTGGTCTGGCCCTTATTTAGGCAACTCCTTACTAAGTAAGTAAGTATATGCTGTGCTGTTTGTATTTATATAGTAGTAGTAGTAGTAGTACAGTGTGCACTGTGGCAAAGCCTTCTTTTCTCTGCCATATTGCTGCTAATACTGCTGCTGGGACAGAAATAGCTCACCTTTGTATTTTTAGCTACCATAGCTAACCAAGCAAGCAAGCAAACAAACAAACAAACACCACACACTTATAGCAATAGTGTCACCCTCTTGCTTGTCCGGGAACTTGCACCGAAAAGAAGGGACGATCGTCATTGTTTTTTTTTTTTTTCATGTCGTCATTTACTTTTGGTGTTTTTGTGTAAACAAGGCGGATCGTCGTTATTTATTTAATAACAATGGCAATATATGCATTCTTGAAGCTACATACTGGTATTGCAGACAAACTCGGGACCCCTCTATCTCTGTCCATCCATCATCCGTATTCACTTATTCACTTAAGCATCAAAAGGCCATCCGTCTATTTTAAAGCGGAGCATCCTATGTCCTAATCGTACCAGTAGGACTTTTCCGATAGGATGATGTGCTTTCGGTTCAAGGTTACTTGGGGTCGATACAGTTCTCGAACACATATACACACGACTTCTTGGCAAGTGCTAAACATTTCTTTTTTGCTAGTATTGTAGTAGCAAACTTTAGCACGATAGCGAAAAGCCATGAAAACTTAATTACGTCCGTTTCATTTCATTTAGACCGTAAAATTAAAAGCATGCTAGACAGCGATATGAATTAGACAAGCGTCCGCTATTGGATGTTGCTTCATAGTATGATACCTCCCCCACCCACGCCGTGTTCACCCTACCTTTGTGTCATTGTCTCTTTTCTGCGACCAGCAGCAGAAGACAGTGTCACCTTTATCAAAGACAGGGGAGGTTGGCATAGAAACTTTCATCCGGGTCATCATCTAGCTTTGCAAAAAAAAAAAAACACAACGCTTATCAATGCGCATATGGAAATTTTTCTTTTTTTGGGCATATGTGCAACTAGTGTGTTATACTTTTTCTTTTTCTGTTTAGGCTTCTTGGCGCCGCCACATGCTACATACAGCGCATGTATAACAACCGTGTGCATAGACACTACTCCTGAGAACGGTTCGTTAACTAAAAAGAATTCGGCATGCTTATTACTACTTACTTGCTGCTGCTACTACTGTCTTGGTGCACCTTTTCTTCGTAATGTACCACTTTAATGTATTATCATAAATTTTGCGTTGTATCAAAATTGCACTTACACATCAGCACCACCGCGCAGAAAAGGACCGACAGATACGCAGCAGTTTCTATAATTAACACATCTCGTAAAGTGATCGACATTCTTATGTTTCAGACTGACTGATTGATAAGCACCTACTTGACAGCTCGCAGCTTTGGCGGACGAATTTAAGCTGCATGTTTATGATGCGTACGAGTTTTTTCAACGTTGCTGTTGCTTTAATCAAAGAACATGGGTACTCAATTCCACTACTATCATATTGCTGCTGCTGCTGCTGCTGCTGCTGCTACATTATAAACAAACATGGTGCTCAAAGAAAGTGCAGTTCTATTTTTACAGAATGGAGTCATTTCTATTGTACATACATTCTGCATGCCTTTTATGAGTCCGTTCTATTCTCCTGCTAATATAAAATATATATGCGCATATGCTTTTGGTTCCATCCTAAATACAATAATCGTTACATCTGTCTTTTAAATTAAGCCCCAGCATTTTGCTGCTTCAGTTTCCTTGGTATACCGTCCAAAGCCTTCACCCATCAAAGGCACATGGCCAGTACTCATTCGAGTGCTTCGTGAGATCGATCCAGCCCCCTGAAATTGCTAACCGTCTCCACCAGCTTTTTCTCGACTCAACCCCTTGGAACCGCCTTGCTGGCTTATTTCGAGCCTGGTTCCATACCCGTATTTATCTATACGGTGCGAACGCTTACCCATGTTCAACTGAGTTACTATTTTACTTGTCATGATCGAACAACGATCATTGGTGTATATGAGTGGCAGGACATCATGATATTCTGAAAACTGGCGTGCTCGATATCAAAGCAATATCATTTCAGTATAGCGCAGCGGGGTGACGCGAGTGGGGGTTTCCCTTCAAATTAATAAACGTGTCGTTTGCCACCACGATCCCCCGAGAGGGCAACAAAGTCAATAACATTGATCTTCAACAGCTCGTACTAGCTCTATTACGCTTTGAACTCTTGATATATATTGTGACTCCCCGGGTTCTTGTTGCACTCTCAATAAGAGCAGCCTTCATATCAACTGATATTTTCGTGTACCCCCACCCTTGTCAATACTTAAAGGTATACATACCAGTATCTTCATCCAAAGAACACATCAACAAAACTATACTAAATGGAGGGAGGCGACCCTACTTTCCAAGTGCCACGCACGACGTGGATTAGAGAATATTTAAAGTGGCTGTATGATCTAAAGAGGCCGGGAAGCATGCCACTGGTTTAGAAACGTCAAGATATATGTAGCACAAGAAAAGAAAGTAAACACACTTTGGATGGCCAGAACTTTATGCTTCTGCGTCTGTCAAAACATGGTTGCTTGCTTTTTATAGCGTTGAGCTTCTTTACGGTAATGCGAGTTTTAACACCGCGCAAAAAAGGGTTTTCTGCTCCTTTTATGCTGGTCGCGTTATATATTCAATACTTATTGAGTAGTCTCATACGTATACATGAGCTTTCTGTTGACTTGAGCATATCTTTGATGCGGCTTGTTTGGTAAGGAGTACCTTAATACTGTCGGTAATCAATACACCGATGACGTATTATATAGTAATCCGCACATAAGTTATTTGACAGATATGTTTTCTCGCTCCTCAGACCGTCTTTACCTTTGGCAATGTTTAATGACTCAAGTAGCTTGTTACGGTCTCCGTGGTACGCTTGAATGATATGTGAAAAATACAACAACAGTTTGTAATACATCCCACGCCGACTAGTGCATTAGCTCAGCGGAATTTGTGTGAGATAAAATGATGAACGCCGAACAAAACCCGCCGTTAAACAAAAACAAAGGCCGAAAAGTTAAAGACGCTCTTTTCCTCATTTCTTTCTTACTTTATTGGCAATCATCATGAAAGGATACCTTATAACTGAGTTGCTCAAGGGCCCCGAACAATTGGTTCTGCGAACGGATTTGCCCCCAGAAGAGCCGAAACAAGGAGAAGTTCAAATCCAGGTTATCGCAGCTGGATTAAATTTCTTTGATATTCTTCAGGTACGCGCAACACATTATTCGAGAATAAGAAGGAATGATATCATCAACCCTATGCAGGTTCATACATGCATAGAATAGGTCGACAAAAACCTGTGCATACATACTGTATACGTGTAATTCAGCTCATAGTAGAGTAATAATTACAACGTCGTCGTTATATCACAAAATTCTACTACTAGATCCAAGGAAAGTACCAGTGGAAACCACCCTTGCCGTTCATTCCCGGCTCAGAGTTCGCTGGAGTCGTGTTGCGCTCGACCGTACCCGAGTATAAGCCTGGCGATCGTGTATTTGGTTCGAATCATTCGCTTGCACAAATCATCACCGCGTCGCCCCGCCAAATCCAACCTATTCCCAAAGGCATGACGTATGAACAAGCGGCGGCGTTCTATATCACGTTCCCGACCAGTTATGCAGGACTTGTCGTGCGTGGCCAATTGCAGGCTGGCGAATACTGCCTTGTCCATGCAGCGGGTGGTGGTGTTGGCCTTGCTGCTGTCCAGATTGCCAAGGCGCTTGGCGCTACGGTCATTGCTACAGCTGGATCTGCCGAAAAGCTGGCCGTCGCCAAGGCGAACGGTGCAGATTTCATTGTAAACTATCGAGACAAAAACTGGACTGAGCAAGTAAAACAGATCACTCGTGGTCATGGTGCGGACGTAGTTTATGATCCGGTCGGCCTAGTAGAAGACAGGTAATAGGGAGGGGGGGTGGGGGATGGACATGATATCCAAAATAGTCATGAAAGCGAATGGATCCACTCATGCATCCGGTGTCGGCTTTCTCCGTATTATTTGCACATTACAGTACCCGGTGCATCGCTTGGAACGGACGAATCGTTGTTATTGGTTTTGCCAAGGGCACGTTCGAGAAGCTGCCGACCAATCGAATCCTGCTGAAGAATATCTCGATAGTGTACGTCAACAACCCCTCTCCCCCTCCTCCCTAATACTAATTAATTCGCCCGCAGCAGTTTCACTCATATTTTAGTTTCTTGTATCATATAGCGGTCTCCATTTCGGAGCATACACGCAATTTGAGCCGGAGACAATTCAATCGACCTGGGATGGTCTGTACAAACTGCACGCAGAAGGCAAACTCGATCCGGTCGTGTACCCCAAATCTTACAGTTTGGAAACGGTCCCTCAGGCGATGAATGCCTTGGCCAGCAGAGAGACGTATGGGAAAGTGATTGTCAAAGTTAGCGAAGAATCTAATAGCACCAGTAAACTGTAAAACCATTGTCCACCTTTTGCCATACTGATGTCGCAAGAAAAAGAAAACAAAGTGTCTTAAAAAAAACAGTGTCGTATGTTTTTAGAAAAGAGTGTCGCACAATTCAGGAAGATAGTGTCGCACTTTTAAAAAAACATTGTCGTGCTTCTCAACAAAAAGATGTCGCATATAATATTTGTTTATTACATAGGACGACCTGTAAGGCAGTCATCAAAACGTTTAACGGAATAGCGTGCAAATCCTTTTAAAAGATGACTGGGCAACTTGGTTGCTAGCATCTGGCAACTATGTGAGGAATAGTATCTCGGGGGGTGGGGTCGGCATTTCATCAATGGTGGTTGGCTAGTGCTGTCCAACAACTATTGTCGATCACTAATGTACAAATCGAGTATATGTATGTGGATGGGAGAGTAATCGACCAGACTCCAATTCTTTTGTACACCTTACCAATATGAGCAGTTCATGAGATACCAGTTTCCGAAAGATGCTACACAAAAACACGCATAGGAGTATTGTCTTGTCGTCCAGTTCTTTTGTTCCAGATCGCACCACCTCAGGTCGATATCTTCAAAGACACGCAATACAGACAAGGCATACGCTACTAATGATAGTCTAGATGAACGAACATCAGTTCGATACAAACAGGCATACCACGTTCACTTAGGGCGTCTATGGGCTAATCCACACCACTACTACCAGCATTCCAGCACCTTGCGAGGTCCAGTAGATTCCTTCACCAAAGGATGATGAGACTAACAAGAAGAGAAGCACAGTTTGCGTGTGTCTTTCCCGCGGCGGGAGTTTAGAATAAAACACCGACGTGCATCATTGAATCTCACTAAAAAAACTGTCAGGGAATATTCAACTGAGATCGAGGCCATTTTTATCAAGAACACAATAATTCATATCCTGATCCTGATGAAATGATCTTGAGGTTACATTCTACTCATGATACGATAATAGTATATCAGATTCCATCAGAGTCTGGATTTCACCTTGGACCAAAATTGTTGAGTAGGGTTGAAACAAGTACTCCATAAGTTAGCGGGGGGATAACTTACAAAGCAGAGGAGGGAGCAAGTTATTCCATAACTCAATATATATCCTTATTACCATTCCATATTGATCATAAAATAAGGTTTTACCCATTAAAAGATTTTTCATTCTAATAATATAACATTAGGTCTTTTTTTAATCATTATTCTTAAAAAGTTAATAATCAAAAAATAATAAATTATTATAGAAAGATTAATAAGTATTATATATAAAAGATGTAATTTTTAAAAGATATAACAATTTCCATACAATTTTTAATATATGATATTATTAAATATATATCAATTTAAAAATTTATTTATAATTAAAGATTGTTCCTCTATTAGAATAATTCAATTTTTATTTTTTTTTAAAAAATTTATTACTAATTTTTAAAATCTAAAATCAAATTTTCATTTTTGATTAGTAAATAAAATATTTAATTAGATTTTGGATATTTTAAAGATTCCAAATATTTTAGATTCTTGTTTAAATATTAAATAATTTTCTAACAGTTCTTCATTGCTTCCAATACAATTAACTAATTCTAGTATTTCTTGTTCTGTGGGTTTGAGGTGGTCTTAATACAGGCAGGAGTTTGATGATTTGGTTCATAATTCTTTCGCTGTTACTGTTGCCTTTTGTCAACTTCCATAGACACTACTGGTCTTGTCATCTTCATTAAAGGTTCCCAAGAGCTTAAATGAAAAAGTATTAGTGTACTTCATAACTAGGTAACACTTGTAACTTCAGATCTTCAGAACAGCCTTACCTTCTTTGTGACGTATTTGTTCAAGTCATTATTTTGAATTTTGTTATCAGTTGTATAGCCAGCTTTTGTGGAGTCACTAATACCCAAACCTTCTCCATTATTTTCTTCATTATTTCCACTTTTAATAAAGTTATTATTGGCTAGTGAGTTGCTGTGATCCAGTGACTGAGTGACTTGTGATGCTGCAGACTCTGCTACAGCCGCAGCTACATCTAATGATTCATAGCTGCTTCACTACACCTATCGACCTATCCACCACCATTCTCTACAAAGCATTAATGGTTATAATGATAGATGTGAGACAGCTGCCACGTGTGAGGTAATGCTACACTTACGCGTCAGTTCATTCTTGTAAGGATATCATTTCAGATCAGCAGATTAAGAATCTTAGGTTTCCTTAGACTAATCAATAAGAGGTGAGATCAGTAAGACTCACAGGATTAAAAGCCTTTTATCTTACCCTTTCGCATTTCCATTCACTTCCATGTACATTTGGCTGTACTTTTCAAACCAGAGGCCATTAAGAGAAGCACTTGTATTTATCGATCCCTGGAATGACCAATCGTCCAACAAGTTGGCCACATTGTTTTCAACAAAATTTGTAAAAGAAGCTTTTGCAGTTTGTTCGATATAACCTCTTAGCTCTTTACAAAGTATAACAAGACAAAAGTTTTAGTAAGTTTTAGCTGGTTAACGAAAGTTTTTACATTTGTAGCTTTAATAAATCATGTTGTAAAGAAAAGAGTGTGAGAAGGGACCAAGTTGAAATGCACGTCTGAACTTTATGTCAAAGAGGTTTTCATATCCCAGCATTCAGTCTCCAATATGCATGCACCACCTGGAATCGTTAAATCGCCAAACCATTTCCCTCCCCCCACCCACGTTTTATTTGGGTAAAGGTGAAAAAAAACAGTGTCGTGCTTTTCAAAAAAATAAAGTTGTCGTATGATCTTATTGATGATTTTTTTTCTCTTCTAATAGCTAATTAATAACAATGAATATTTCGTTCTTTTTTGAAGATGGCTTAGGAAACGTTGTTGATGAATATAGGAATGACCAAGTGGACATCACTGAATGAAGATCCTTTCAAGCTGGAAGAATTAAGTTTTACAGCACTTACGTAGCTCTAAGAGCTAACTTAGTAGACAGTGAGGTGTTGCAAGAGTGTCAAGAAGAGATGCTGGAGAGTGTTGATAAGCAACCATCTGGCTCAAAACACAAAAAAAGACTCATTAAAAGGCAATCGCATCAATAACGAGACCAAAGCCCATGCTGTTCACTTAGTTGATATTCATCCTAGGAGCAGCGCAAGAGCTGTGGCCTTAGAGTTCAAGTTGGAGCCTAGAACTGTACAGAGATGGTACAAGACTTGGAAAGAGGACCCGAACTCACTGTTCAAGACCTAAGGTCGCCCAAGAATTAATGAACCTGAAGGAGAACTAGCAGAGGCGACCAAAAGTCTAGTGTCTGATTTCTATTACAAATATCCCACTGCCACCATAGATCAGCTTTATTAAGCATTTCAAAAAGAACGCTCTACCGTTATATGGTCGACTTGTGGATTTTCACCACTAAAAAGGTTCAGTTGGAGTCTGTAGAAAGAAACACCCCAGAGAGAATCCAAACAAGAAAAGAATGGGTGGAAATGCTGAAAGAGTTGGGTGTTGACTATATGAGCAACAGTAATGTTTTCATCGCCGAGTCAGTCAGGGTTCAATGCAACCCTGAGAAGGACTCAAGGCTGGGCACCAAAAGGGGGGAGGCTGCTAAAGTCAATTCAAATTTCTATCCTGGGCGCCACCTCTGTTAAAGGCCTCATCAAGATCAGCTTGAGACAGCCAATACCATCTTCCAAAGAAAAGAAAGCTAGCTGGTGACAAAAAGCAGCGAACAAAGGGCACAGTGACCAATCATTATGTCAATTTCATCAAAGATATTGTTGTTGAGATGAAGTTTCCTAAATGAAAGGACATTATCTGATTATGGATAATGCGCCCATACATATGTACAGGCAGAATAATTGGTGAGATGATCGAGAAGCGGTGCGACACTCTTTTCTTAAAACATACGACACTGGTTTTTTTTAAAAGTGCGACACTTTTTATTTTGTTTCTTGCGACATCATTTTGGCAAAAGGGGGTGTAAAACTAAAACCGCTCCACTATTTTTATTGCATGACGCCCATGTGGGCTCATCTGGGGAGCTCCGCTCAGCCCAATCAGTTTGAAAGCGTTTTTGAGTGGAGAACCAAAAGCACACAGTGCAATTTGTACGGCCCTAAAAGGCCCGAGGCTCCAAGTGTGGATCGCGATACATCGGAGTTTATGCTGTGGAACAAATTTGTGTGTGGTTCTCGCTGTCTCGTACTCTTTTGTTGCACGTCCCAAACTTTTTTGTCTTTGAAATAAGAGAGAGAGCCTGATCTGGAACTCGAACCTTTTTTTTTATAAACTTCTCTTTAGCCTCTTCAGTCATCATAAAACGCTAAATTTTCTGGGGAATGAGCGCACGACCACCTTCGTACCCCATGGAACACCAGGAACAGGTCGTTTTTACCGACGCATCGCCACCACAACCACCACTGCAATCGCTGCAATCGCAGCAAAAGACCGCCAATGCAAACACGTTTGTCCATAAGCTGTACAAGTAAGACACTGGAATTATGGCCTACTTTTGCTTGGGATGTAGGATTTTACAAGGACTAATTGTCGAAAATAGTATGGTGATAGATAACCAGTATCAGCATCTTATTGCTTGGACCTATACGGGATCATCGTTCATCGTTTGCAACATTATGGAATTCTCACGAGATGTGCTTCCGAAGCATTTTAAGCATAATAACTTTTCGAGCTTTGTTCGACAACTTAACATGTATGTACAACCGTCCATTTACCGGGCATACATAAACAACAAAACGGGGCGCTGAAATAGGTACTAACATGTGAAATTATGTTTTCTGGGGGGTTATATTTGTGTTTGATTCTTGATCAGGTACGGATTTCACAAGGTGAACAAATCGCCTCGAGGGCATCGCACCCTTGCAGAGAACCAGATCTGGGAGTTCTCACATCCACGCTTCCTGCGCAACCGATCTGACCTTTTGGACGACATCAAACGCAAAGCGATTGAAGCCGACACCAGCCGTGGACGGGACAACCGTGATCTGCACAGCCATATGACAATGATGCAGGTCACGCATTCGGATATGATGCAGCGGATCAACCATCTTTTTGAGAACATCAATGAAGTGGTCAAAGAGCTGGCAGAGACCAAGCGGAAGCAGGCATCGCAAGAAGAGCTCATGAAAAACATGCTCCAATTCATCAGCCATCAAAACGGCGGACACATTCCTCCCGAATTACATTATCACGATCTCGACAAGACTTCTCCATCCATTCATCCCACTACGCCACATACAACAACAGCAGCAACAGCAACAACACCGACTCCATCTATCTTCATTACTTCACCTGACCATGCTCTTGATACCTCTACGACAACTTCTGCAGCAGCAGCTGCAGCCGCTGCTGCTCAGATGTTCATGCATTCTCCATCTCGCAGTCCGCTCACCGTCCAAACACAAAACTTGTCGCCCTACCACCATCATCAACAACATCATCATCAACGACATTCATCCACAGGCTCAATAACATCCCCCGTATCTCCTTTGGCATTGAGTCCGTTCGGCATGTCAACCTCGTCCAGCCCGAGCCCACTGGTATCTGACGACGATTCACTGTACTCGCCACATTCACCAAACACTCCCAGAAGTCAGGCCTCAACATCCATGCTGGCAGTAGATCCGCCCACACCACGACCGTCAGGAAGCATGAATGGCAGTAGTAGTAGTAGTAGTAGTAGTAGTAGTGCTGATGGAGGTGGCAATGGCAGTAATCCGTACACATTCGTCATAAACCCCATGGATTCGCTCTCTCACCGGTAATGCGCTGGCTCGCTTTAACCCGCAGGAAGTGAAAAGGAGAGGAGGCCAAGGGGAGACTACTGCTATATGCGATGAAGTCTGGTGTGTATTGTGTATGGGAAGTTTAGTTGATAATGCTCAGCCTGGGGCAACTGTATACATAATTATATATATATACTATATTTTTTTTTTCTCTTTTCCGTTATTTATGCACATACGATATTTTATACATAAAGGGCATTTCGGGCACACAAAAGCATTGCATCTGATAAGTTAGTATTGATCCAAGGAGAAAAAGGGTGGGGCCTGCAGATGTTTCAGATCCAGGAGTGTCAAAACCATAAATTTTTACATATTGTTCCGGGCATGGGCTATTCTGTGGGGATGCATATGGCAGCCAGCCGTGGAAATAAAAGAAGAACGGTTTGTATCCGAGAAGAGCTATTTTTCCCCCATTTCCTATACTCGAATGGTATAAATCAGCACAACGCGAAAAAAGTCTATCTACAAAATGCCTCAAAAGGTTATTAAACCTTAAAAATAGATTTTGTTGAGGAGATATGATATTCCATCTCTCCAGAGTGACTGGGGTTCTTGGTTCGTCTGTCTTTTCCCACAATGTTTGCTCGTCGCGTTTTCCCTTCTCTATTAAGCCGTAACATGTCCACTTTGACCCGCGTTCGTAAGTTATTATTCAAAATGAAAACACCTGAATTGAAAGAATTAAAGTCTCACTCGAAACAAATCTAACAACGTACTCGAATAGAAACTAGCTCTGCTCCTGCCGCCATTGGTCCCTATGGTAAGCTTTTGTACGTGAAGAAAACGCGTCCAATAGGTCATGGCCTAAGTCAAAATAATTCTTTCCGATTAAATAGCCCAGGCCATTAAGGTCAATGGTTTTGTCTACACCTCGGGCCAGATTCCCATCATTCCTGAAACTGGTAAGTGGGGAAAAAGAGAGAAACTAGGTAGTGGTTCAGGACTGCTGCTGTATGGTAAAGAGTGGAGGTATTACGACACGTTTTACTCCGGAACAGAGAGAAGAGAGAACACGGTTTATCTGACAACAAGATCTAAAATAGGAAACTTGATTGAGGGTGGCGTTGTTGAGCAGACCAACCAAGTCTTGACTAACCTTTCTGAGGTTCTCAAGGCCGCTAACTCGGATCTCACCAAGGTCATCAAGACTACCGTTTTCTTGAAGGACATGAACGACTTTGTCGCCATGAACGAAGTCTATGGTTCGGTAAGTAGCGCTACTCACGATAATAATGGTTGACATCTTCGCGTATTGGGTCCCTAGTCAAAGCTGTAGAAAAAAAATTTGTGCTAACCCATTATGATGATTATCTAGTTCTTCAGCACCCACCAGCCCGCTCGCAGCGCTGTCCAGGTCGCTCGTTTGCCCAAGGATGTCGCTGTTGAAATTGAATGCGTCGCTTTGACTGATTAAATTTTATGTAACATATAGCAGGAAAATTACTTTTGCATTGTATAATCGAATAAATGAACTTGCTAAACTGCAAAAGGCCAATGTTCCGACATGCTTTCCTCTCTTCTTTCCCTTTTACCCATGCGCGCGCCTCTCTCATTATTTCTCCGTAGTAGAGCACCTGCAGCGGCTGCTGTTTCATTTGCTGATTAAATGTTTAATTTGACAGTTTCCAATGAAATTGCTGCATGTTGTTAATAATTTTAGCAAGACCGCTGCATGATCTGGTTTTTTAAGCTCACTGTTAAAATTCAACTCAATAGTGCGTCTAACAGTGACCGCTGCAGGTTCCTCGCCGTATGTACAAACACAAATTAATAAGTATCAATGTTCCGATTATGCGTATATATAGAGTATCGTCTTGTCAATTCCCCGTAAAGTATGATCTCTTGCAACAGTACCACTGTCCTAATTAAGCAAGGCACCGATGCACAAGAATTCATTCATTAATCATGTAATGTTGCTTGGTAATAGATGCCGCGGGAACTATAGACAGAAGACACAATATAAAAGGAGAGACGTATGGACAAAACATCTTCCATACAAACAAACCAAACGGTCCAATATGCTCAAGAATTATTCCTGGAAATCGCTGCTTTTCGCAATTACAGCATCCTCAAGCATGCTCCTGAACAAGGGCTTGGTCAGTGGTGCCGCTTGGCCGCTTACTGGTGATGTTGGATGTCATGATCCCACAATTATCCAAGAAGGCTCTCGATGGTACACCTTCTGCACTGGTAAATATGCGCATCAACAATAGTACTATCAATCATGCATGCTAACATGCATTTCTTCCACAGGTCAAGGTATTACCGTTCTGACAAGCGAAGATGGCCTAGCATGGTCGACAGTGCCACAGATTTTCCTCAACGAGCTTCCTTGGTGGGCAAATTACGTACCAGGCCACCCCGAACTCGACGTGTGGGCTCCTGATGTTTCTACATTCAATGGCAGAACGTATCTCTACTATTCGATCAGTACTTTTGGCTCTCGAACCTCAGTGATAGGCTTAGCCTCAGCAAGCAGCATTGATGCTGGCTCGTGGACGGACGAGGGCGCCGTCATCAGCACCACACAAGCCGGCAATGACTATAATGCTATCGATCCCTTCTTTGTGGTCGATCAAGACGGAAATCCATGGCTTGCGTTTGGCTCCTTTGGCTCTGGAATCAAGATCACGGCTATTGATCCAAGTACCATGAAGCCTACAGGCGATATCCACTCGATCGCGGCAAGGTCCGGCGGCATTGAAGCTCCGTCCATCATTTACCAAGGTGGTTACTATCATCTTATTGTCTCTATCGACAGTTGTTGCCAAGGGACATCATCCACGTACAAGATTGCCTACGCCCGATCGGAATCTATACTAGGCCCCTATCTCAATGAAGATGGTGTTGACGCTATGAACGGTGGTGTCACTGTTTTGGATGCTGGCAATGATAGATGGATCGGTCCTGGTGGACAGGATGTTTATGAATCGGTCATTGCTCGCCACGCGTATGATGCCGAAAATAACGGCGCCCCAATACTGCTTATTAGCGATTTGAACTGGAGCAATGGCTGGCCCACTTATTAAATATATATTTATAGCAACAAAGCTCGTTTTATTATTTATATTTATTCAAATACAACATCAATAAATTATACAGCTTTGTAAATAAGTAATGATTATTTGACTTGGATCACACCGGATGTCCATTCTTCCCAGTCCTCCTTGGGGTTACCGAGCCACTTGAGAGCGTTCAATCCAATGCGATACTTGCCAGCAGGAGCACGCAAAGTGATTGGAAGCTGGACATTGAAAAGTGTTGGTGTGTAAGTTCCGAACCATTGAACCATGATACCGGCGTTGGATGAGGTGGAACGACCAAGAAGAGTGAGGTCGGTGAATGCATAGCCGATCTTCTTGCCCTTTTCATTGTAGAGAGGTGCCTGAATTTCGCGAGTAGGGTTGTTCATGTAGATAATAAAGATGGGAGCGGTTCCTGAGGTGCGATCGTAGACGTAGGTGTCATTAGGACCGAACACGTAAGTGCCATCAGTGGAATTGGTGAGATATGGTGTGTCGTAGCCATAGATAGGGAGTTCGTGTTGGTTGCCGACAATGCCCATGTAAGGAATGGTAATGTCCTTTTGCTTTTGCTGGGATTTGAGTTGGACATAGCCGCCGTACATGATGTGATCTGCTGGGTTGGACTTGGGTGGGATCACGGTGACGTCAAGTTTGGCACTCTTGCCGGGCGAAATCTTGATAGACTTCTTGGAAAAACGCAATTTGGCAGAGTCAATGCCGTATGTAGCGGGCTCAGTGAACTGATACTCTTCTCGATCTCCGTAAGGAACAACCGAGACACTGACATTATTCAAAACTTGGTAAGAGACAATCGAATCTCCGTTGTTGGTAATGGTCAAAGTGTATGTCTTGTGCAAGTTGGCGGTGTCGTTGAAGCTGATGCCTCCGGGTGATACGTGAACTTGTTGCTGAATGGCGTCGTAAACTAAGTATATGGCAACATAGTACTTATTAGAGAACCAGCTCGCAGGAAAGATTGAGAGCATATAAATTGTGTCTATATTGCTTACCTTGAACAAGGCCGGCTCCCTGCTTGAAAGGAGAATCGATGTTATCCTCACCGTTCTTGTTGGGAGCCTTGAAAGCATAGTTCTGGAATTGTTCGAGGATAAAAGCAGGCGTAGTTTTCTTTCCCTTCAATGAATTGAGGAAGAGAGCAACGGAGCCAGATACATACGGGGTCGCCATGGAAGTGCCACTCATGATACCCCAGGTACCGAGCTGGCGGGGAAGAGTCGAGTATATGTTGCCGCCAACGCCAGCAATGCTGGGAGCAAAGTCTAATTCATAAGAAGCGCCAACACTCGAAAAAGAAGACACAGTGTTACCAGTGTTCACAGGTCGGACTTGTTGTTCGTCAGCAAAGGTCACGGATGTATCGCCCTTTTCGATATCAGCGAGGATGGTATTGCCCACGTCATAAGCAATGCCTACGACAGGAATGGTGGCGTTCGGGGTACTAGGAGTAAAGACATCCTGACCTTCAGTGTTGAAAACCACAACACCGACAGCACCGGCCTTTGCCAAGTTGTTTGCCTTATCGTCAAAGGCGCAACTGCCTCTCTGTACAATTGCCAAATTGCCGCTAACGTTGCTAGGAATGTTGGATGCATCACAGGCGTCAGAGTTACTGCCGACATTTTTATCACCTGCAACAATTCGACCGTTGGGAATATCACTGGGAGTAGGGCTGCCTTTGGCGTAACCTTAACAGTACGAAAGTCACATGATTAATATATAAAGAGGAGGGTGTCAAAGAAAGAAAGGAAAGAATTTGATAAAAAAGATAGGGGGAGAACTGCACCATATGTCTCGGTTGAGCCGTCGACTTGGAAGGTATCCATAAGATTATAGTTATTATCAAAGGACGCGACAGAGTAAGCACCATGGCCGACACTAGGAACGCTAACAGTGAAAGCGCCAGTAGCACCTTCATTACCAGCTGCGATGATCACTGTTTATCGGGAAAATGAGTGATCGCTAGTTAATATACATACATATTGCATTGGGAAAATATCGTGCTATATGCAGTACCTGGAACACCCTTCGCAGTAATGCGTTCAGCTACGACAGCGCTAGCTCCTTCGGGCCAGCCGTAAGTGTCACCCAAACTCATGCTAATGATATCAACACCAGTATCATAGGCATCCAACATGGCATCAATGATTACATCATCGGAGGCAGAGCCAGTGCAGCCGAATACACGCCACATACCGAGGGTTGCATCGGGAGCGACACCAGTAAAGTTCTGAGCGGGGATGTCAAATCTTGATTATTATTATATTGTCCCCCCCCCTTTTTTTTATTATGCAAGTATTGACAACAACAACAAACTACTTACATCGCTCTTGCCCGCAACAATACCAGAGACGTGGGTTCCGTGACCTATATACATATACATCGAAGAAGAAAAGCATATGTCATTAGCTCAGATCATTATCATGTAAATCGAAACAAGCTGAAAAAGAACCATTTTGTTGGGAAACGCACCTGATGCGCCAGTGCTAGCAACGCAGGCATCCATGGGGTCATCATCAGGGACCGGTGTCGAATTGGAACTGTTCGCATCGTAGTCATCACCGACCAAATCTTTGCCATAGCGCACTTTGTAGCCTTCACCAAAACCGCCTCCCAATGCAGGGTGCATGTAGTCGACACCTGCACATTAACGACGACCACGCATCGTGTAACCTGCAGTTATTTACCTTGTGTAATACAAGAGCACATGAAAATTTTCTGCCGATACATACCAGAATCAATGATGCCAACTGTAATGCCTTTACCGGTGTTATTGAGCTCATTGTGGACGCGGTCGACTTGGGTTTGCGAGTGAGGGAGGAGCTTATCGATGTCAATACCGTTGGCTGCTGTAGTTGCTGCGGTATCGGGACGCTGGACAACGCGCACAGGATAGACATTAGTAACGAGTCCAGACTTGGCCATGCTGTTGAAAATATCGTCGAACAAGCTGTCCTCGTCAGTGGATAACAAAGAAAGGGTCGGTTGCTCGTCGCTCTTGCTCCTGGATTTGGCGCTACGCGATGATGATGATGGCTTTTGCTCGATTTGAACGATGGCGCCCTTGAGCAAATCGTGATCGAAAAGTCGTGGCATGGTCAAAGTTGTGTCGGAGAACTTGTCCTTCAATATGTTCAAGACCTTCTTGCTATCTGTGCTTGCATCGGTACCACCAAATTCAAAGACATAACGGCCAGATACGAACGGCTTTACAGCGCTGGTATCGAATTCAGGAGAGGACGATGCTGCACTCGAGAGTGCAACCGATGCTGCCAAAAGTAATATGGAGTTCAGCAACCGCATCGAATAAAAGGAATGGGTGGTGTCGTTTTGAAAATGAACGATTGAGAAAGAAAAAGAGGGGAAAGGGGGTTCTTGCTTAACGAAGAAATTAGGCAGCTCTCATTTGCGATGTTTGCGGTGAAGGGGTTTATATATACTTTGTGTGTCTAGGATGAGTTAAAAAGTAGAGAAACGCCCTGGTTCTCCCTTATAATGCACCGTGCTTCTTACTCTCACTCTCTCTTACACATCATATAAGGACCCATACTGGTTATTTTGTTTTTGCGTAACCTTTATGATGGTGGAAGGAGCGTGAAGGATAGCGTAAAATGGGATAGCATGGCCTCTTTTCCAGGTACGCAGACATGCAACAAGAAAGTCGTACATGGATTTGACCTTCCGACTTGACCCTTTTGGAGAAATAATCCATCTAAAGAAAATGTTGCTTCTGTCAACGGTATTGCAAAGCCTTTACTACTTTACAGATTCGTCCGTTCTTTCTTCATTTAGATTGACACTGCTGCTTTATATTGGCTTGTGTCACCGAAGGATGATATTCTTTTCTCTCAATAGAAGCATAAAGTGTCCTCCTCTTTTCCCGTCCGACCGATATAATGTACATATACCGTGTATACGTATTCGTTAATTCGGCATTATGCACCTTTCCTTTCCCTTAACATTGCCTAATTTTACAAAAGATGCTTAAAAAAGAAAATGTATGACAGTCCATAGATGATTGTAGCATAGTTGCTATCTGTTAGACAAGAATCACAAGATAGAAAAGCTATTATGTTTCGTATGCTAAAGGGTATACACAGAGTAGGGAGTATAATAACCAACGTAATGTGGTATGTACTTTGTCAGCGGATAACCGGAATCACTGATCATTCCATACTTTCGGCGACAAGTTTTGTTATTCATGCAGCTTGTTGGGGATCTCCCCCGGCAGCATAATGTATTAATTAGTGAAGTTAATCCGTACTCTTCCTCCCGTTATTGGTGACTTCATTAGCGGGTTTCATTAAGTGTGAATGTTTGCCTTTAACAGCACAATCTTCCAAAACGGAGCGAGCTCGTGCTTTTTCGTCAACTGTAAATGACCATGGATACACAAAAATTGCATAATCGATTGCTAACGGTATATAAACTCATTCATTATGTATGGATTCTTAGACGAACAAGTCCAGAGCAAGAAACGATTGCTTCTTATATGGCCATCCTTAATCCGCTAATCCTCTTTCTAAAAACCATGGCAGCAATTGATTTAATATATGTCTAGGATGATAAAAATCTATTACCTTCCTATTGATATTTACTAGATAACCATCAGATTCCAGCATGCGTGAGCAGCTTATCCGCTTCAGACATCTTCCCTTTCCATTGGTGACACAATATGGTGAAACATGTTCTGAGCACAGACGACAAATGGTACACTATGAGTATCTCCACCAGCCTAATGTGCTAGCACTAAGCAGGCACAAATTTATGTACCGAAGAGGTTTATCATTTTGATGAGAATATAGCTTACAGCTGTTGCAGAGCTCAAAGAGTCAAAGTTTGCAAGAGTAATAACTGTAATCGCGTATACGCATGGTATTATGTAAAATGGTGAATTTTAAACCGAGTATGTAATTCTAGATCATAATCGGAATAAAAGATTTTCAAAAACAGTATGAGAAACAAGTAATGGGTGGCCGATGTATTCACTCCAGTCTGTTTATTATACATGTATTCAGAGTACAACAGCTAATTCGGTATTAATGATACAATAAGCTTAATATAATAAAGTGAAAGTAAGACGTCGATAAGACAGTAGATCATTATTTAACCTCAATGACACCAGTGGTCCACTCTTCCCAATCACTGTCGTTATTATTGTCGCCCAGCCATTTAAGAGCATTCATTCCAATTCGGTATTTGCCGGGAAGAACACGCAATGAGAAGGGCAGCTTGACATTGAAGATGGTGGGATAATAAGTGCCATCCCAGGTCACAAAGTTTGCAGCATAATCAGGGCTGTAACGGGCAGCGAATGTTAAATCGGTAAATGCATATCCAATCTTTCTGCCATTTTCATTGAAAAGAGGTGCTGAAAGCTCGCGGGTAGGGTTGGCAAACGACAAAACGATGGTGGGTCGGCTTATTCCATCCTTGCGATCATAGACAAGTGTGTCATTTGGACCAAAGACTGGCAAATTGTTCACAGTGGTGCCGTTGGTCAAAAAGGGTGTACCGTAGCCGTAAACGGGCAGTTCGCGTTGGTTGCCGACAATACCAATGTAAGGAATGGTAATATCCTTTTGATTTTGTTGGCTCTTGAGTTGGATGAAACCGCCATACATGATATGGTCTGCTGGGTTGGTCCCTGGTGGCATTACGGTGACGGTGATTTCGGCGCTCTTGCCAGGCGAGAGCTTGATGTTCTTCTTGGAGAAACGCAATTTGGCAGTGTCCTTGCCGTAGTTTGCAGGTGCGGCGAATTCGTATGATTTGGTATCTTTGTATGGGATTACGGACACACTGACATTGTTCAAGAGTTGATAAGATACAATCGAATCACCATCGTTGTTGATGGTGAAGGTGTGTGTCTTTTGCATGTTGGCAGTGTCGTTGAAGCTGATGGCCCCAGGAGTGACGTGGACCTGTTGCTTGATTGCATCATAAACTGTGATTACGATACAATAATTAGCAAGTCGGCAGACCATCGAGCTCTAAATTAAAGTAGAGGACTTATTCGTTATTGATGTTTACCTTGAACAAGACCTGCGCCTTGTTTAAACGGCGAGTCGATATCAGCTTCACCATTCTTCAATGCGGCACTGAAAGCGTAGTTTTGGAAATGCTCAAGGATATAGGCAGGGGTGGTCTTTTCTTCGTTGTTTTTCAAAGATTTCAAGTACAGGGCAACAGAGCCAGATACATATGGAGTTGCCATGGAAGTACCACTCATCATACCCCAACTACCAAGTTGGTGAGGAAGCGTCGAGTAGACGTTGCCACCAATACCAGCAATGTTGGGGGCTACATCGATTTCATACGAAGCGCCAATGCTAGAGAACGAGGAAACACTGTTGCCAGTAGATGCTGGGCGGACGGATGGTTCCTTTGCAAAAGCCAAGCTAGTCTTGCCCTTCTTGATGGAAACAAGAAGCTCGGCACCAATTTTTTGGGTAACGCCAATAACGGGGATCACAACACCGGGAGTCGATGGGGCAAAACTGCTTTCATCATCAGTATTGTCGTAGACCACCACACCTGTAGCACCTGCCCGGTGCAAATTATTAGCCTTGACAGTAAAAGTACAAGTACCGCGTTGGACCAATGCCAACTTTCCCTTGATATCATTCGGAATATTGGCCGGTTCACATGCGTCAGAGCTGCTACCGACTTTGCTGTCGCCTGCAACAACTTCGCCATTGGCAATTTGACCAACGCTAGGACTGCTATCCGCATATTCTACCAAGGTAGTATATCAAACTAGTTTAGTAAAACATGTATAGTATCACTAGGTTCAATAATCACAATGAGAAAAGGTATCCATTTACCGTAGACTTTCGATGAGCCGCTGATTTCAAAAGTTTTGACGAGATTATAATTGTTATCGAACGATGCAACAGAGAAGGCACCATGACCAACACTGGGAACGCTGATAGTGAATGCGCCATATTGTCCATCGTTTCCTGCAGCAACGATAACTAATGTAATCGATAGAGCACACATAGCATTATTAAACAACTTTTCGGTTGCAGGGTCGTCGTGTACATAACAATACTAGAAAATCAATAGTACCTGGAACGCCCTTGTCAGTGATACGCTCAGCGACGACTGCCATGGGGCTCCCAGGCCAGCCATTCATACTGCCCAAGCTCATACTGATGATATCCACACCAGTGTCATAGGCATCGAGCATAGCATCCATTATGACATCATCGGCAGAAGCACCAACACAGCTGAAAACACGCCACATGCCAAGGGTTGCGTCAGGGGCAACGCCCGTAAAGTTCTATAGCCCGGCGGAGATGTTACTAATTTTTCATATTCGTGCATAACAGATAGGACAACACAAGAATGTTTAAGCACAATGGCAACACTTACGTCGCTTTTACCGGCAACAATACCTGAAACGTGCGTACCATGTCCTGCGTGTAGTCAAGCAAAACCCAAAATATATTATCAGAACTTCTAATTTCCTTTTGAACAATGGACCACTGGAAACAGAAGCAAAACGGAAAGATGGAAAATATGTCTTTTTTTCTTACCAACGCTGCCAGTGTTCGCATCGCAGCTATCCATTGGATCATCGTCTGGTTCAGGTACAGATGAAGTCAAACCATAGTTGTCGCCGACCATATCTTTACCATAACGGACCTTGTATCCCTCACCAAAGCCACCACCCAAGGCAGGATGCATGTAATCAATACCTGAAGGTTTCGTGTAACAAGGCGGTTATTAATTTGTGTAATGCGCACCAGGAAAAAAAGAATAGGGCACATAAAAGCTGTTTTGTTTGCTTGTTTGTCTACTTAGCATGAAACATACCAGAGTCAAGGATACCGACAATGATTCCTTCGCCGGTATTCTTGAGTTCCTTATGCACACGGTCTACTTGGGTCTGGGCGTGTGGGATCAGCTTGCCAATGTCAATGCCGTTGGATGCGACAGTAACCTCGGGGTTGGGACGTTTAATATCGCGCACGGGGTAAACCTTGGTTACAAGCCCGGATTCTGCCACCGCCTTGAAGATCTCGTTGAACAAGCTGTCTTGGTCGGTGGACATGGAGCTCACGACATTATTTACATCATCAGTATGGCCATTGCCGTCGTTTTTCTTTGAGTTGTTCTTGGAGCCAATGGAAATGGTGACACCTTTCAATAAAGCGTGATTGAACAGTCGACCCATTTGCAGATCAGTGTCGGAGAACTTGTCTTTTAGGATGTCTATCAATTTTTTGCTGTCGGCGTCGGCGTCGGCACCTCCAAATTCGAATACATATCGGTTGGAAGCAAAAGGGGTAAGCGAGCTGATTGACGAAGGGGCTGCTGCTGCTGTTGAACTCGACAGTCCGACAAGCGATGTTGCGGCCAAGAGAAAAAGAGAGTTAAGCAACCGCATTTTTTTTTAATTAATCTTGGTAGCGTGCGGTAAGGAACGATGTTTGTCGGTTGCTTGGAGGTATATGAATAAGGGAATAAATGAAAGGAGACACCAAACAAGCAGAGAATTAAAGAAAGGAAGGGGTTGAAGAGTACGTATAAGAAGCAGTAAAACAGAAAGAAAGTAATGAAAATGAGATCTGTTACTGTTTACTCGAATCGACTATATTTATATCAAATGCGTATAACAAACGACTTCATTGAATGGGACGGGCGCAATTTTGCGTAACCAGATTGAAGGCGTGAAGGATATCGCGAAATGGGATAGCTTGCGCTTAGACTGAGGTTAAAAGGTACACAACAACAGAATGAAGCACACAGTGGTGGCACCACTCTATACCTTATGCATACAATACTACAGTACTCGACTATTCTATTTGGCGCACTTAAACATGTGGCGGGCAGCGCTTAGCAAATAATCTATCTAAAGAGATTAACTTGCTCCTGTCAAACATTCGGTCCAAAAATATATAGCCTTCAAACGTTCGGATTTCTATGAGCTCGTGCTGGTAACAACTTAATATGCAATCAAAATTATGCATACTTTCGGTACAAACAATATCTTGGGTGCATAGGTTGTACAATTATGCTTGAAAGAATGATATGTTACGACAGCATTGGGCAGAAATGATGCTCTAGATAACGATTATCCTGACGTTGTCTAAACAGGAGCTTATGTGGAAGTTCAAAACATTTGAACTACATGGCATTGGTCAACTCAAGTATGGCTCTAGAGGATATCTTCTATGAGGACTAGTTCGTAGATTATGTCACACCAATGGTCCGTCGTCTCTCAATATAGTATGCATTGCAGGAAAAGAATAGACTATATGATGTATAAACGTTGTTGAGCACATGCTCTTTGTGAAACACAGGCAAACGTAACTTGTACAAACCTTCAGAAGCATATACCAATGATGCATTTGCTCTTAGCAATTTACAATGTATCTATGTATCTATGTCTGTGAAACAATTATGCGAAACTCAACGTTTGTTTTTATTTGATGAAGGATCTTCATCTTTTCGAATTTTGGCCTTGTGCCGCCATCTCAACATTGCATCGATTTTATTTTCGTTGTGCACATGAACTGAATCTAATTTTTCATGTGAAGCATTGCTATCATCTATGTGAGTGCTTTTTCGGTGATTTCAATATGTGGATAATTGTTTCATCAAGTATTTTGCTTGGTTTTGTACTAAATACTTGAATAGAATTAATGTTATTTCAGAGAGTATTGCTTAAAGACGCTTAATTGAGCTTGTATCCGAAGGCCCTCTTAAATCTCAAACACAAATTATGAGATATGATTACCATGGTTCGAAGTTCACTTTGCTATACTAGGACTTCATTATTAGATAAACGGTTCATTAAAATATTGGGGCTCACGGACAGTGTAGTGACTGGTTTAGTGGCAAGCATATCTGTTATATGAACTATGACGAAGTTGCTTTTTATCATGTATTAAGCATACACTTTTGACAAATGGATAATCAGTACGCATGTATATTTAAAGGGATTAGCGGGAAGCTGTGATAACAGGATTCATAGACTACTCAAAAACAAGGGGAAAACGGTAGTACTTTTTTTCTAACGAACTTCAATAATACCCGAGGTCCAATTGTCCCATTCATCCACGCCGAACCATTTCAAGGCATTGAGACCGATTCGATATTTGCCGGGAAGAACATTGAACGTAATAGGGACTCTGATACCAAGAAGTGTTGGGGTGTATGTTCCGTCCCATGTAATTGCGTGCACTGGTCGCGTCGAGATAGACCGAGCAAGGTTTGTGACACTAGCTTCGTTGAATGTAGCATAGCCAATCATCACGTTGTTTTCGGTATATAGAGGAGTGGAAATTTCACGCGTCGGACTGACTAAAGTGATCATGAATGTGGGTTTGGGACCTGATTTACGGTCATATACGAATACAGTGTTTTGATTGATGGGAGTGAATTTCTCTGGATTCGTATCAGCTGTCAATTGTGGTGTGCCGTTGCCGTATATTGGTAGTTCATGCTGATTACCGACGATACCAACATATGGAACAGTGATATCTTTGCTGCCGTAGTTGTCGTTTCCGATGCTCTTAAGTTGGATATAGCCACCGTACATAATGTGCTTTGCGGGATCGGTATTGGGTGGTACCACGGAAACTGTGATCTTGACGCTGGCTCCTGGAGCAATTTGAATGTTTGTTTGCGAGAACTTAATCTCGGCTGATTCAGTCCCAAATACTGGAGGTTCTGTGAATTGGTAGCCGCTGGAGCTATCGTACGGAATAATGGAGACACTAATTTTGTTAATAGCTTTGTAGAAAACAGGTGTAGCGCCTTCGTTAGTGATGGTCAGCGTATGAGTTTTTTGCATGTTGGCAGTGTCGTTGAAACTGATGTCTCCTGGTGTAATATGCACACGCTCTCGGATAGTATCGTATACTATTACGTCGTTTTAGAATGATAACAAAAACGAGGACTCTGTCAGATAGTGTACTCAAATTAGTTGCAAATAAATAGTGTTATTTTTACCTTGGATCAAACCAGCTCCTTGTCTATACGGCGTATCCACGTTCTCTTGACCATTTTTATTGGGAGCCTTGTAAGCATAATTCTGGAACTGCTCAAGAATATAAGTAGGATGAGGCCTTGGACCCTTTCCTTCGATCGATTTCAAATAAAGAGCGACGGCACCGGCAACTTGAGGCGTGGCCATTGAAGTACCACTTAGGACACCCCAGCTTCCCAATTGTCGTGGAAGCGTCGAGTAGACTAGGCCGCCGACACCAGCAATGTTGGGGTTTACACCAAGCTCGTACGACGGGCCAATGCTGGAGAAAGAAGAGACAATATTACCGGTGGTCGTTGGGGCGGCCTGTTGTTGGCCCTTAAATGTCAAGTAGGTTTCACCTTGCTGTATGTCTTCAAGTAGCTCAACGCCAGTTTCATGGGCGACTCCTGCCAAAGGTATTTTGGCATCTTTTACACCAGGGATAAATGAGCCTTCGCCTTCTATGTTGTAAATTAATGCACCAATTGCACCGGCCTGGGCCAAGTTGTTGGTTTTCTGTTCAAATTCACAAGTGCCTCGTTGGACCAGAGCTAATTTGCCACTGACAGTCCTAGGAATGTTGGCTGGATCACAAGCGTCCATGGTGCTACCGATATTGATATCACCTGCAACAACTTGCCCGCTTGGCATACTATCGGATCCTTTACCAAGGTTATAGACTTTTGAAGAAATTCAGCGAGAGGAAGAGAAAGAGGTTAGCTTATATGTACTATGCCAATGCTATTAGAAAAAAATTTCGTAATGATCACATTGTCATTTCGACTGTACAACGCGGAAGAGTCTTACCATAAGTCTTCTTGCATTCAGGGGAGGAACACATGACGTCAAAAGTTTGCACAACATTGTAGTTGTTGTCAAATGATGCCACCGAGTAGACACCTTTTCCAACACTTGGAGCAGACGAAGTAAATGCACCGTGCTCGCCGTCATTTCCTGCAGCAGATATAACTTAAATTATAGTAGTATAACAACATTAAGGTTAATATTTATCAAGAACATTATATGCTGATGTAGTATGTCAATCAATCTTTGGGCATATTACCGGGCACGCCTTTGGCGTTAATGCGTGATGCAACTATAGCAGACAACATTTCTGGCCATCCTTGAGCATCACCCAAACTCATGCTTATGATATCTACTCCGGCGTCGTAGGCATCGAGCATAGCTTCGATAATAATGTCATCGTCTGTAGATCCTGTGCAGCCAAAAACACGCCACATTCCAAGAGTGGCATCAGGAGCAGCGCCCGTAAAGTTCTGGGGGAAGATGAAATGCACGATGCATGGTTACATAAGTGGTTTGCATACATACCAATCCGCTTATACATACATCACTTTTACCCGCAACAATGCCTGAAACGTGTGTTCCATGACCTACGTAATAAACCGAGAACCTTTAATTGAGAATTATCACCCTTCACAACTTCCAGCTCATCCTCTTCTTTTTGTCCTCTCTCGCAAGAAAATGTTGATATGCGCAAGCTGAGTAACTTACCAGACGAACCCGTGCTAGCGGAGCAGCTATCAATAGGATCAAGATCAGGGATTGGAGTAGTGTTTTTGTATCCATCATAGTCGTCTCCAACAAGATCTCGGCCTAGAGCAACTTTGTATCCCGGACCAAATCCACCTCCTAAAGCGGGATGCATGTAGTCGACGCCTGCGTTCAGCCAGTTTTTTTCCAGTGAATATATGAAAATTTGTCGGTAACTCATTAATAATACATACACCAAGGATCTTTTCATTTTCCTTTTTTAAGTTATAGTTATTTTAAAAGAAATATCATGGTAGGTAAAGTAGGATCGACATCGTCATCACATTCATAAAGGTAATTTAATGAAATTCTAATGACTAGTGTACTATTACTTACCAGTATCAATGATGCCAACAGTAAGTCCTTTGCCGGTGTTTCTCAGCTCGCTATGCACGCGGTCAATCTGAGTCTGTGCGTTTGGACTAATCAGGGCGGCGTCAGCACTTTCCAAAGGAATGCTAGCTATACGAGTATCGGGGCGATGCACCGAATGAACAGGATAAACATGAGCGACAAAACCAAGAGTAGATACAGCCCTGGCAATATCGGTGAAGGCAGCATTTTGTTCGTCGGAGGATATGGACGAGGTCAAGAGCCCGGTGCTACCCGTATGAGAAGTCCTTTCGAAATGGATTGTGACGGCCTTCAACAAGCCATGGTCGATAACACGCGGCATCAACAATCTGACTTTGGGGAATGTCTTTTTCAAAAAGTTCATCAGCATTCTGCTGTTCGTGTCAACGGAAGGACCTCCGGTGAACTCGAAAACGTAGCGGCCAGGAACAATATCTTGGTTAGCGATAGCAGCAGCATTGTTCTTGATAGAAGAAGTACCAGCAGCAGGCGCTGCAGTTACAACGTCTACACTAGACAAGAAAGCGATCAGAGACGAGAATATTGCAAATAGTAAAGCGGGAAAATACATCAGGTGCATTGTATTGATGAGAGGAAGGAGGAGAAAATGGCGACGTTGGGAATGTTCCTTGTTTTTATGTACAAGCTTGCGCAAGTGTAGAACAGGAGGGGGCTCGGAGAAGTAACAAAGGAGAAAGAGAGGATGAGTAGTTGAAGAACGGCAATAAGCCGCCGTCAATCAGGGGTTAAGTGTTGCTCACCATCTTTATCCTCGCTCCCCTGAATGCGTAGTAATGTATAATGCTACATGGTATAATGAATTATGGGCTTAAGAAAAGAATAAGCTCAAAATCGAAATTTGCACAATGAAGAATTGCCACCATATGTCTATTCTAGATGTTATCTTTGCCAGGAACAGTAATCCATTGTTACCCTGCCTTCGAATACATATTACATCCCTTCTTTTATCTAACCATCACTAAGCGTTAGTCAATAAGATCAGATCGCAGTAGTTCTGGTAGTCCATTTGCCGTGTATACATATAGATGATGGCACATAAACACCGAATAAGTAATAAAAGCACACCAAGAAAAGGTACATATTCTCATGAGTACTATTCATGCTAAGCCGGCACCAGGAGTAAGAAAAATCCAACTGGCGCATATACAGCCTGGATTGCTCTTTGGCAAAGCTTAGGATATGCTATGTTGAGCATGTGTGTGCAAGCAATGTTCTCTTACAAGTTAGTCTATCCTGACTATGGGAATTGATGTCGCAGTAGCTTTAACAACATTCTTTAGGCCTATATATTGAGTGATGATACTGCTGATGATAGCCGAGCGATAACACCCATAATATTCACGCTGCATTTATTGGCAGTTCTAAGCCGCTGTTTGCCCATTTTGACGTTCCTGGATTGGAATGAAGACACTTTATGTATTATGTACATCTATAATTAGGATGCTGGACTTGTTGGCTGAGCTTCGATTCAAATACTGTTACATGGTAACAATTGTTTTAACTCCTAATGGCAATTCTTTTTGAGTGCTTTGTGAGGAGATTGAAGCTCGGCAGAATGACGCTATATCGATTTTAAGCTATTGTAAGGATTACTACAGCCAAGGACAATGATGGGCGGTCGTCGTTCCTAAGAGAAAGCCTGTAGCTCTTCTGTCTAAAAAGCGTGGCAGTAGTCGGGAAGAGTAAAAAACTACTTATAATGGCTTATCAGACTGAAAATAATACAAACATGCTTCTATCAAGTCGTATATAAACATCACAAAAGTTGAGCTTGACAAACTTGTACCTATGGATATTAATTGGTGTAATACCGGTGCATAATCGGAGATATGCATGCAGGATATTTTTCCCGCAACTGTTTCTATTGGCTCGGTCAATGGGGGAAAAAGGTACGTGTACTCCTTTTTCTAAACTATTATGGATGCCACGGAGATCCACAACATTACTACGCGAATTACTACTCTCTGGTTTGACTGGCTGCGGCAAAGGCAGATTCAAGGACCATCGCCATCATTGGGCAGTGGAGTAGCTGGTGCATCGTCGCCGTTGACAGCAGCATTACTAGCGAGAAACAAACCTGGTGAACAGCAATTCCTCGGGGAACTGAAAACATATAGCGAACGTGTATTGAAATATGAAGATAAAGATCTTTTGGTAACGTTACTTTTTAACAAGAGGACAAATCAATAAAGAAGAAGGTCTCCTTTGCTATGATTTAATGGAGAATTTAAATATGTCAGCGACCCTGTTATTCTTAACTGTATTATTTTGCTATCTACTAGAACCGTGCTTTGGAGCACATCCCGATTCACGACTTGTATGAACAAGCTGTATCTTGTTTGGAGGAGGAGGAGGATGTTGAAGCATCCTTGGATGATAAAGTTATCCTTCGACTCATGCATTGGTTTAAGCATGATTTCTTTACTTGGGTCAACAATCCACCTTGTGATTTCTGTGGCGTAAGGATAACAATTTGCTCGTTGTTTACATTTTGATACAATTTCCCTTTACGTTTTATTAATGGTATGTACATATATCTAGTCGAGCGAAACTGAATCCAGAGGTACAACACAACCTACAGAAGAGGATAAGCGTTATGGTGCACGGATCGTAGAGCTCTATCAATGTACGGTTTGTTCAAAAATGACAAGGTTTGCTCGATACAAGTGAGTAGTGCTAGAAAGTAATTTTCTTTGTGGTTTTTTCAGAAAAATGTATCTGTAACCAAGCAATCACGCTTTAACTTGATAGTGATCCGGGAAAACTGCTGGAAACACGTCGTGGGCGATGTGGCGAGTGGGCCAATGTATGATTTTTTTAAATTGTAGAAAAACCTTCAAAACTTGACTGACGCATCTACAAAAAAAGTGCTTTACATTATGCTGTCGCGCTGTTGGAGCGGAGGTGCGTTTAGTATTCGATAAGACAGGTCAGAGGAAATACGAATAGTGTATCTCTGTATTTATGGGAAACTAAATGATGTCCTTTGTTTAGACCACGTTTGGACAGAAGCTTATTCAGTAGTCAAAGAAAGATGGGTCCACTGTGACTCAGGAGAAGAAGCCTATGATCAAGTATGTAGTATAATTAGTAGCATTTTGATTGACGCAATGAAACGATCATAGACTTGACACGAGGTGATATTTCTTTTCTAAATGACACCATCGTTGTAGCCATTACTGTATAGTGAGGGCTGGGGGAAAAAGCTTAACTACTGCGTAGCTTTTTCGGCAGACGAAGCTGTAGATGTGACTAAAAGATATACCCGAAACTGGCAAGAGGTTTTAAAGCGTCGTGTATTGGTCGACGAAGAAAAGTTAAAGCAAGTAAGTTAATCATAACTAACCTTTGAAAAATCGATCCATCTTCTGGTATACAAACCAATATTCATCAACACTCGAAAAAAAAATAGTTTCTGGATCAGATCACACATGAACGACAAAAGAATCTTCCTGAAGAACGACGTGAGATTTTGAAAGAGCGCAGGAAGAGAGAAGAGAAGGAACTGGACGATGCATTTAAGCGTACTGTAGTCAAAGACAGCGAGCGGATGGGTCGACAAACTGGATCTATCGAGTGGCGTACAGCGCGTGGTGAATCGGGTAACCTGGTAAACAACCTTCTATCGCAACAGCGGGAGGACAGTGGTAAGCACAACGCAGAGATGTTATATCTCGTGATTATATTCTTGCTGTTGTTCCATATATATTGGCAAAAAACGCTATTTAACAAAACTGATATTAATCGATATTGGCACATGTACACAGTACATTATTTAAGCACACAGGATATCCAAGCGGTAGCATCTGCTTCAAGAGAAAATGATGGCATGATTCGCTTGACAACAGCTGATCCGGATCAAGTGGGTGCCGCCTATTGCTCGGAACAGCTCGATCTCTCACAAACAAACGCTGCCGTATTTGAATTTGGGTTCCGCATCACTAACAAACAAGGCGAGGCTGCCTGGGACGGTGCTGATGGATTTGCGTTTGTTATTCAATCGGCAGGTCCAACAGCGCTAGGTCAAGGTATGTATAATCTGCCTCCCTTTCTTTAGCTGCTACTAAGATCGAAACAACGGTAAAAGTTAACCATGTTGTATATTGTACAACAGGCGGTTGTGAACTCGGGTATGGAGGGCTGAAAAACAGGTACATCCTTTCCAATATTTTGTCATTACATAATGTAGGAATAAAGTCAAGATCGCTGTTCGATTGACACTTTTTTTTTTTGTGTGCGCCTGCATATGTGTATTTTAGCGTAGCAATCGAATTCGATACTTATAAAAGGTACGCTATTACAGGGCTGTTCATTCTTGTTTCCTTAAAAAAAAAAGATAGTGCGTTGCTTTTTATTTACCTTTCAACATTATGCCATCATGAATTATACAGTGCGGATCGATGCGATGATCCGTCCGGAAACCATATCAGTTTACATACTGCTATCCCACCACAACCGATCTCGGCACATCAAAAGTATTCTCTTGGTCACACTTCCAGAATTCCTGCCATGAACAGTGGAAAATGGATCTATGCACGCATCTCGATATTTGTGGATGAAAAGCTGGTGGATGTCTCTTTAAAAGAGGATGACGAAGAAGCCGACGATTATGTTTCTGTGCTTGCGGTGAACAATGTAGATCTCGCCATGTATTTAAATGGGAACTCTAAAGCATGGATCGGATTTACTGCAAGCACGGGCGGATTGTCACAAAACCAGGATATTCGGTGGAAACGTGCTGTTGTCTATCGGAAATAGCAGCAGCAGCAGTAGCTTTGTAGTGTTATGTCACTCATTAGTTCGCTGTAATAGTAGACGCTTTTTTTATGTATACCCTCTCTATGTGGTAAAAAGAGGAATGTCTGGTACGACATTTTGACGTTCTGAAACGTGTATATGCCAAACCAATAGTATGCATTTTGTGCAACTCGAAATTCTTCACTACACGACAATGCTCACGTCGGGAGGCGTATACGGCCCTTTGATCTCGTTTTTTTGTTCTATAAAGAAAAACGAAAATGAAGCGATTGACGCCTACACCGACCCCTTCTGTCAGTAATTTAAGCTTTCGAAGCAATACAAGCCGGAACAGCAATTACGAAGAAAATCGATTCGCTGCGTCGAAAGAAGAATGTCATGCACGGGCAGAACGCACAGTAGACGAATGGTCTGAATGTCTCAAGGTACTTTTAATTCAATCGTTTTTTCAAAAAACAGGCATTCCAGTCAAAGACAGAAACACGCTCAAAAAAATAACACATACACTGTCTTAGATGATGCTCAGATATAGCGATCCTTCGGACGAGTTCAATAAGACCATAAAGCGATTCGTTCAGACGGATTCACACGCCAAAAATACCCGACAGGCACTTGAGAAAACAAGCAAGGCGCTAGATCAGCTGCTGGAAAAGTAAGATCGTGTCTGTTCCGTAGCAACGAGCATCTAACAACGATGATCTCTCATGTTTATATATCCCACAACCCGTGATGTTAGGAAGCAGGATATCTTGGCTACAACCAAGATCTTTGAGGAAATCCAAGACCTGTTAGAGCTTAAACAGGTTGTGAGAGAGAATTGGGCAAAGCAGCAACAACAACAACAACAACAATCACAGTAGTGAGGGTGTAGATGTATGAAATATTGCGCATATATTGCGTCTACAAATGGAAAAGGATCATGCATCGGCAGTATATGATTAGGGCAGCCCATGTTTGTATGTAAACAAAAGTACGGGTCATCCTAAATAAAGGAACAACTGGACAACACAGTCATCATGAGACACCTATGATAAAAAAAATCGACTGTTGCTGATTCAATTATATTCTAAGCAGCCTCTGTCAAACCAAATGTAATCGATGTGAACTGATTAGTGAGGATCGTTGCTGTTATTGTGGCGTGTATACAAGTATGTTTGTTACTCCTCATAATCTGGAACTCTATCTTGAGCCGTATACAAGGCGGGAGGTTGTGTGGGTTTGTAGACAAGGTGGTAGTCGTGGAGGGAGGATATCCTTTTCGTTGTTTAATTGACACGTGCGTCATTAAAGAAGAAAGAAAGAAAGAAATGTGATTTGCACAAACGTTTCGCTTACTGGGGGAGAAAGATAATGATAGGAAAGAAGAAGATGAATATACAAGTTGGGTTATGGTGTTAAAAAATTTACACAAAGGCGATTGCTGTTAATGATGCTGTTGGTGAGGGTGATGATGATGGTAATTTGGAAGCAGTGTTACTTATATTCGATAATGCAGACTTTAGTGGAGTTCGTCGTTTGTTGGTCCTTGCATCGGGTATCTGACAATCATTCTTACGTTTCGTGCCGATCGTTTTCAAGGGCATTGAGATTGTCTTTGCATTTTCGTCGTTGTATTTGATATTATGCGTATTATTATTGTTGTTGTTAAAGGATGACAGTGCGTTTCGATCCCGTTGGCGTTGGAACGCAGATGCAAGATCACCATGTGTCTGGATTTTAGTTGCAGATGACGACTGCTTTTGGCGATGATTAAAAACTTTGAATAGCTCCTTGGCTGTGATGGTTCGTTGTTGTTGTTGTGGTAGTGGTGTCGGTGGTTTTGAAGGTGAAAGTGGAGAGAGTCGTTTTGGTGTCCGCAAGGGTCGTAAAGCATTGTCGTTGGATGCACGTAAGCCGCCGCTACTGGTGGGTTGTGATGCCTCTGGCTTGTGCTGAGACGCGGTGGATGACTGTTTGTTGTCGAAATGTGCCCATGGCTGATCGGTAATTTGAAAGGGAAAAGAGCAAGTCAATTTGATGTGAAAATTAAACTTTAAATAAGAGGGGGGGGGGTTGTTAGGGAAACGTACCGGTATATTCTCTTTGTTACTGAGACTGTGGTCATGAATTTGCTGTGGGTTGGCGCCAGATGATGCAGTGGTGTTGTTGCCCAGATAATCCAGCTTGTCCGGTTGGACATCGGCGGGAGGGGTATGTAGTGTGATGCGTCGCTTTACATTGTCGTCGTACACGTACTGGTAGAGGAACGCGTTGTTGGCTCGCTTAAAGAGATGCTCATAGTCAGGAACCTGTTTCATTTTCCCCTGGAAGCGAAGATGGCGCAACACCTAAGCAAGGCGAGTGAGTACATGGCCGTACATGTGCCTTATTTTTAAACTAGATTGCCAGTCTTACCGCATCGGTGGTTCTATACTTTTTCAGTAGCTTGTGGGCGCTCTTCAGACCAATGCCAGGCAGCGAGGCGAGGTAATCGCATCCTGAAAGAATGCACATGTGTCGGATTCTGGTCTGGTCCCACCCTTGGAGGTCAATCTCCTTTGCTGCCGACAGGTTTCCTTGCTGGATGCGGATGCCCTCGCCGTACTGGTTCATCTTGAAGAGCACCGTGTGACAGCCAAAGACAAGCAGGTCCGAGTCTTCGGTGATCACCGCGTCGACTTTGTTGGTGTTGATGAGGTGCGTGAGCTGAGCATCGGCTTCGTAGGGCGCAACGATGTGCTTGATCTTTTTGGCATTCAACGCCTAAGTTAGAGGTAGGTGGGATAAAGGAACGGTTGGGATTCACTCTTTTTTTTTTTCTTCTGGGAGGTTTAAGGGGTGGAGAGAGAAGAGTGGGGGGTTGTGGGCTTGTTGAAATTATATACACAAAGCTGTTGTATTACCTTGACAACTTGCTGAATCATGTGTGGTGTTACATGGATGGAGTGCTGGAAACATTCCGTTGCTTCTCGCTGCTTGCCTTGCTTCAGTAGTTCTTTGCCCTTGGCCAGTGCTTCTGTTCGACGTCTGTGGGTTGATATCGATACGAAACAGAGAGAGAGAAAGCAAGAGTATGTAAAAAAGTAATAAAGTATGACCAAAGTAGGTTAAATATATGCGCGCTCTACTGCAAACCCCGTTTCTTCTGGTTCTTTTGATGTTACCGGCGTCTCTCCTCAACCGTCGCGCCTTTGATCGGCAGTGCTTGGCCGTCAAACACAATGTATGGGACCACCTTGTAGAACTCCAGCAGACTCACTAGCCGCATAAAGTAGTCGATGTATCTAGTGGCGTGCACACACATGCAATCAGTAACCCTATCTATTGAGTGGCGTAGGAGCAGAAGGAGGAAGAGGAAGGGAAAGGCGGTGACGGTTGTTGGAAGCTGTGTGTGGCTCAAAAGAAAAACACAACGGATGCTTACTTTGTCGTTGCTTCTTCTAACGCAAGTTCCATTGAGCAGGAGAACGCACCCTTGTGTAGCCACACGTTGCCATCGACAGCCACTACCTTGCCGGCGTATTCTTTAATGTGCATTGGCTCATGCACAGATTTGACAGTTTGTATGAACCCCGAAATACCCATTGTTCAATTGTGTTGAAGAGGAAACAGTTCAGGTTGTGGAGTAGCGTGGAGGTGGGGATGGGGAAGGAGTTGTTAATAAACGTGGACAAGAGGGAAGAGGGGCGCGTATATTGAAAATAAAAAGGAAAGAGGAAGAGGAAAGGTAATACGAGAGAGAGAGAGAGAGTGTGTGTGTGTGTGTGTTGTTGGGCAACGCGAAAAAACAAAAAAAACTCTCAGCTACAATTGCTCAAACCGGAGTCACGCACGCACAATTTTTCATTGACAGATTCAGTTCTCGTCTGCCCATTCCCCACCCACCCATGTATGTTCTATTACAAAGTGCGCAATCGATGCTAGGCCAGGACGCTTCATCCTGTGCAGCTGCTGTATAGTGGCATGGATGGGCATCTTACAATACACGGAAGCTCGTATCGCCCCCAAGTCCTGGAATAAATACAAGCCGTCGTCGTGCGTGTGTTCCCTTGCTCATTCGGTCTACCTCATTCTTACTGGTGCTGCTTTCAACTGCTGCTTGTTGATTTTAAGCACATCTTTGGTTACACATGTCGCCGCACACACACCAGGCAGAACAAAGAGGGTGTCCTATACTGTATAATCACTATAGACGGCTACGACTGTTCATTCTCTCCAGTGTGTCATCGTCACCATCACTCAAAGCAATAAATGTATTCCTCAGAACAACATCTGCACAGCTTTAGGAAAATAAGGTTATTGTTTATGATCCAAGGTCACGCTGCGGACCGAGATGCCGATCCTTTTCATTACGCACTACATCAACGACTTTTATATTCTTATCCCATATTTCTGATTGCATCTTCCTCCAAACAAATATCCTGTACCATAATACTAAATGAAACAGAAGATGAGGTGCAAACATAATTCAATGACATATTCTTAAAAGAAAAGAGCGGGATGAGTTGTAGCATCCACATTAACATGCCCAAAGCGGCGCCCTGAGCGAGAAATGTCCTTTAATGATACTCGTATATACTATTCAAGTTTATGCAAAGCTGCAGCACACCCTTTCTAATTTGAATAGTAAAGCTATTTACTGTAGTATTAAACAGTCAACAGGGTTCTTGCTCAATGTTTGTTGATGGATCAAAGGCAGGAACTCTTCTTGTTGCTGCTGCTCCAGAGCGATAACGATAGTGATAAAATGCTTGCTTTTTTTAGAATACTAGCTGGCGCCAATCAGAAAGGGCGCTTCCAATAGACATTGTCAAGCACGCGATATGCAATCGTAGACGTTTACATCATACGTTAGCAACGATAATCATTCCGTATGTCCACAAGAAACTGACCCACACATCTATTCTTTGTTTACTTTCTGTCTGAGAAATAAGCTAGACTACGATTCATTCCTGTGGCACATATGAACATAAAAGCTATTTGTTTAACTATCATACAACGAGCCAAAACAAGCCTCCTCCTTCTTCCCGTATACAACAACAGGGCTAGTTGAGAGCGATGGAACATTCTTTCTCATATTCTTCAACCGAGCATGAATAAAAATCGGTTATTATGGAAGTGCACTCTCAATCATCAGGGAAGCGGAGGCACGATACATCTCAAGAGCATTGTAAGAATCCTTCTTCATTGACGTACAGTACATACAAACTAGCAACTTCAAAAGTTTAATTGGGCATCAATCTACCTTTGGTATGCAGTATATGAACCTACATAATTACATTATATAGAGAATGATGAATTTATTTATCTCAAGGTCTATTCATACACTCTTTTTTAAAATAGTAGTAGCAATTCTAGGAAGGACCTCACTGCCACCAGCTGCCTCAGTTTGATTTGAAATCTTGTATAGATTATGTTTGGAAAAGGCTCTATAGCAAATATAAGCAGATCTTCATGCGTGCATAGTGCGATATAAAGAGTATTATGCTATTGCACTTTCTTCGAGGAGTACACCTTCTCCTCACAAAAAAACCCTAGAAATATTAACATCAGTAATATCCACAGATACAGTAGAAACTAGGTGCTTCGATCATAGTGCTAGTGGATACAGGACTATTTATGAGCTTTTTCAACCTTCTCTTCGCAAAGAACACAAGCCCGGGATCGTCTCATTATTATTTTTTTGGTTATGCATTAGTACGTGGCATACTATTCGCACGATGTTTGATCAATTCCACAAACACACTATTTTTCAATGCTTATCGGAAATTGCTCTTCTGTGTACGTAATTGCACACTATGTGGTATGTAGCAACCACATCATCGGTAAGTAAAAACAGTTTTCTCAAGTCTAGATAGCATTACCGATGCGGCGTGTTCAATGACAGACTTGATCGTATCAGGCCAAAAACCACTGATCAAAAAAGGAAGGTTAAAACTGAAGACTGCTGAAATTGGGATTACGGCAGAATATGAATCTCCTAATGCATTTCTTTCTTTTCCCAACACTATCCCGAATGATCTAACTTTAGGGCTTAGCTACTCATACTCTAGATTCATCGAGTGTGCATGTATGAAAATTTGGACTTGGGTGGTAAAAAAGTGCCTTCTATTTTTTGTTACCGAACGCACATTCACCTTCTTAAATAAGCCACTTCCAGGGATCATCAAACAAGTGAAAAAACTCCCGGCTTTTGATATTTGCCCACTAGATTGGCTGTCATAGTTGGTGTTGCGTGGCATCAGGATAATGGCCTGATGGTTTTTTTTCTTCTTTGAATAAGTTCTACCTGTAGTCCTTGAAGGAAAAGGTAAAAATTTCCGAATAGGAAGTGTTATAGATGGATAAGCTGATGAGATGCGGGGTGTCATGTACAACAGGTGGAGAAAAGAAATTGGTATGCAAACGATGGAAAAGTGGATGCGTCATCACTCGGTGCTATTCTTGCTTTATAAAGTACAAACCATCATCGTCCAGTATCGCTTGGTTAAGTGGGGGGGGGGGACACAAATCAAAAGAAACCAAGTTTATTGACGACCCAAAACAGTTGGTTACATTTTTCGTCCAAGTGAAAAAAAACCATAAAATTGGGCGGACATTTTGGGCAAACTTTCCAGAATTGTCCAGCAGGCTGTTCTTTGTACGCTTCACCCACCGCAAATTCATCTCTTTTATGATGTCTTTTTTCTTTCTCTGCGTTTGATCGAAACAACAAGCTGAAACGCGCGCACTTGAAGGATGATGAATTAAAACAAAAGAGTTAGAGTGCCATTTGAGGCGGGAAGAGTCGTAAGCACTAAAACAGACATCGGCCAAGAATAGATGAGGGGCACCATTTACCACTATGTTGGATTACATACGCCAATAGAGACGATTATAAGCTGCAGGCGCGTGCTTCCTGTATAGATTTGTATATACTAGGCAGCGATCAAGGCGGTGCTGCTTTTTACATGAGGGCTTCCCCGGATTGTAAGTAAATATGTGCTACGGAGATAGTATAAAGTCTTTCTGTTCAACTGTTCAACTGTCTTTTGCAGAAAATTGCTACATGGTCCTCGATCGAGATGAGTCAAAGAGTGCTAAATAAGTATACAGTATGATTCGTATGCAAGGCAAAAAGAAGCCCACCCCCTCTTTCTGTTTGCCCTCCCGAAAAAAACACATATTGAGTAATGATACGAATGTGCACATGTGCTGTGGGTCATTTGCTTGTATTGCTAACGTCAAGACTTGAATTTTTATCTCCCAAATTCTGCAACAATGTTGGGGGGGGGTGGGAGGTGGGATGGGGTGGACAAGTTTATATTGAGTGTTACAGTATAATTATGGGTCGGGTTGCTGTGAAGTATAAGGACCACGCGGCATCCGCTGTTTGGATAGAGCTTATTTTCTTTAGGGTTATTAATAAACAACGCATTAGTAGTGTCTAGTGCATATCTGGACACAGCCATTGAATAATAATAATAAGCTCCTTCCTCTCTCCCCCCGCCCCCAACCACCACCACCACCACCACCACTACCAACCACATGGCCCACATAAAATGCAAAATATTTGTCAACACGATCCTGGGAATATAGCATTTCTGTAAAGGCCGGGACAAAACGAAGGGGGCAGGGAGGGGGAGTGCAAGAAGTGGGTGCCTTCTGTATAGATTCTTCCATTTGTAATTTTTTTTTTCTGTATGTCCTCCCATTCAATACTTGTCCACACACAGACCCCCCACCCACCCACTAACCGCGGACATGACATATCAATAGGGTAATTCCCATGGCCTGGCTTCTTTACGTTTGCGCCACATTGGGGTTTTTACGGGTTGTACTACCAGCATTAACTAGCAGTACGTACCTTTTTTTTTCTAAAATTCCATGAGAAAAAAGTTCGTGGCAACAGTGATTTGCTCGGGCTGTTGTTAGTGGTGGTGGCGGTGAGCTAATAATAGACGTAGTAGCAGTAATATTAGAAGTAAAGTAATGCAAAAAAAAGGAGAGGGAAGAGAGTGAGAGGGCATACATATTTTGGTCTTTTTACAAGGAAACACAACCATGATGGGCTAATTGAAGAAGAAGAAGAAGAAGGCATACAGTAAGAAGAAGAAAGAAAAGGTATTAAAGGAATTGAAGTTGTTCAGCAATCTCTTGTTTAGTGAATCCAGCCTCCATAAGATTCTTGACCAGCTCGGCTTTGGCGCGGATCCTTCGTGTTCGTTCTTGTTCAATCAACAGCTGCTCCCGTTCCAGTCGTTTTTCGCGCAGAAACTCAAGCATGTCCTGTGATCGCTTCATCTGCTCAGTCTCCTTTTCTGGCGTGACCTTTATTAAGGATTCGGCAAGCACAGTGTTATTGCGTTTATCCGGCATGGCATCATTGTTGTTAGTGTTGGTTGTTATGGGTGAGAGTGGCTCTACGAGCGGCGGCGGTGGCGGCGCTGGTGAGGATGACCTTCGTGTTGCCGCAGAAATGACAGGTGTTGCATAGCGTGGCTGTTTGCTGCTGATACGGTGCAGCAGATGGCTATCGCTCATGCGTCGTCGTCTTTTACCCGGAGCAGTGTTGATAGTGTCATCATTGCTATTACTGGCAAGAGTGGCAGAAAAAGGCATAGTAATGGCTAAATCACTTTTGCGTACCACAAATGACGATGATGACGATGATGGTGATGATGCTGACTCTTCTTCACTGCCGGCACGATGGAAATAACTGCTCGTATTGCTGATACTCGTTCCTGTGGATGAAGCTGATGTTGGTGGCGGAGGTAATTGGAGAGATGATGGTGGTCCTGCTACTGCTTTTTGGGTATCGATTTGTTCAAGATGCTGATGCTGATGATGTCGGTGATGTGGATAATGAAGTGAATGGTGCTGTGATTGTTCTTGTTCTTGCGGGTGCTGCTGCTGCTGCTGCTGCTGCTGCTGATGATGATGGTGGTAATTGCTGTGCTGTTGGTGACGGTGATAATAGGGATGATGATGATGACTTTGTTGCTGGCTATGACGATGCGGTCGAGCTTGCGTTTTATCTTCTTCCTCCTTCTCTTCGTCTTCTTTTTCTTCACGGTCCATGATACTGCTAATGGACATGGGCCAAGACGGCGATGTTCGAAAGTTGCCAAAGCTTCCATGCAAAGCATCCCAGTAAGGAAAACGCTTTACAACTTCCTCTAGGGATAGATAGAAATTTGAAAAAAAAAATGTGGATGGAAAAAAAATGGGGAGGGGGGGGGTGGAAAAAGAAAAAAAAAATAGAGTGTGTCACGGAATGTATTCTCTTCTTGATTGTCGTTCTCTTTGAATTGTTTCTCTCAACCGCACCCGAACTATACTTTTGGTTTTCGCACGCACTCGCACACACACACACACCACAATAAAATATATTTCACTTTTGTCTTTTTATTACCATGAACGATTTCTTCCTTAACACCTGCCTGGCGCATCTTTTTCCCATCCGTGTCATTCCATTCTCGTGCTGTCCTATAGTTGCTTTGAAGCGTTGAGATCTTACTGGCCACATCTTTTGGGAGGCGGTGATAGATCCCAACTTGCCGCATGCGTTCAATGATCTCTTCAAGAAGTACTTTCTTGGGTGTCCGTTCCGTACTGTTGTCACCGCCGCGCCATTTGCTGTAGTTTGCCTTGTCCGCCAGCCAGTTGATCAGCACGTCCATCGATGACATCCCGCCGTTGACTCCATCTTTGAGCCAGCTCTTATATGGCTTTTTGCCCTTGGATACCGAAGTTGTTGTTGTTGTTGTCGCTGCTGCTGCTGCTGCTGCTGCTGTCGTAGTTGTTGCTGTTGATGTGAGCGTCGCCGTGGTGAGCGTCGTCATGGTGATAAAGTTGTTGCTTAGTGCGAGGAATAGTGTTGTCTCGTTACTATTGTTACCGTTGCTATGCCAGCAGGTATATATGGTAAGCGTATAGAAAAGCTAGTGCAGTAAGAGGTAAAGGGGTGGAGGAAGAAGTCCACGGCGAGCAAAGAAAAAAGAGGAAAGTAAAGCAAGCTCTACAGATTATTATTGTCTGCAGGAGAGTGAGAGTGAGAGGGAGAGAAGAAAAGGCAAGTTTCTGTACTGCACACAATCTCAGCCTGCCCTTTTATACTCCTCCCCCCCACAAATCAGCAAGCATATTTTTTTCTTTCATGTCAGCCCAACTTTGGGCGTAATGTCATGCACACACAAACATGTCTGCTTTTTTTTAACCATCACTGCTGCTATCATACCACTCTATTAGGTACACACACACAAAGATATTCTTTTTTGGCCTTTTCAAGCATGTGGAACACCAATCAGCGTTTGGGTAGTACAAAGTCTAATTCCTTCTTCCGCTTGGGAACCAAGCTGTGTGTGTGTGTGGGGGGGGGAGGGGTTACAAAACATGAAAAAATGGACATGACAAGAAGACCGAGCCTCATATTCTGCTGGGGTGCTATTGTTGTCGTTGTGTCCATGACAAAATACTCTTTCTGGAGAGGACTCTCGCCTGGACCACGGGTCTGGACACGCGCCTACTGTATCATACCTTACGGATGGTGATGGTGATGATGATTGGTGTGATTCTGAGCTTTGTGAAGTTTCTCTCATCCTCTTTTCTACTAACTGTGTCTTTAAGGGGTTCGTTTACTATACTAACGCATGTAGGATGCCGAAGAAAGGGGGTGCTGTTTCGTATGAAAAAGGCGCTTCTCTAAGGGCCAGCCTCTCTTCTGTTCTTTACAGGATGAATTGCATTGAAAATCAGTGCTCACAATATACTTCTTGAAAGTATCCGCAGGAGGGGCACACCACCCCGCATTTCCAGATAAATCTAATCACCCACCCCCCCCCAAATAAAAAGACGCACACATCAGTTGAGCGGAGCTAAGCTCTTTTAGGACGTGTGACCAGAAAAGAAGAATTATGTCGTTTCTGCTTTGTTGCTTTTTGTTTCTGACACTGTGTCAGTCAGAATCATCGTTGTCAGTAGTAGAAATGATTGAACAAGAGAGAGCTACTTCTATCACTTTCTCTCATTCATTCTCTTGCACCTTCGCCAATCGTCTCTTTTTGTTCTTCTTTTCGTTTTCTTCTTTCTTGACTAGGTAGCAAATCATCATGTCGTCGGTCCAATGTTGCATATGCTTAGAATCATACAAAACAAGCAAAACAACGACTACAACTAGCTGCAGTGTTGCGTCTTCTTCCAAAAGTCCTGTTGTGTCACGGCCACCACCACAAAGATCAGCAGCTGCATCCTCGTCTTCCTCTCAGCGAAAAAAACATGATGGAAACGTGTTTTCGACAAAAGGCTGTGCCCATCATGCATGCCGTCCCTGTCTCGCTCAGTACTTTTTGGCCTACGTCCAAAAGTCTCGCATCGAGGACGACTATTCAGCCTTGGACTGCCCAGAGCCTGGTTGTGACGAGACTTACGTTGCCATTGAGATCATTCCACAAGTGATGCCGAACGCTGAAACAGCACTCTATTGGTGGCGTATAGTGATCGAAAAGACCATTATGGACAGCATTGTGAGAGCCTTTTTTCCCTCTCTTTTTCAAATGTTATAAACATAAAAAACAAACAAAACGAAAAGAACCCACAACTACAGCTACTCTTATTATTATTAACAGAAACAATAACGAACTTTGATACTTTATGATAATGGGTCAATAGGGCTACTGTCCGTATCCAGATTGTCAAGCATCATTCGAGCTCCCGGATTACCATCAGCAACAACATTGGCAGCAGCAATCAGCTGCACCAATCGCCAGTAGCAGCACATATACTGGCACCACTGTTATGGCTCCTCACGTTGATGAAGATGAGGAGAGACCCATCTTTGCCGAGTGTCTTGAATGCAACCGTGGTATTTGCCTCAACTGCCAAAGCATTTGGCACTCTGGTATTGATACATTATGCGAGCCTACGGCTATTTTAAGCATACATCTCTATCTCTCCTCCCTTTCGTGAGAATGATATCACTTATCACCAATGATAAATTTCTGTTTTGGATTGTTATATAGACAAACAATGTAAACCTGAAGCAGAACGAACAGCAACGCCCCCATGGCGAGATTCTAAGGCGTACCGTCGAGCACATACACAAAAAGGAAAGGAGCTGAAGCGCAAATTATCAGTAGAAGCTCGCAACCTTGCAAGAAAAAGGAATTGGACCCGTTGCCCGCGTTGTCAAGAGATGGTCGAACGCGTTGTAAGTGTCCTCCTCTCTCTAAAATCCTCATTTAAGCGTTCTAGTGGTGCATATTGTTTCTCGGGTTGCTCTAAATTAGGCTTTGCATGTAATCTGCTAATCCGCTGTATCCTTTTCTTTACTCAGAGTGGCTGCAGTACTATCTTGTGCTCTTGTGGTATTGAGTTGTAAGTTAAAGAAAGGACAAGCGATGACGAGATTTTAATAATCTATATCATTACGCACGTTAACCGTTATATGTATGACGATATTTTTTTGATACTAGCTGCTACCGCTGCGGATCGCCATCTAGCGGTCACGTTTGCTCAAGAAGATGCAACATGCTTTCCGGTGCCCAATTGAACAGTGTCCGTAGCACCATGTTTACCTATAATTAGGAGACTCACCTTCAAACACAAACTGCATAATGGTCCTGATTTTTTGAAGTTACTTTTGCTGTATTTACTATACTACCCATTTGCTGCACATACACACAGGCTCATAAATAGCACACTCTATTATGCAGAATATCTGCTTATGGCAACTCTTTTTTTTTTCTTTCCCCTAAAACAAAAAAATAAAGCGCACGAATGACCGCTCTTTTCGTCCCTTTAGTGCTACCTTTTTTTGCTCTGTATGTAAAAAGCTAACGCGATCATTCATCATTAGCATGTGTAAAATTCTCAAGGAACAAGATGGGTTGCATGTATCCAGGGTCACGCGAGATCACAGAGCGCTCCCATTATTTCGGTTTTTTATGCAAGTGATGAAACTCTAATAATTATGCAGCAAAGTATCTTTATCTCGAACGATTGAGTCTAGATATCCAGCATCAACTAAACAAGGCTACTCTACAGTAAACGAACATGCTGGGTTGCTCACAAGTACGTACTGTTATATCCCTCATAAACTCACTTGTGTGGACATTTCCTCATCCATACACATCTTGGTGTAACACGGAATAGCTACGCTCAGGTAGAAGTTGCCATTATATAGATCATGCAAATCACAATATAGCTACTATCTGAGGCATTTACCCGGAGACCTTTTACTCACCCACCATAGATTGCTTAATCTTTTATATGATTTATTGTATAACATCAATTCATCCGTTCAATGCACAGCTGTGATAATTGCCTAGGATAATAAGACATTTCTTATAAAAGGTGAGAACTTCTGTTATCATAATAAACCAGTTTTTTTTTAATTTCGTGCCACATGCATTTCCTGGTAGTTGTTTTGCAACAGACCAAACGGAATTCAACGGTCGATCATTAACCTTATAAATTGTAAGAAAGCGTTTTGAGTATGTTTATTGTAATTTTAGGTAGAAACCAAAGGAACGGGTAATAAGGCAAATAAAGAAGCTTTCACACTTCAAGAACTTTGGCGATTTGTTTTTGAACAGTAGCATTCGCTGACACAATAGCAGGCATGAAAAGCTCCGCAAGACGTTGCAATAGCTTATTCAAGTCGCTATTTGTGAGAAATTTGATTGATGAGTCATCATCAGGGGGATACCAAGACAATATCGCTTCAAGGATTGCTTGAGTTTTGCCCGTGGATTTCTGCATATAGCAGTTTTGACACTTGATTTTGGAAGCATCGCTGCTTGGCCATGTTTTAATACTTGAATTCCGATCAAGCGAAAGAGTTGAGCCCCCGGATGCCGACCCTTGTCATGATCAGCCAACGTAAAAGTGGTGAACGGATGGCATACATGCACGTCTGTCAGGGGGACCAGAGGCACGGCACATAAGCGCTAGGGCGGTCAAACTTGGACCGCAGCTGTCGTAGCTGATATAAAATGTTGGTGTCTGACATGCGGTCGGTATCAGTGTTGGTGGTCATGGCAATGGTTGCGTCAAGGCATTCTTGATCTTAAGCAAAAGCGATAAGAATATTAATCTAACTGGACATGAATAAAAGGCCATCTACGAAAATTTCGGTTGCCATTAAGTCTGACGGCCGTCAACCGGAATCCCAAGTTCATGGAGCCAACGACAGGGTTTTCTTTGGTTGCTAGACGGATAGTAGATGTCACAAGCACATCTGACGTTCGGGTGCGGATTATCAACTTCATGCCATCAAACTTTTGTAACGTTGCGGGCCAAACTCCAGGGTACACTGTCTTGAATGTGGTATGAGGGAGTGACGTGGCCACGACACCATCCTTCACTTTACCAAACGATTCTCTGTGAATGTCGTCATTCTTGGTGCGACCATAGACCTCGACAGTGTTGACCAAGATCGAATGCCCGTTGATCGTATTTCTCAAGATACAACCAGAGAAGAGCTTTGCAGTAGCATAGTTGATTTGAGGAAAGAAATCCCAACCCTTGTTGAGAAGGGCGCAGATATCTGGAGTCAGTTCTACAAACGCGCGTTGCCGCAGGATGTCGGTATAAGGAGACATAGCAAACAGATTTTCCAAGCTAGTGGCAATAATTGGTGAGCTATTGACGCAAAGATGGTGGGTTGTATCCGAATGGCGTCGCTTCACTATGGACCGTATCGAGTCATGATTCTCCACTAGATCGCTGACGAGTTTCTTGTGGGCAAGTGCATTTTTTTCATAGCTGTGCTTATGGGTAATGGCAAAAAGCTGCAACGCAAGGATATCCAATATGAACAATGTCTTTGACTTTTCGGTATCATCCGCATCCATTTGTTGACACGCATAAAGTGCAGCGTTATCGGCATCATCACCAGATATTGAAGCGGCTGCACTAGTTGATGGCACAGAATGATTCACCACAGCGCAGGGTTTGACGGTTGGAGAAATGATTGATATTGTGTTGTCCGATGGCAAGTCGATTTCGCATCCAAGCTCTTTTTCATCCAGGTCCGGTTCGTTTGATTATCACTACTTCATTAATAGTTGAATTGGTACAAAAAGTCAGCACTAACGAAGGATTTTCCTATTTTTACAATGTTACCTTTGAGTTGCTTTTGGACAATCCTTTATTTCATAAATGGTATTGACGCGAGATTTTAGCAGATTGAGAGATTCAAAGTAGTTTTGTATGCGAAGGACATGAATACAATGTGATAGTAGAAGCATCTTGCTGGTCAAAAAGTGAATGATTGTCTTTGAGCCCTGGTTTCGACCCCTTTATACCGGAAGAGACGTGTATGCCATGTAAACTTTGGAGACGTCGTCGTAGTCTTTTTTTTCTCATCGAAGTAGACGGTGGGTCCTTTTTTTTTTGGCCTGGAGGTCCTTTCTTTTTTTGGCCTGGAGGTCCTTTCTTTGGCTTTGGGGTCCTTTCTCTCTCTCTCTCTCTTTCTCTTTCTCTTTTGGTCGCCTTATAACCTCTCCTTGCTGAGGCCATTAGCAAAGCATCTCGCAGAATGAGAAACAAAGCCCTTAAAAAGTCGTCCAAATATAAACCATTGCATGCCTCGCTATTTCGAGTCATCAATGTCACTTTTTCAAGAAACGTATTTCGCTTAACTTCACTCTTGACAACAGACAAGAATTGTTCATTTGGATTTAATTCTGGAGAATACAGAGGAATATAAACATATCGCTATCCTCGGGAGTGATGGGCCGTGGGGGGGCATATTCATTACAAAAATCACAGTTGCAAAGAAAAGGTGTTGCAGATCTATGTATCAGTGAGCACTACCATTGCCGCCACAATTGTTACGACCAAATTACCAGCGTTTCCAGCTTGATCCTCGTCTATATCATATCAAGCTTTCAAAATCTTTGCTCTTGCTCTATAACTCTTAATTACTGTTTTTTCAAGTTCTGGCTATCATCATTCTCCGGGTGATCTGGGGTCTCACCCAGTAAACGTAGCCGGAAGCGTAGCGTCGGCCTTCTATTCCTGATATGTAATTGCTATAGTACACCAGTTGTATAGGACCTTTAGATGACAATAATGTGGCATTTTTCAATGCATCACATGGGAGGTTAAGTTTACCAATATCAAGTCATTTTGTTGTTGCCAAAACATAATGTCGTGTTTCCTTTGTCTTACTGGTGACCACCAGTTATCTTAGGAAACGTAATTCACTTATTACCCTTTAAAATCATCGCATCACTACTGGAATAATGCCACATGCATAGAAAGTGAATTATCATCCCTTATCATTTCCTCTCTTCTGATCAAGCTCTTCTCTGTCAGTCTGTCAGTTTGTCAGTGTAAAATTTGCAATTGCTTGTATCGTATCGTAAATTTTCTCATCCAGCTAAACTAAAGCAGATACTCAGTCTTCTCACTCACAACCTTTTCCCTGTGCCACACACAGGGTTTTTACCCCGTCATACCCCCTCAGTCCTGTCTCGAGCAAAATGTCCCCCCCAGACGCAGTGTTCAAAGAGACGTTAAATAAAACCAAAACTTTTAAACGTATCGTATCGTAAATAACACTGTGTGTCGTCGACGTGGAATACTTTCTGTTTCGTATAAACCGAGGGTGTGAATACACGTCGTGCTATTCTCGTGAATGATGAGCATTCTGAAGGAATAAGATTTAGAGTTATTGAAGTGGACCCCGCTCCACTATTTTCGCTATCTTTGCTTCCCTTTATATCTTTAGTAAGAAGATTAACAAGTAGTAGTAAATGCAGGGTGAGGGCCTAGGAGCACAACAGCCAAGATTTCCGGTTACCAAAGAAACAAGTACGAAGCACGCAAATTGGTTCATCAGATCTGCGGATACGCGTGACCGAATATATGGACACACAAATATGCAATAGTGTGTGTGAGCGTACTCAAGAAGAAATGGTGCGAGAGAAGATGAGGCGTTTTCTTCTATCCGCTTTTGTTTTGACATACTTCTTCTTTTCTCTTCCCTCCTTTTTTTATTTAGTATATCAATCATGACGAGAAAAAAAATCGACTTTATATGACCGTGAAGTGCTGTATATGTTTGGAATCGTTTAAAAAGAGAAAAGATACTAGTCGCGGCAGCAGCGTTGCATCATCTTCCAAGCATCCTGACACCTCAAAGCCAGCACCAGCAAGAGAATACGCAACACTCTCATCATCTCAACAGCACCAGCACCAGCACCAGCAACAACAGCAACAACAAGAAGACGTGTTTTCCACTGATGATTGTGACCATCATGTATGTCGGGCCTGCTTAGCTCAATACTTATGGGCCTACGTTCAAAAACCTCGCATTGATGGCGACTATTCAGCCTTGGGGTGCCCGGAACTGGATTGCAATCACACTTACAATATCATTGGAATCATCGATAAAGTCATGCCGTGTGCAGAAGCAGTACTCGGCTGGTGGCGTACGGTGATTGAAAAGACGATCATGGACAGCGTTGTGAGTTATTTTTGTTTCGTCTCGAAGCCTACCTAACCAGCCACCTAAAAAAAATACATGAAAGCATCTCACCGTACTGACAACAGCAAAATACTGTGCAAAAAATGACCTGTAGGGCCACTGTCCTTATCCAGATTGTCAAGGATCGTTCGAACTCCCTGATGTGTATCAGCAACAACGCTACCAATCAAATGTATACGCGGACAACAGCAACAGCTATAGTAGTGATACTTTTGCGGGTTCCATCCATTTTTATGATCTCGAAGATGACAACGAAGCTAGCAGCAGTAGCAGCAGCAGCAGCAGCAGAGGCAGAAACTTTTACAACAGTGGTGCTACTATGGTTAATGATGATGATTACCAGGAAGAGGGGCCAGTATTTGCCGAATGTCTTGAATGCAACCGCGGTATATGCCTTAATTGCCAAAGCATTTGGCATCCAGGTATTGCGTGCCTACTTTTGTAGGCTTAGTTTTATTCTCTGGAAATGCATTCATCGATTTTGTCACCAATGACTGTTATTTTCCTATATGTTGTGGCATAGACAGCGAATGCAGACCTGAAACAGAACGTGCATCAAAGCCCTCCTGGCAGGAATCTAAGCCTTACCGTCAAGCGCGTGCAAAAAAAGGGAAGCAGCGCCAGCGCCAGCTATCAGTGGATGCTCGCAAACTTGCAAGGAGAAATGACTGGACGCGATGCCCGTATTGCCGAGAAATGGTTGAACGAAGTGTAAGTTCTTCTGCTTTTCCATTGTCGATATGATAATGGTGGCGATCAAGATAAGGTTTTTCCAGTCTACTAATAGCGAATAATTGCAATTATCATGGTCACACTTTTTCTATTTTAATTCCTTCAGAGCGGGTGCAACCATATTGTATGTTATTGCGGTGCCGATTTGTAAGTAAACAGAACAAGATGGTTAGAGCTGATACAAAAGTGACATGCTCTACAACTATAAATTCAGTTGTGGTTGCAATATATAACATACTGATTCGTTCATTTAATAGCTGTTACCGCTGTGGATCGCTCACAGATAGTAATAATAATTGTTCAGGAGAATGCCACAATCTTTCAGCTGGGGAATTGGATAATATTCGCAACCACATGTTTGACTATGATTAGGAAGCTTTATCACGCACCCTCTTCCTTCCATTTTTGTATGCTACACACAATGCATACCCATGGCATAGCATTAGCGTTACACGAAGATCTAGTTATAACAGACACATTTCCTATTATGAAAAGTAAAAAGCACAGCTACTTTTTTGTCGGTTCTTCTATAGCTATGACGAGATCATCATCATTAAGCTTGGTATACCTAAGCTTCCTCTACATTTTCAAATGGAAAAGTTAAAGACGGTATATCTGTACAGTAACACTTACATTGCAAGCGGAAGAGTTCCTCTGATACTGTGTCATGCGGAATAATCATCAATGTCAGAAAAGAGTGATTGACAATGAGCGTGCGAGTCATCGAAAAAGATACTACGCGGGGAGAATACGAATCCATCCTCCCGTCACCCACACTTTCGTTTTTCCAACACCTTCCCTCGATCAGCTAAAGAGAGAAGATCATGTCGACCACCCAACAATGCTATAGATGTTTGAAAACTTTTCAAAAGGCAAGCAGTGCCGCATCACGACTGTCTGCGTCAAAAACAACAATATCCCCGGCAGGACCTTCGTCTTCATCATATTCACAACATCAACCGCTACAAGAAGACGCTGTATTTCGACTGGAGATTGTGATCATTATTCACGTCGTTCCTGCTTGGCACAAATCTTCTTGAGCTACGTCCAAAGACGCGGAATCGAAGATGACTACTCATTCTTGGATTGCCCGGAGCACAATTGCGATTTAGCTTACTACGCATGTGAAATAGTCTCACAAGTCATGCCGAGCGGAGAGGTAGCAGACAGCTGGTGGCGTACAGTGATCAAAAAGACGATTATGGACAGCATCGTAAGTGACAATCGTTCACATGCTATTAGCCAATTACGTAAAAAGGAAGCAAGTAAAACTAACACCATTACTGTTATTTCTGACAACCAACAACGGTAACTATATATATGGCTACTGTCCGTATCCAGATTGTCAAGGATCATTCGAGCTTGCTAATCATCATCAGCAAAAACGATATTCATCTGTACCCACCAGCAGTACCAGAAGCAGCCATAACAACAAAAATGCTGACAGCATAAGTATGATGTTTGATGATGATGATGAGGAAGATAGGCCCATTTTTGCTGAATTATTTGAATGCCACCGTGGTATTTGTCTGAACTGCCAGAGTTTTTGCATCCAGGTAATAACACGGTGTACGTGCCAACCATACAATCTTCATTTGTTCTGACAGAATATCTTGATCACTCACTCGGCAGCAATGATATAAAGACAAACAATTGTAGTGCTCTTGTAGTTTACAGTAATGTCGCAAGTAAAGGCTGACCGTAAGCGATGTGATAAGCACTTGTTATTTTCTAATCAAGAAACTTTTCGTTACAATACCATTACATACTGATTTATATATTACATGCTTATTCTTGCGTTGTTATCGCTGCGGATCCCGCAGACGATGTGGTTATTGCTCCAAAAATAGCCACATGTATTCCAGCTCACAATTGAAGAGTGCTCGCAGACCAATGTTCACTTGAAAGTAGGAAGCTCCCTCTTCATGCCTTGCTTCACCTTTTTGCTGCACTTTTAAATTAGTATGACATCCCTATTCAATACTGCACGTGCAGCACAACATTATAATACGCAGAAAATCTGAACGTACTGCCCCTTGTTTATCATCCAAAAAGTAAAAAGTAAATATCTTTGCTCCAGTTTCTTTTTGTATCTTCTCTTTCCAAGATGTCGGATTCTTGCCAGGCGTCACCTCGAATCAACATGAATATAATCAGGATTTATCGTTAGGTAGCCTGAGACCGTATTTCAAATCATTCAAAAACTATATACAGAGTATAATTTCTGTTTGTTAAATCACTATTTTATATATATCGTCAATTATAGTGGAAGGGGGAGGAAATTATGTATCATCATCATTACAACCTACACTTTTCCCTTTCATTAATTCATAGAAAAATTTAATCGACATGCTCTGCATTTTTTAGGTTCATGCATAAAACTAAGAATGAAGGGTAAAGGGGAATAAAGTGTTAGTCTACGCTAGCACTAACGCCGAAAGTACTGCCAAAACACCCAAAGCGTAAAGTGAACGAAGATATGACGATTCTGTTGCTGAGGAAGTGTTGTAACTATCATTAGCAGCTGAATCTGCAGTGTCACGATGAGCATCTCCAGCTTGATGCACGACCTGCAAGTGGCCGTTGCTGCTGCCGTCATTAGCAGCAGCACTGGCATCAAACGAACTTGGATCTGTTTCTTTCCGATTATCCACAGCTGCTGCGCGCATCACACCGTTGCCAGGATACAATATCTCTAGGTGGCTGTCCAGATTCTCGGGCTCAGTCAGCAGGCGCCAAGAGTAGGATGACTTGAGCTGACCGCGCGGACAACCTTTGTTGCAAGTATGGTAGCAGTCATCTTCCGGCCATTGGGGTGGAGCACTTGCGTTTGGATGAGTCCAACCCAAATCCAGTCCACAGTCCGTATAAGGCTCGAATTTCTCAGAACCATAGTAATCAATTAGACCGGCGATAGCACCTACAAGTCAATTCGAGTTATACGCATGCACGTATAAGTAAAAGTAGCTACTTTGTTCTTCTATGCTATCAGGAAACGACAATTCTCGTTTACCTGTCCAAGCAGCATTGTAATCCTGTGTCACTTCAGAGTATTCATAGTTGGAACGGTCATCATGGTAGGTATCGTCCACGTTAGGGCCGCCTTCAACTGCACCATACAGGATAAAGCGCTGTTCTGTTTTGCTGGCACTAAAGTCGCCTTCGACTTCGTCCTGCTGTCGACCACGCATCGGATAATCAATAAACGAATTGTACGACGATTTGTGATATGGCTTGCTCGGGTAATTATCGCCAAAGCCGACAACCCAACTGTAACCATAATCACCAAGTGCATAGTTGATTTGCTGGACAGCAAATGATGTCATTGATTTGGCTTCCATGGTCTCATAGCCGATCGCCTTGGCAAATGCCAACATCAAGAATGCCACGTTACCGGAATAGCCGACGGAACCCCAGTGTTCAATATAGGCCAATCCACGAGGCGTAAACTGGACAATCTGCTCAGCGCTGGGCAGGAACTGGTTGAAGTACATCATGGCGTTCTTGTAAAACTGGCCATCCTTGGTCAACGAGTACAGCAGTACGTGAAGGCCGGCGCCCTTTTCGTCCCATGAGTATTCATACCACGAATCTTCATTGACTCCGTACCATTTCTTGGCTTCTTCCAGATAGAATTCTTCCTTGGTCGCTGCATAGATCCATGCGGCACTCCAGGCCAGTTCATCCTCGTAGCGGGTTGATGGGTACCAGAATGTTGCCCACTCAAAGGCATTGCCCTTGGATGTGACGTAGCTTCCGGGATAATCGGTTGCAAACTTGTATAGGCGCTTGGCACGATCCAGCAAGTCGTCGGCATATGTTGCATTGTATTTGCGCCAGGCGATAGAAATCGCTGCCATGGAAGCGCTGTATTCACCCACGATTTCGGACGACGGGTTATCAGGCGTGATATAGTAGGCCTTGTGGGGCAAGCCGCTCGGGACCCACTGCTCGTACTCTTCAGGCGGGCCCCAGTAGTTGAAATCGACGTCAAGTTCGATCAACTTTGATATGGGGCCGAGAGATGACGTGCCAAGCTGTCCAACGATGTGAGTGTCATTATGGTGGCAGTTGATCAAGTAGTCTATTGTTGTATGAAACTCAGTCAGTCTTTCTTCTCGGAAATAAATACCCACTTTCTCCTGCGCGACTTTTGGGTTTTACCTCCACCCCATTTTAACAGCTCAAGTCCTTCCGCAAGTTCATCGACGGAATTCATCGCGTCTTCAAAAACGACAATATTGAACGCAAGCTGCGTAGCAGTCCATCCAAAAGGAAGACCCCACTTCATAGTGTTGGCAGCCTCGTACCATCCACGCGACAAGTCCTCGTTAAAGTCACCGACGCACATCTTGCATGAGTCGCCGCGCCAGGCCATGCGCTGATACGGTAAAATGCCCGACTTTTGGGCATGATAAAAGAGGTAGCTCTTGTGCAACACTTCGGCATAATTGTACTTTGGTGTATTAGGCGCAACATATTTTGATTTAGAAGGTGGGATTGGTGGTGTCTTCAATGGACTGGTGTCATCACCGGTATCTTCTTTCTCTTCTTGTCCGACAGCTGGTTGCGATAGCAAGCACGTGGCAGCGATGATGCCACACGCCTTGAAAAGTGGCAAATGCATTTATTTAACGCTGTTTGGCAGAGTCAAAGAAAAAGCGGGGTAGTATTACGGGGGCCAAAAGAGAGGGAGAATAGAGAGAAAGAAGATGTTGGAGCAAAAGGGAAAATAGAAAAAGCAGGCCGCTATTTGACATTTTTATCTTTCCGAGAGTTCAATTCGCAACCCTTTTTTGTTTATTTCTTGTGCTTTTGCTTGCTCTTCTTCTTCTTCGTTGTAACTACGATGTGATCCGCCCAGTCGCTAGATCCTGCTTCCGCTTCTTCCTGCGCTGCCACTGCTCGCGTACCCCACACCGTCTTTGGCCCTTGTTGTTGCGATTGTTGTTCATGCTGCTCCCTGGCAGATTCCGATATCGCCCTTGCTAGCATCGCCTCGTTTTCCTGGTTTGCGTCTGGATTGTGGAAGAAGAACGGATCGCTTTGTATGACGCGTCGATTAGCCTCGTCACGACTGCGTTGTTCTATCTTCTGACGAGCTTCTATCGCTTTACGACCCTTTTCCTCACGTCGTATACGGTCTTGCCGCTTCTTGGCTCTCATCTTCAACTCGTCTAGAAATTCATTTCCAAACAAATAATTATTACAGTTTCTAATGGAAACCAACCTTCTTTCTGCCACTCTATCATGACATGCGAGAGAAACAAAACTTACTGCTGAATGCCTTTGAAGTGTCATTCGAAACAAGCTTCTTCAGGTCGACTTCCAAAAACGTCACATCGCACGACAACGGCAAATGGTTCAAGTACTTGAATCGTTTACGGACTTCTTCTGTCATTGTCGTTTCTTCTACTCCTTCGACGCTCACTTGCAGCTGATCAGGGAAGCGCTCAAAACCACCATACTCGTGCTTCAAAATGCGAATATCCAACGGATGCAAGTAGACATGCTGTCCGTCAGAAGCTTGGTAAAAATGATAATCGAGCGTTGGACCCATCTTGGGCTTTGCAAGGTTTATCTGAGCATCGGGTGATTGCTGCTCAGAGACAGAAGAGGCTTCGGTATCTTGGCCAGCTCGTTGGGAATGATATTGCTGATACGACAATGGTATTTCCTCTTGCTCTTTCTTCTCTTCTTCAAGGTTATCGTAGCCATCTTGTTGTGCGGCTACTTGCATTGTCTCAACCTTCTTATTCTTGGCTAATTCGCCCGTATTGATCGCTGCTGCCGTATCAAACAGCATTTGCGCAGTATGCATTGCCAGCTCCACCTGCTTGGTATTCTGCCGTTTGAATTGGGCAATCTTCTCATCCACTTGGGCCGTGGCTCGTTCAATAAACGGTATTTCTTCTGCCAAATTCCACTCCTCAGCTTCAGTCATGGCATCCATCAATCCTTGACGATCCCGTCCGTATTCGGCCAACAGATATTCCGGGCCAGCCAACATGAATCGAGCAAACTGCATCGCATTTGGTGTAAAGTGCCAGGGTATCACAGGAGCACCAGGTTTCAGGTATGTGTCAACGACAGCGTCAGGTACTGGCCACGATGCAGAGACAGGCAATGCTAACGTCGATCCACTAGTACGCATCACTAACGCCATATCGACCTTGTCACCCTCAATAATAGCAGTACTCTTGCGCTGCTGCTCACGCTCTGCTACAGCAAATGTGTGTAGGATCTGAACGGGCTTGAAATCACGTTCATATACTGGATCCCAGCAAATAGGACACTTGCGCCATTGCTTCTTTGGATTCTCGCGCAGTTCGAGATAGTGCAAGATGCAGGGCAAGCAGAATATATGACCACATTTGGTGACTCGCGCAGCAGTTGGAGGTGACAAACAGATGGGGCATGAAGGTACTTCGCCTGAGGCGGAGATCAAGACTTGTTCAATGGCTGACCAGTCGAATCTACTGTCAGGATCCGCAAGATGGAAGGTATAGTCGTCCGAAGGATTCACCAAGAACCGGAAATTAGCGTTAACGAAACGCTCTTTGTTGTATGGGGACGAGGAAGATGATTGCTTGTTGCTGCGTCGTGGGGTGTAGGTAGAGGTGGGTGCTCGACGCTCTGGGAACGAAAAGTTGAGCAGGTGGTTCAGTGACACACGACCCTTCTTGTCTATTGCGTGCTCCTCTTGTTCCTGATTTACAAGTGATGCATTTAGTAAACACACACAACATACTGACTTGATGCTTGTACCACTACGCCCAGTCCAATACCTGTCTTGTTGATTCCGCAGCAGCAGTAACAGTAGTTGCATTGCTTTTCCGCGAATTTTGAGAGCGTTGCTGTCGAGTATGCGACGATGAATGGTTTCGCTGCTGCTGTTGCTGTCTTGAAGGCTGGTTCTGCTGCTTTGAAGAACTGTGGTAGTTAGAATGACGCTGTTGCTGTTGCTTGGGCAGTCTTGACTTTTTATTATTGTTGCTGATATTGGAGCTGTTGTCACGAAGGGAAGCACTCAATTTCGCGTCTGAAGTGGGGCTGGGCGTGCCGGTAGAAGTAGGTACAAAGGCTTGAGCGTTGGCGTTCATTGTAGTAAATATCAAATGTTGGTTTTTTCCTTCTCTCGGTGGTCGTATTCGTATTCGTCGTCGTAATAGTGTGCGTTACAGCTTGTTGGTTTTTATCATATAACGGTTGCTGTTGTTTCAGAATGTTGGTGCAATACACAATGGTGCAAAGGATCCAGGTGGTTAAGGTGTTGAGTCTTTTAGGTGCGACAAACGTGCCGGGAAAACAGTTGAATAATAATGGTATGAGAAAAAACAACTCCATTACTTAAAAGAGAGCAATGTTGAGGGAAGCCATATTGGAAAGAAAAATGTAGAAAGGAAGAATTAATCTAATGAGGATAGTTACAAATCAATCAAAACAAAGTAGAACCAAAAATTAATAAATAATGAAATAATTAATAGATTGAGGGCTGTAGCTGATAGTGAATTAGGTGTTATAACTTGAGCAAAAAGTGCTAATGAGGTTGGGAAGCACAAATAACAGGCAACTGCTTTGCCGTTGAAGGTTGAAAAAAAAAGTGCTAGAGAGTAAGAGACTCAAAAATTGACGATGCTATTGCCTTGTGCCGGAAATAACCTCAATCAGCAACCAATAAAATTATTGACTACGAAGCAGCCTATGAAGCACCTTGTCTGTATATATCCTAATTGTCTAGCTTGTAGCTGGTAGCCTTGCAAGAGCTTTATTAGCAATAGAGCCATATTGCAACTAGTGTGTCTCGGAACTTGCTATTTGTCAAGATGATCTTTATCAGTTTTTATTGGGAGCCTAGACTTAGACAAGACTAGTATGTTAGTATCATATTCAGCACGTCATTTCGCACAAATTAATAGATTTCATGCACGACGGCCGCAGTGTCGCTTGCCTTTTTTTCCCACTTTCTTCATACTTCTTTTCAGTGCAACAACCAGAAAGTGACGTTATACAATGAACAAAATCAAAAGTGCAAGCTCTTCTTTCAATTCGCCTATACCTAGCAGCCTTAAAGGTAACTTATATAACCAAAGCCATGTTGCAGGACCTTGCAAGGGATGGTCTTATGTTTCCTCATCAACAACTTATTCACTAGACGAATGCAAGAAAACTGCCAAGATATTAAATGCCTTTGTTGGTAAGTGATTTTCTTTTGTTAATCAGCAAAAAGTTCGCATACTCGTATACAAACCCACCTCCATAAAATAACTCTCTTTACTTCTACATTAAGATCCCGGACAGGGTCTCGATAAAGTCATTCCTAGCAATATATTGGCAAACGCACAGGGCTTGGCAATTCTTACTGTGCTCAAAGCAGGGTTCCTTTTCAGTGGTCGCGCTGGTTCAGGCTTGGTTGTGGCTAGGTAACAAAAAAGCAGACGATAAACGCCAATACTTTAAGCTATACACTTTGGGCTGATCTTTTTTCCACTTTTTGCGTACTTAGATTACCCGATAATTGTAGGTTTACGAGGCAGATGGAGATATAGCAGGATGCGAAAGAACAAGAGGAAACTGATAATTATTGTATTTCCCCTAAAAACGAAACTAGCATGGTCAGCACCATCTGCTATTGGAACGGCCGGTATAGGCGCGGGAGGGATGGTGGGTGCCGAACTGACGGATTTCGTCATGGTGCTCAACACAAAGGAAGCTGTGAAGACATTCAGCCAGTTCGGCAATATCACTTTGGGTGGCAATGTTTCTGGTATGCATAAAGGAGGAGCTTTGACAAGAAGGGAAGAAAGGTTAGATATGGGTCATGAGTGGTATTAAGGGTTATTAAATTCGTAACTGCGGGTTGGGCTTTTCTTTTCCAGTCGCTGCTGGCCCGTTAGGTCGTAACGCTGAGGCGGCTGGATCCGCCAGTTTGAAGCACATTTCCTCCGTGTACTCTTACAGTAAAACCAAAGGGTTATTTGCCGGTGTGTCGTTGGAAGGATCGGTTATCGTGACGCGTGGTGACGCGAACGAAAAGTTCTATGGGAAAAAAGTGAGCGCTAAGGAACTGTTGAATGGCACAGTACCGCCTCCTTCTGAAGCCGACGCGCTGTATCGTGCTCTCAACGCCAGATTCCATACGCTAGGCAATACAGGTGCCATGTATTCTCGCGGCAGCATGGATGATCAGTCATCAACATCATCGCCGACAAGATCGAATACATTCAAGAGCACGAATATTTCCGCACCCGGCACATTGAGACAGCCTCCAACTCCTCGTGGTAGCGGACAGTATGGTCCTCCTACTGGTAGCAGTGGTGGCAGGGCAGGCGCACCCCCTCCATATATGTCATCTCCTCCACCCACACAGCCAAAACCACAAGGATATACTCATTCCCCACAGCAACAAAAGTATTCCACTACTACAGGATATCAAGCATCACCACCACAGCCATCTGCTGGTGGTGGATATAACGCTCCAGCACCGGCTCCCGCAGCACGCGCACCCCCACCCCCGCCGCCAAGTCGAAAACCTCATGAGCCAACCGCACGTGCATTATATGACTTTAACGGGGAACAAGGCGGTGACCTTAGCTTCCGTGAGGGCGATATTATCACGATTACCGAGAAGAGTGGTAGTCAAGACGACTGGTGGACTGGAACTGTGGGAGGAAGAAAAGGCATTGTAAGTTGCGCTCCATGGCAAAGGCTTTCTGTATTAGACTGAGCAAGTCGACTGATACATGTTCTCTTTACTTGTGCTAGTTCCCCGCAAATTACGTTCAGCTTCAGTAGTTTTGCCCTGCGTATGATCCCATTATAAGCGTCAATTGCGAAACAGAAATCACTTGTCAGCATCAGTCAGCATTTTTCTACATAATTTATATTAGCTATTCCCAAATAGATCCCCATTTATGCTGTATCTGCTACAATTGCTGGGATATAAACCCAAGTAGTGTTATCATCTCACCAAAACAGAAATGATGGACATAATTGTCGCAATACCGACTTGCAAAGTTTATCGAGCGGGGGTAGTGGAGAACCAGTTCTTGTGCAGCATGATGTGATGGGATTCTGATGCAGTAGATACTGCTCGCGATGTATTAGGAAAACGATTTTGGATCACCACGTATATAGTTGACAGCTCGCTGTTGTTGATATTTAAAGTATCGCATAATCCCACAGTAGCTTAATGGCAAAAAGTATAGTATCTTGCATGGTATGTGCATAGCTTATAAACCGACAAAAAGAAGGAAGGTCGATCACTTTTCTTTTTCATGCAAATGGCATCCGATATGGCTTTTCGGGTTGTCAGTGGTGTAACGTGAGTATATATTCTATATTTTTATGGCGTGATGCTGCTTCCCAATGGTATGCCAAGCTATTACATTGCTGTCGTTGTTACCTGGACGATCTTATCTGTGTATGTCTATCCACGTCTGGAGGGGCAGCCTCTTAGAAATGTCAAGTGGTATTGCTATTCCTGTGCATTTCATGTTTTATCAAAGAACCGGCAGTTTACCCTGTAGAAGGCCAAGCTACCATGATTAGTCATGCCCCGCGTCAACATAGGTGTACCAGACGTAATACTTTCAGGGGGATATCTGCAGCTGCTGCAAAACCTCCTTTCAAGTCTGTTCTACGGCTTTATATACCATCGTTAGCGTGCTTATCCATTCCGTGCCTTGACAGAAGTTTTCAATCGAGAAAGGTGCTTTTATAATATGTAAAGATATGTCGATACTATCGGGGATCTTTTGTGTTTACATAATTATATATTAGCATAGTGTTATGGAGACCCTTTTGAATAATAAGCACCACTTCTTTCATTATGCGGGAGTTCGATCTGAATAAGACAGACTATTGCCATGAGTAAGCTGAAATGAATGTGTGAGACTGTTTTTACCCCGCTTATAATAGGCTGCATTTCGAGGTAGCTCTTGTCAAAAAGTATCTTTTCTTACTTCACACACTCCCAACACACACAGCCCAACCATGGCAACCAACTCCATCATCGACATTACCAAACTGTCTCCTAAATTCCAGGACCTTTATGCCAAGGCCAAGGACTTTGTCGAGGTAAAAGGAAGAACAGCAATTAGATGACTTGAAAAAACACAGAGTCGACACGGGTTGTTCTCATACGGTTTATTTTTACTGCGTCGTAGAATGAGTGCATCCCCGCCGAAAGAATCTTTGCTTTGCAGATGGGCAAGGGCGAAGACCGCTGGAAGGTTGGTGCCGAAGGACAGAGGCTGTTTTATCTGGGTGGTTGTTATGGAAACTGCGAACCCAGTAGTCAAAAGACGCATGAAAATCATTAATTCATATTATTAATTTCTTTTAAAAAATAACATCAGGTTATTCCCCCAGTTATGGAAGAGTTGAAGGCAAAGGCACGTTCTATCGGTTTGTGGAACTTGTTCTTAGGCCTTGAATACGGTAGCTTTGGTGCTGGTCTTACCAACGTTGAATACGGTCTTCTTGGTAAAGTATACACACATAGTAGGAGTAGTAGTAATAGCCTTCTAACCAAAGGTTGTTGAATACCTCAGCCGAATTATCTGGTCGCAGCAGACTCGCCCCCGAATCATGGAACTGCTCTGCCCCTGACACTGGTAACATGGAAGTGTTCGCCAAGTATGGTACTCCCGCCCAGCAGGAAAAGTGGTTGAAGCCTCTTTTGGATGGCAAGATCCGCTCTGCTTTCGCCATGACCGAGCCCGCTGTTGCTTCCTCCGATGCCACCAACATTGAGACCAACATCCGCCGTGAGGGTAACGAATATGTCGTCAATGGCCGCAAGTGGTGGATCAGGTTAGTTTGTGGTTAAAAGAGGATTGTGGAAGAGCTCGATGAAAGGAAGAAGAGAAGCTAATGCGTTCTTTCAATATAGCGGTGCTGGTGATCCTCGCTGTGCCGTCTACTTGGTCATGGGCAAGTCCGATCCCGATAATACAAACCGCCACAAGCAGCAGAGCTTGGTTATTGTTCCCGCTGATGCCCCCGGCGTTACTGTCGTCCGTCCAATGCAGGTCTTTGGTTATGATGATGCTCCCGAGGGTCACTGTAAGTACTCCGAATCCAAGTCGTCATTTTTACCACACCTTTGATCGCAGAAGCAACAAAGGGTACTTACACATGTTTTCCTCCACCTCTTCTATAGGCGAGATGATTTTCAAAGACGTCCGCGTTCCTATCGAGAACATGATTCTCGGTGAGGGCCGTGGTTTCGAGGTCATCCAGGGTCGTCTTGGCCCAGGTCGTATCCATCACTGGTAAACGGTTTTTTTACAGTTTTATGTTCTTTTATTCAGTGAAGCAACCGGTATTTACTGTTGCTACTATAGCATGCGCTGCATCGGTATGGCTGAACGCGGTCTTGATCTCATGCTGGCTCGCGTCACCGATCCTACTCGCCGCACGTTTGGCAAGAACTTGGCTGAGCACGGTACTGTCATTGCTGATATCGCCACCTCGCGTATTGAAATCGACCAGTCGCGTTTCTTGGTCTTGAATGCCGCAAAGAAGATTGACGAGGCCAAGGCTAAGGGCGCTATGAAGGAAATCAGTATGGCCAAGGTAATTATCGTGATAAGGGATATTGCAACGCTTGCGAGAATATTTAAACTAAAAACTGTTGGATCAAATCAGATTTCTGCTCCCAACATGTTGCTCCGCGTTCTTGACCGCGCCATGCAGGCTTACGGTGCTGCTGGTATTTCTCAAGATACCCCTCTCGCACAGTTCTATGCAGGTGCACGTACTCTTCGCTATGCCGACGGTCCTGATGAGGTAAGAAAACGATCAAATTGCTGCAATTTTTAAACGCCTATATATCTTATTGATCCAATTCTCTCAACTTTCTTTTCTCTTTCTTCACTAGGTCCATCGTAACCAACTTGGCAAGGTCGAACTCCGCCGTGCTACTGACATTGCCAACAGACTCAAGGCACAAAAGGACAAATCGGATGCCCTCATTTCTAAGCTGTAAACAACTTCCTCCGCTTTTGCTTTATATAAACTTTTTTGTACAATAAAATCCATGATACGTATTATAATCTCACTTGCTAGTAAATCAAAGTCAAATATGCCACTAAACCATGGGTTTGAAAGTTGGAAAAGGTGATGTTAGTTCAGTGACAGGCGCATATATCACGAAGTTATTTACTTTTTAATTATCATGCCTATACACATGCCTATACACTAGTAGCGAGAGCACAATGCAACAGAAGAGAAATACATTATTTGCGTGCTTGAAAACGTGTGGTAACAGGACACAAGGCGCAATATCATGATGCAGTTGTAGCAAAAGCGGATGAATGGCGGGCTCGAACAAGTGAAGTTGAAGCTAACACGCATCATCGACCGTAAACCATACAGGAACTGTCAAAGATGACCGCAATGTTGCCCTCGATGTGCTCCTTTGACCTATAGATAAGTGGGTCAATTTAGATCGATATCAACCTAGTATCTATTATCAACCCATTGAAACCTGAGACGTTAAAAGATTTCATCCATCGATTAGAAAGAACAGCCCTAATACCAGACTAACAAAGCTACAGCACGGCGGAAAGTCTAGTCTTACATACAGTATAAGAAAGTCTAGATATCGAAAGTATATATTTTAAAAAGGGCAGAGCCTATTTAAAGATGACGCTAATAGCAGTCGACTTCCTAGTAACTGTAACCGTGGTGACTGTGCACTTATATGTCAACTGTTGGTTTTATTTAAACTAGTGTATAAAGAAGTTGCCGACTGTTCGAATTCATTCGACCTGGCGGATACTGTTGGGCAAGTCGGTCTTTTTCTCCGGGACTGACGGTCGTCGACCCAGTTTGTTTGGTGACAGCTGAAACTGAAAATGTATCAACATCGAGTCGATCTCTTGAACCATGACCTTAAAATTTGACAAACCTGAAACCACTCATGGCAGCGTATAAAAACGGAAGAGGAAGCAAAAATCATACGAACGCCCTAGATGACAAAGAGCAGCTTCTAGAACTCGCGGGAGATACATCCAATACTGCAATGGAGCCTGTAGACAACAATCTGCCGTAATACAAGTAACCATGTCGATATAGAATCAAACGCTAAAAAAGATATGTCAAAGACTGTTACACCAAGACTTACAACAGTCGTATCATAAATGCACCTCTTCTGCTCACACTAGCGAAGATTTATTAATGGTCCAGCAGCTGATTCTGCTATTTCCGGATATTTGCCCTTTGTCATTGTTGCCTTACACATGCCAGCTACGAACGATTTACATTTAACGAGCAGCACAAGCCGAAGCTCCGCAAATAATTGACATGGGGGAAGCGGGCGGGCTCAAGACGCAGGAGACTCGTTCGCATAAAACCGAATGGTATCACTTGCTAAAGTTTTTCATGATTTTTAAAAGGAGGCACCATATTCGAGCTGTTTGCACTTCGTGTCAACCCTCAACTGTTTCAACACTTTTGAGCCAGCCTTTAAAATTGAACTAAAGTGGGGAACCACTGAACTACAAACTTTTCATTGCACATGAGTTGCCCATAATGCTCAAAATTGATAATGGTGCCCGCTGGAAAAGCCTCTTAAATCCTATCAATCTGATATATCTCAAAAGTCGCTACATAGAATGGTGGTACAGATGTCTAAGAGTTCTCACACGGCCGCTGTTTTCGACGATCTCTGCTCCTACGGGTACATCATAGATGGATCTTTAACCGGTAACTTTAGATAAAGAGGGAAAGGCATGAAGAAGGTAAAAATAAACCATATCCGTTTTTTTGTTCTTTTGTATAGTTGGTCATGGTATGCAGAAGCTAAAATGTGATATATAGCACCCAAAAAAACGATAGGTCGTTAAAACTGAAAAAAAGATACCTTTGAAGAAGTGATTCATCCAGATATATTTCTAAATGAGTGTCAAACTATATGAGTGTCAAAAAATAAATCGAAAAACTCTTATGATCCCTCTAATTTGGAGTTTATGCGTACTTTTCTTGTTGCACACATGTAAAGTAGCCTACCCGCACGTCAAGCTCAACAACCAGAGTATTCTTCATAACTTCTACTTCCCAAACGCCATCGCGAATAGCGAAGACATCAGCGTCTAGCATCCAAGCAAGTGTATATCAGTACTGCATAGAAAGATGGCGCTATGTCAATAAAACGGGTGGTCGACGTTGTGCTTTGGCATTCCATCCAAGGTGGCATGTGCAATTCTATGACTTGCACCTTCTGTTATATACAGTAGCAAGTCTGTGCATTGTTACTGAGTGCTAGCTGTTTCTAGCGTCGGGCTGCCTGGAACGGGGTACACTACATGCCACAAAGGATGTCCTCGAAGAGTAGTCAAATATTCATGGAGCGAACAAATGCTTTCTGCAACAGTCGTCTGTCACGATACACACAAGAAGTTCTAACATATCTGCGATCTCTGTCGTTCGCCACTGATAAGTATATTATCAAAGAACAAAAACAGTGGCTGGCAAGAAAAATCAACGCGTGTACACGGAGTCTTCAACTTATGAACCCAATGTGATCGGCCGTACGAGCAGGATAATAAACTGCCCTGCTGTACCTATAGCTCAGACGCCAGTGCCCTGTAAGAAAACAGTCAGCAGCTATAACTACATTGCTCACCACTGCCTCCCCCTACCACCCTATTCCCGATCTCTTATTCCCACCCACTTTTTCAAGGGATGCCCCAGGTCGGGTCTCAGTTCATTTCAGTGTGTACATGCATATAGAACTGCCAATATCGAGCCATATTACATTAGGTACAAACGAAGGGCTAGCGACACACCAATATGTTTTTGGTATTATGGACCAATCCAATGCACCCGGGAGCACCATGCATATCCTGTCATAACGATTTCGCCGAAGTGACGACCTTCATCAGGACCACAGCAAGAAACAGCAAACAGCTGGATTCGGACCGACAACCTCTCAACAGAAGTCAGAGCCTGCGCCCCACAACTCCACTCACAACGACTACACAACTCCCTTCCTCGGACTTCTGCAAAAATCTATTCTAATTTTCATAATTCGTCCACTTCTTTGTGTCAAAAGAGTCAAAGAATACTGATTTAATTACATCCATTATCCTCTTTCTCTTCCGTTTTGAAATGAAGGTAGAGTCGGTCAATTTTATGCTGGTCATATTATACACATTAATTTGCCCTATTAGATGATCGCTCTCAACCCACTCTTTGCGTGTCTTTGATTTCCATCATTTCTCGATCTGCGTCTTAGTTTGGTCGCCAAGCCGCTGCCCAATCGAACACAACAGCATACGAGATACCGTCGATAGATTTCCTTAAATTTCCCGTTCCTTAGCCCATTTGGTAAAAACTTCGTGAAAAGAAATAGAGAAATAGAAACGCTACCCATGAGAGGAACATCTCGTCAGCAAGTCCTGGCGAGGCCATCTGGCAAACGCTTCAAAAATATAAATGGAGAATATAAGAAACGCGCTTTTAAAGAGATATAAAGAAAAAACGCTACCCATGAGAGGGACATCTCGTCAGCAGGTCCTGGCGAGGCCATCTGGCAAACGCTTCGTAAAAAGATATAGAGAAGAAGAAACGCTACCCATGAGAGGGACATCTCGTCAGCAGGTCCTGGCGAGGCCATCTGGCAAATGCTTCAAAAATATAAACAGAGAAGTGCAATCAATGAAGGATAAACCAAAACCACGCATGAGGGGGACAGCTGGACACCGCACCGAGCCGAAGCCATCTGTTGATTTCTTGGGCTAAAAGGTTTTTGATCGTTAATTGCTATCTCCGATTATATTTTCTCTTTCTTCGCTCCAAATTCCGATGTTTTCTTTTACACTCACATAATTTTGCGAGTGCGTTCTCATATGCTTGTTAAGCGGTCAGTTGGTTCGAATTGCAAGATGTCTCTCCATTCTCTCATGGCCCAGTCTTGAGGTATTATTAATACTATAATTTGCATGCATTGGTAAAGTAGAAGAAGAACCCAACTCACACCGTGATGCTGGCTACATACGAGTTGGAGTCGGAGGGTGAAGCGCTTCAAAAATTTGGGGTATCGCGAAAAGGGGTGCACACCATTGGGTGTGCACCCAGTCAAAATAAGCCACTTCACCGAAACGAGCGATTAGGGTGCACACTGCAAAGTGCACCACCGTGTACCTTTCTATTTTATCAATAAGTCAAAAACGTCCCCTGTTACAAAACCTGGCATCACCATTTTGCACGAAAACATAACAAGCGAGGATAAAGAAAAAGCGTTTGCACAGATTAAACACCCACTTGCTGCTTGCTATATGAAGGTTACCCGGGTGATTGATGTCCAGGATAGAGCACCACTTGATGATGATGACTTCGAAACAGAAAGGGAACTGCCATCAGCTCATACCACCATTATTTACAGATAGACACTAATTTTACATCCATCATTTTGATATCGTTGTTTTTTTTATACTCTCTCTCTTTATATTTACATATGCATATATGTACTATACGAGCTACATTATATACTACAAGACAAGTACAACCCTGTTAGCGCATATTACATTTCATGCCAATATAAATAAGGAAAAATTCGGATTGCAGGTGCATGTGCACCCCGCTGAGAGGGTGCACCCTCACACTTGAGGAGAAGTAGTCACATTTTAGAGTGCACCCCCCAATGGTGTGCACCCCTTTTCGGGTCCCTCAGCCAGAACAAATTCCATTCATTGCGTAGTGCAAATACTTCAAGAAAGAAAAACCATCGGTATATGCATGTATAAAGATCATCAAGTATATGTACATTGTAATCATTTGCTAAACACTTTTCCTCTTGCACTCTTCTTTGTGTGGAGTATATTACTACGAGTATGGTCATTCCTCACCTCAGATAAATAAGAGCAACGAAGGCTATTTGTTTATAAGAACAATCCTACATAGAACAGTGCGATATCGTTGAAATTTCAACCACAAAATAGTATGGAAGCGCATATGCTTACATGGTTCTCCACTTGAATTCAACCTCAATGAGGGCTCAAAAGTTTTGAAACAGTTGAGAGTTGACACCACGTGTGAGTGATTTAAGCAGCATCATATATATATAGTGGGTACTCAAAAATTTTGAAAAAATAAGAAGGCTAGTATCAGAGGGTTGAGATTAAACGGGAACCATTGTAACTGCGTACAAGTAGCAAACACAACTATCAGTCTGCGAAACTATCGACTCACTATTGGCAATCATAAATGAAACATTTCCTTTGTCTGATAAGCCCAATTAAAGAGCATAACACGCTAGTAAAAGAGTGGTGCTATGTATGATACATAAAATGGAGGACCTGGTTAAAAGGTGGATGATACTGGCTCTAAGAATGCGCAAGGGCAGCCACACGACATGGTTATATGAATAAGCATCTCTATGCTAATTTTTCGCCAGCTATCCGAATTGGATTACCCTGATTATGGCAGAAGTGATGGTATCATGTTGTTATGGGAAAAATGATATTTGTACAGGGTATACTAATTGTGTTGCTTTTTGTTAGATTGAGAGAAGCTGTCTTGTGAATGAAGGGGGGAGTTTGAAGATGATGATGAAGACGAAGATGACAGAGAATGCGGGATAAAGGATTCGGGTAGGGGATTGACTCTCGTACCGTCGATCACTAGGATCCGAGTGCTATGGATTTGGTTGAGTGTCCCATCAACGATCATTTTTCCTTGGATTGCGAGCTCGATTAGTAGAACAATTCGCAAAATGTAGTCAGCGCTGCCGCTTGGATACTGTAAGTCTTTGATTCGTCGGATACGGGTAACAAATCCTTCTAGAACATCGACATCAAGTAAGGTAACAGCGTTCCCTATTGGATTGAGGCATCAAAAACATGTTTGTGGGTTTATCATCAAATTTGGAAATACTTTGCAGTTGCATCATACCTTTGATGTTGTAACCTAGTACATGAGCATGGTGTAAGATCGACGGCATTGGAGTTACAATTGATGCGAGCATGTCCTTCAGAACAATCAGAAGCTTTAGCATGCTATCTTTCATTTCCTTGGTATCGTCATTATCTTTTCCAATTCCGAGCCCCCCCCTCTATACTGCTGCTCGTGTAGATGGTGTCGATGCGATGGCCCATTGTTTTCTTCAGTGACGCATCGATGGCTGCGAGTTTTCTTTTGTTATTTCTTGCCTAGGCGTTTGCAATGGGGGACATCTAACTCCAATTAGATATTAGATAATACTATTGGCTGTAAGAAATCTATTGGCTGTAAAAATCCAAATTGTACAAAAAATTGAATTTTGTGTATATATAAAAATAATTGGTAAGAAAGGAATGCCAGGTATAAATTCACATTATGTTATATACCAGTTGAAGAAAATATTGTAAATAGTAGAGTATGCAATTTTATAATATACCAAGATTATGCTTATTGATATATTCCTTCAATAAATCCTTTTGATTAAATTTATCAATTGATAACCAACTGTTATCATCAGCACTATATCCAACCCATTTTACCTCAAACAAATATGTACAGTGAACCCCCGCTTTTTGCACCCCCGTTTATTGCAGATCCCCACTTATTGCAACTTTTTTGAGCAGATTCCCGCTCAACACTTAGTAAAATTGCAGATTCCTCGGTTTTTGCAGATTGCAACTTGGAAATCAGGACCTGCAATTTCCCGCTTCAGCCTTATATATTGTATATTAATATCAAACTTCAGAGACAGTGAGACTCGAACCAGTGACAAAAGAGATACACTATTGTATTCTATTATTTAAGAGCTTTTAAACCAAATAAGGAAAGATGTGATTGCCAGCTTATCGATCCCACTTATGTAACATATTCACATTTTGCAGTTCCTCAGTTTTTGCAACTTTTTTGACGGTATTCCCGCTGTTGCAAAAAGCGGGGGCTCACTGTACCATTTTCAGTTTTATGCCTAATAATCTCTTCTATTTCATATGATGCCATTGCTTGTTGTTTCCCTTTATTTCGCTTTCTTTTTCTACTACGCTCATTAAATCTTGGAACATCATCATTATCACTATTACTCTGATTTGAATTATTATTAGATTCATTATCAACAATCATTTCTTCATTTGATATAGCCATATTAAGCAGGTCATTTTGCAATCTGATCATTTTATCCAGTTTATCTTTATTTTGTTTATCATTGCTGACCACTATATCAATTAGTTTATGCTCTACTGGAAAATTAAAATCATTACTGTGCCATAGTTTATAGTGTGGTAAAATAGGAATATTGAACATTTCTATAAATTTTGTAATATTTTTTAATAAACAAGCTACACGAAATTGCAGATTATAGTATTTTATGTTATCCATTTTAACAACTGACTTGTTATTATTGAATCGGCAGAATTTATTCCCAATTTCTGAAAATTGATTCTCAACTTTTGTCCTAAAACTTCCAAATGTCTTATTAAAATGATCTTCTGTAATCGTTAAGAGCTGATTTACATTTTTACATATAGGGTATACAAAATTATCATGACTAAAGTTATATCCTTTTTCATTATCAAGCTCTGTAAATTGTGTGATAAATAAAGTATATCCACCATCAACTGCCATTATGTCATTCTCATGCATATATTTAAATAATTTCATGTTTAAAAACATGCTACCATCTGAGCTATCAGAACAAAAGTCACTTTTAGAAGTATAAATAATCATATCATTCATATCACTAACAAATTGGGTATGTATTCCATTCTTCTTAAATTTATAAGAATACATTCTTTGAAAGTGGTCAATTTCAGTATCTACATAGTTAATTCTTGAATCATGGCTATCTAATACAAGTGTTACATGTTTAAATAAGTCGGGATTATGCTTTCTAGCAGATAGAATACGTAATTTGATAGATGAAAATATGTTATTCATTGAATCATTTACTATTTTGTTGATTCGTTTGTAGTTGTCCTCATCTATCCAAAGCTTTTTATAAAATGTATGAAATGTGCTATGTGGTATGGTGCATGCACCTTATAATCCGCAATTTTGGAATTTGTTTCAATTTCGAGTTTTCAGATTCCGATTCTATTTATGGTAATTTTTTATTCATTAATGCCTACTTTCCGATGGGAGCTTGTGAATTTCCTCACTTCTTCATCCGCTGCCCAGGCATCCTTCCCTTTACTATATGCTTCTATATAACGGAAACATCTTTTGTAATATCTACGAATTTTTGTGGGATTATCGGGGGGAGAAGCTTTATCTAGAGCAATGGGGAGGTGTTCCTGAAGGCCGGCATAGGAGTAGTCGCACATTCCTCGTACTTCGCGCTTGCAGTCTGACCAGTATCGCTCAATCCAATTTGTTTCACAATGAAACTTTGGATAAAGGTCGAACATCAAACCTTCTTTGTTCAAAGTCTCTTGCAACGCAGATTTCTGGTGCTTGAAATCGTCCTGGGATGCAAGACAATGCAAGGCACAGCACTCGGTATCAACCAGTCCATCTCTTCTTCTGCAATCAAATCGCCATTTCTTCCCTTCTCTACCAGGAGAGCGGTCGTCATCATGCCAAAGTCCTCTTTCTTCTAGGATCTCTTCAACCCCTTTGATCTCTTCCCACTGCTTCACATTGCCGCTTTTCGTCCTTTTGGTTTTCGTAACATAAAACGTCTGTTTGACGATGTTCTTCTTTTGATGGTGGTAAAATTGAGTGTCTTTGAAGCGGTACTTGTTCCTGTCCGGATCGTAAACTTTTCTCCCTTTGATCATTCGCGTTGCAACAAGAGCGTCAGGGCCAAAAGCGGTATGGTTGGAAGACTGGTCAAATAGAAATAATCCCACGCACTGCGGATGCAGTTCTTTGAAGATCTCGATAACTTCCTTAAGCTGCACAATAAGGTTTTCCGCACACCAGAATCCTTCTCGATTTGCACCGGCATAAAAGAGCGTGCGCGACTCCCTTCCATCAACTCGCATCGTACCATGACAGGGACACTGAAATTCACTGACCATAATAGACAATCCAGGTCCCTTTCCTCTAATTTGTGCTTCGCCTTCGGAAAACCGACCTTTCTCGTTTCCGTCGTTTGCATAGAATGTGGATTCATCATGAGTGACCATGATCCACTTTTTCTTATCCCCATGTTGCAATGTTGGCTCGATGATGATCTCCATATTTTCGCCTATGTGCTGTTTACGTCTCATCATCCGTGTTGCCCATTCCTGTCGATACTGAACTACATCCGCTCTTTCATGTCCATCAAAATAGATGCCTTTCGTGTTTTTGCGATACTTAAAGCCCCATGTATCCATAAACGTGCGCAAATTAGACAAGGAGACAGACACAGCGGTTGTTCCCAATATGGTTGGTAGAATAGCATCCTCAATATGCTTTTTCAAAAGATGAAGATCTCTTTGCATAGATTTTTCACGTTTAAGCCATTCAATGCATTGGTCTTTTACGTCTTCATGATTAAGGATGGACGTATTTTTTGCGTGCTTCCCTTGATGAGACATGGGGATGATGCCTGTCGAATAGAATTCGTCTGCCCACTAGCGAATGGTGCGGCTGCGGTATGAATGTTCTTGGGCATTGGTTTCAAGGAAGAAAAAGTTTGCTGCTTCTTTGGATGCCTGACCTATTGACATTTTGTATTTCAAAAGGTTTTTGATATACATTTTCACGGCATAATGACGCTTGATGTAGTCCTTTTCGTACTCCTTTGTTGCTGACTCAAGACCCAAGGTCGCCTCATCAAGTGCCTCAATCAAACAAAGCAAGGTATCTCCATCATGATAATCGATGCTATAACGGTCGTCGTCGTCATCGTCGTCTCCTCGTGCTCTGTCGATGCGGGTTGGAGCGTCGTTGCTGGCTTGCTGCTGTTCGACAACCGGAAAGAGCGAATTGATAGGCGTGTGTGAGTTCACTGCATCTTCCTTCTTTTTCGCTTCGGTTGTTTCGACTCTCCATTTCTGGGTACGTGAAGGAACGAGCTTATTGTATGTTCCGCGTAAGTGGGAATCGCCGTTCTTCTTCCACTTCAGCAAGTCAAAAGCATTTTTTACGGGCACTTGCTCCTCACCCTCATTTTGAGGGTTACTAGCTGCAATTTGCTGCACAGTATTGACGAAATTCCCAATTTCCGTTCGAATGCGCTTTTTAGCAGCTTTCTTTTGACCTTTAGGACGAGGCATAGTGGAGAGTTGTGTAAAATAAGCAGGAGAAGGCAAAACAAATGGGAACCTGAAATAGTAACCATTCGAAAGTGGCTTTGTACAGCTTAAATATTTTACCGGCACGGCTAAACTACGTTTCCGTTCGCTTGAATATAATCCTATATGTTTCAATTTCCTATCCCTCAGCCAAAAGTGACCAACTTCAAAGGCCTATAACTTTTTTTAAAGAAGCAATAACTCAAATCTAATCCACAAATATTGTTCTTAAAGGCCTAAAAAAAAAAAGTAGCCGCTTTTTTTTTGATTTTAAGATGATAGGAAAAAGTAGTAGGGATTCGAAGATTACCCAAAAATTTGCGGATTATAAGGTGCGTGCACCATAAGTATTTTTCAAATTTTTCACCACATACTCCAGAGACTAAATGATATAATAAAAACAATCCTTTTTCAATTTCAAAGTAAGGTCCAGGATATTCCTTGTTTGTATATAAAACTATTAGAAAATAAAATACAGCAGCATAACCTAATTTACGTAACAATTCATCCTTAATTTTTTCTATGAATTTAATATGTTTCAAATCAGTTCTATGTTTATATTTATTATGTACAGTAGGCCAATTCCATTCTAGGAATTACCAATAATTTGCAATAATTGAGTTTACTTCATTTGTAATCAGTAGTGTATAGTTTGTTGTATCCATTGGGTCGTTCTTTGTTTATATTATGGATTTTCAATTTTTATAATCATTGAATACATGATTTTGGTCACATGATGTCATAAAATTGATAAAATATCAAAATGGATGATATAATTTAATATGGCAGCAAGCTAGATTTATCAAAAACTATTGTAAATTTATAGCCAATTTCGTACTGCACATCCCGCAATGCTACTTTTCTCTTTTCTGTAATAGTATATTAGTGCGTATTATACATTCTCACTTATAGTTTCATTGTGATATGAAGACACTTACCATATCGCTCGTATCCCACTGCCTTGAAAGATCGTGTTCAAAAACCCCCATAGATTGTACGTCATGTCGCTTTCTAACATCTCGGAAATTTCGCCAGAATTATCCTTCAAGAAATACTTTGCTGTTGACATCATGGTAATGGCTAGCCAAGATAACATTGGCTGCGTGAGTGGATCGTGCGTAATTTTTTAAGTGTATGCATATGCTTGCGCTGCCGTTTGCTACAAAGTCAAACAGTGAGAACTATTATCGAGCAAAATAGACAAAGTATGAAGTTCTGCAGATGTTACCAGTTTGCTGATCTCATCTAATTTTGGCAAGAAGCAGCAAATGGTAATTTTAAAAGAGCGATGATATTTAAATTTTATCTAAATTTGCATAATATTTTTTTTAAAAATTGAATTTTTATAATATATATATAAAACTAATATCAAAATGGAAGAGACACATAAAAAATTTACATCAAAAATAAAAAGATCAATTATAATTAATTTTATGATTAAAAACAATATTAAAAATGCTAATATTCTATATGATAAAAAAAATAAACAAATTGATTTTGAAATATCATATAATAATGAAAATGGTCAACAAGAAGAAAAATATTAAGAATATTATAAAATAACAAAAAGAAGAGGAAGTAAAAGAAAAAAATACAATAATAATAAAACAAAAAATTTATCAACACCATCTGTTACAGATGATAGTTCATTAGAAGGTAATGATGTATTAGTAAGTAATGAAAATTATAATAGAGAAAAAAATATTGATGAGCTATTAACAGATAATAGTGAAATAGAAGATAATAACAATAATAGTAATAAACGAAGTCTTTCAAATCTTAGTACTCCTGATATTAGTAATACTAAAAAGAAAAGATATAGGAGAATGAATCATATTAATAATATTTGTTATAGATAACAAAATAATATATAATTCTATTCTGTCAAGCTAAGCGTCGATCCAGTTGGTCTAGCTCAGAGGAGGGTATGCTTATTACCATTCCGCCAGTTTATGAAATTTTTATATTCATAAAGATTACAAAAATATTTGGTGATTACAAATTTCATTAAGGATCACAAAATTGAAACAACTATATATATTTAAATATAAAATTTTTGAACTTATTACATTAAAAAATATTATAATTTATTAATAATCTATAAATCTCTTGTTTTTCTTTAACTATGAGTTATATTTCATACTAATAATAATAAATGTAGAAATTTTGAATACAATGGATGCTATGTAAAAGAAGATAGTAATAGAACATATTGTGAATATTGTTTAGAAGATGGTTCTTATATAGATGATGGTAATTTAGATGATGATAATTCAGATGATAGCAATTCAGATGATGATAAAGAAGATAATGATAGCAATAACATTAATAAAAATTTTCAAAGAGATGAATATTGTTTACAATAATTATACAATATATTAATGTATGAAAAGAAATTATCAAGTGAAAATAATACCAATAAATTAAAAAATGTGGATATAATATTTGATAGAATAAAGAGTATTTTTATTGATCTTGGATTTTCGTTTAATTTTCATTATAATACATAATAACTGTTTTTAACATTTCAAACAAATTATGATGATATCTTTTTCTAAAAGCATAATCTAAAAAATACAATGTATATAGCTCAGAATCTTTTTTTATATTGGGCATATGTTTATTTAAATGCATCCAAAAAACCTTCCATACTATTAGTATGTATTGTTGAATCATTTGGATGCACAAAATATTTCGAATGATCAACTGCTTTATGAATATATCCCATCTTGTTTAAGCTTATATAAGATCGTAAACCATCAGTGATTATAGTTGTTCCTTGATAAACTTGATCCTTGATTATTAGTAATAATGTTGACATTTTTCGATTTTGAACAGGCACCAAAAAGAACAGATTTGAATTTCTTTGATAACCGCCTAATATCTACATATGTTTTCTGTATCATTTATGCTTTGCAGTAGTAATTTTTGTTTTGCGAAAACAGCATTCGTCGATTTCAACAATTTCATCTTGTCCACCAATTACATTTTTCCATAACTCTTGATTGTTAAGGATCCATGTTTTTATCGTAAGGCGTATTTTTGAATATAATTGTGTAACTGTTTCATCATCGATTCCCATTTGTAGAGACACTTTTATAGGAGAAGGATCTATATAAAAAACAAATTAATATTATATATGTTATATTATAAAAGATACACACCAATCATCCATTGACGTAATAGTTCTACTATTTGTATTGGTCGTAGATTTGTTTTCTCAAATTATGTTTCGGCAAATACACCTTTTCTAATATTATCTGGATAACAATAAAATCAATATCTTTGATAATATTTTCCAATGGATAATGGTTTCTCGCATTTTTTTACAAATAAAAGGTTTTATAAGTCCTTGCTTTTGTAAATAGATTATAGCTTGTTCATTACCGTAAAGTGTTCGAAATAGTATTTCATTTGATTTAAATATTTTGATAAAGAAAAAGAAAAAAAATGTTTTATGAAAAATCAAAAAAAAATGTTTTTATATAACTTTATATATTTTGTGTAACTTACCAAAGAACGCTTGTAACCCTAATTTTTCTTGAACGTCTTCGGGCACGGTGTGTAATATGGGAGCTCCGTGTGCTCGAATTTCTTTCAGCTCCTCCGTCGTTAATACTTCTGTCCAATTAGCATCGTCTAGATCTAAGATCATGGATTGATACGGGCTATAACCAATTGCACATTTTAGTTTTTCTCGTTTGTTTCAAGCTTACGGTCGCTTTGGGTGAATGAATAATACTTACTGCCAATAATTGCACTTGATCGCAAAGTCGTACATCTTTTCTTCAACTGACTTGACACCTTCCCCGTTTCCTCACGCTCTCAACTCCATGGACTTCAACGTCCAAAACTTATGCGAGTCCACTCTAGTAAGGAGCCTCTTGATCTCCTCTTTATCTTTTTTGGTCAGGTGTGTTTTTAGTGATGAGCTGCTTTTCGATGTTGGGGGACATCCAACTCCAATTAGATATTAGATAATACTATTGGCTGTAAGAAATCTATTGGCTGTAAAAATCCAAATTGTACAAAAAATTGAATTTTGTGTATATATAAAAATAATTGGTAAGAAAGGAATGCCAGGTATGAATTCACATTATATTATATACCAGTTGAAGAAAATATTGTAAATAGTACAGTGGTGTAACGGTGCATACCGTTACGACGATATCCAACCTGCATGGTTGACGATCGACAACGCATGGTTGAATATGGAGTAATAGGCGTGGATATTCTAGATAGAAGTTATGATGTAGATCAATACTTAGACGATAGCTAGCCCCCTATTACTCGACGTATATATAAAGACGGGATCCTGAGTTATATGGATCCCCATCGTTTTATCCTTTGATATATCCGAGTCTCACCTTATTCATTGATCCACACTGTCTACCCATTCACGTTCCCGATTGTAAGTATCTGGGCCGACACTGTTACATCTGGTAGCGGAAGCGGTTTTGTAAAACCGTGCTTGACGTTCTGAGCAGAGACTATATCAAGAGGTAATGCACACGACTTCTCTTGGTCGCACGATCATCAAGAGTAAATTTTCAAACGAGTCTTCTCTTGATCTCGGACACCACTCGTATCCCGGAGCGAAAATGGCAGAAGACCATCAACTCCGCAATCTAAACCAGACGACTGGCTGTGCTTCGTTCTCGCCGGCCATTGGACGTTCATCCGGTCCGAGTGCCCATGCAGCACATGCTGCAGACGATGCTGCATCCTCAACGACGGCTACCTCAGGGGCAACCCTCGAGCGTGTAGCAACCACGACCAGCGCAGGTACTACCGATCAAGGGGCAACCGCGGCGGCGGCGACGCCCATTGTCGATCAGGGGCAGCCAGCCGCACCCCTTAGTGCAACCATTGCGACGACAGTCCCTCCCACGGACACCAACATGGCGACGGCCATTGACGCGTTGCAACGCCATGCAGCAACGACGCGCCAGAACTTCGAGGGCATCCGGTCAGACCTCGAC